GGTTTTATTCCACTGTTTTGTAGCCTGCTGGGCACAGCCGCAGGAGTCAGGGAGGACAGACTGCATCGGCCTCACCTGTGCAGGGTGGGAGCCTCCTCCTGGGAAGAGGGAAGTGTGACCAGGTTCAGGTTGATCAGCAGCAGGAGACTTTTCCCAGCTCCAAAACAGGGCAGCAGCCAGGCCCAGCCACCAGCGGCCTGGTGGATGTGGGCAGCACCGCGCAGCCAGTGGATCCAGATCCTTTGCCCAAGCAGAGCAGGAAGGCGTGTGACCCCAACAATATCTGAAAGGCTCCATTCTTAGATTAATCGAGAAAGGAAGCCAAGTGTCTGCGGGATCCTGGGCCAGCCTGGGCTGACCTCGAACTGAAAGCCAGTGGACAGGTTTTTGTCCCCCTCCCGCCCCAGGGCCCCCACAAGATTCAGGGACAGGATGGCCCTGTGTCTTCCACTCCCGGCCCCACCTGGTTTCTTCAAGGAGGACAGCAGGTTGAGGTTTCGGGCCACAAAGCAGCATCCCAGGTGAGGAAGGTGGACGCCAGCCACCTGGTGGCCACCGGGGCAGGGCTATAGGTCCTGCCTCAACCCTGGTTCTCTTCATCTGAGTGGGGTCTAGGGAGGCAGCACACCCAGCTTCCTGACCAGCAGACCTCATCTGGATGCATTGGTCAGATGGGCACAGAGAAGCTGGCCACAGGGTACTATTATAAATGAGATAGAGGCGGGCAAGGTGGTGCACATCTGCCATCCCAGCACACAAGAGGCTGAGGTAGGTGGATGGCTGTGAGTTCAAGGCCAGCCTAGGCTGCCACATAGTGAGTTTGAGGCCAGTCTGAGCTACATAGATCTTGTTTCAAAAATCGTCAGAATGATGATGATGATGATGATGATGATGATGACATAAATGGACAGAGGTTCTAGAAACGAGGCAGGAAAGGAGAAAAGCAATCTTCAGGGCCCCATCTCACAAGGACAGGCCAGTGGCCAGGAGGAGGAATCCAGAGCAGGGTCCAGGGGAGTTCACAGGAATTCTGCTCACCTAGACACACGTCACAGCCCACAGCTGGCACTGTAGTCGGTGTTCAGGGTGCAGCCACCAGGATCCATGTGTGGCAGCTTCCAGCTCAGCTCCAAGCCACAGCACCGTGGCAATTCCAACAACACCCCCTGCAGCACTTCCGAGAGCACCAAATTCAGTTCCTTTAATAACAAATTCTGGCACACAGATAGGCTGTCCCAGGCTACACAGCCATTTGGAGGCCATAACTTGTAACTGGGCAGGGCTCCATGTGCCAGGCGGGCCCGTAGGGAGGATGTCACTCGTGTCACCGGTGCCTACCTGCAGCCCGTCCTCCCGCGCTCCCTTCCAGCACCCCCTGTGTCCACACCGCTGGCTCCGCCTAGGCAGGCAAAGGCCACACAGCCTGTCCGAGGGCTTCTGCGGGCTGCAGGTCCACTGACAGCCACCAGAGGGCAGGCCGGCTCCACGGCCGAGGCCCGAGGCCCCAGAGTCCCGGGACACTGCCACAGGCTGGCTCCCTCGTATTCCCCGACATTTCGCTGCGCGAAGCCAGAATCATCGAGTCACAGCGTGGGAAGGGGTTCATGGAGCCCCAACATAGGGCCACGCGCTTCATCCGGCCACGAGGGCGAGGGCGGGGGTGCTGGGCCAAGCGCCTACTGCGGTCCCCGCCAGACAGGCAAGCGAACGAGTCAGGGCCACCGCCTGGGAGGAGCGGATACTTGGCTTCGGGATCGTTAAGGGCTGCCGGTGCGGGTGCAGGGAGTACGGGGTCCTGAGAGTCATCAGGGAGGTCCCACTGTAGCCTGAGGCAGGCCACCCTGTGCTGACAAGGTCCATCCAATCGCGCTGCCCACGCAGGACACCTGTTGATGGGCCCCGGGGTGAGGACCACGGAGCAGCACCCAGGCTAGGCTGAAGAGGGGGGCTGGAGCTAGGGGTCCCTGAAAGAGGTGCCCTTCCACGACCTTTCCCTCTAGGCTGGGTTGCCCCCCATGTTGGTGTCCCCTATAGACTTGGGTGCCGCGTGTGTTGGGGTCCCCTACAGGCTGAGGTGCCCGCGCGTGTTGGAATCCCTCAGGCTGGGGTGCCCTCGCGTCTTGGGGTCCCTCCCACCTCCTGCGCGGCCTGGCCGATGACGGCGCACCTGAGTCAGCGCCGCCCACCCGGCCCGCGTCTGTCTCCGCATCTTGTGATATTTCGCTCCCCGGGAGCCGGCCCGGAGGCAGCTCGGCAAACAACCGCGACAGATTGCGCCGCGCGCTCGGGGAAGGACGCCAAATCCTCCCGCGCCGCTCCCTCCCCGCCCCCTCCAGGCGCCCTCCCCCACCCGGGAAGTGCGCGCCCGGCCTGCGGGACCGCCTGGGGCTGGGCCAGAGACGCCCCCAGTTCCCACCGACCCAGGGACGCAGGAGGAGGAGGAGCCTAGACCAGCAGGGGGCGCCGGAGCGTGCCCGGCAGAGGCTTGGGAAACGGATCCAAAGGGGAAAGGAGGCCGAGACCGAGAGCCAGAGACAGCGCAGAGTCGGAGAAGCGCGAGAGGAGAAAGGAAGGGGCCGGAACTCTAGAGAGGCTGGGAAGACAGCAGCTGATGCAGGCAGGAGGAGCGGACCGAGCGCGGGAGCGGCCGGAGACGGAGATCATAAAATATGGATAAGCGGGGGGAGGGGGCGAGCGAGGGAGTGAGGACGCGCGCGGAGGACGCGGCCGCAAGCGCGTTTATAAAGCGCCGACTGTGTGCCCCGCCCGCCTGCGCCCCCTGGTGACCGTCCCCAAGCAGCCCCGACGGCTCCGCGCTTCTCCTGCGCCCGGGCCGCCCGGGCGGCTCCGAGAGCAGGGTCAACCCGTGTGAACCGCAGCGTGGCCCGGAAAGAGGGGCCGAAAGTGCCCAGGAAGAGGCCACGAAGGGCACGAGTCTTCGGAGACTACAGCCGTCCCTCCTAAAAAAGGGGGGAGCCTCCTCCCCACTGCGGGGTCCTCTCCTGTCCTGCTGCGTGGGGAGACTTGTCCTTGCCGCTGGGACCGACACGCACGCACAGAGCCTCACGTGCGCCGCGCTCTGTAAACGCCTAGGGGCGCACACTCGCCGCCCACCCCTCGAGCAGCCTCGTGTTCCCCATGGCGAGGACTCGAACGCCAGCAGGCACTCGGGGGTCCCCGCGCGCACACTCACGCACACCCGGTTGCCAAGACCGGAGTACAAGGCTGTGCGACATTGCCCAGCACTCCGGCAGGAGCGGCCGGCGCGTGCACGTTCACAGGCGCCCGCTCCTGCGTACAAGAACTCCTGCACCTACTTTTTTTTTTTCTTTCTTTCTTTCTTAAGCAAGGTCTCCTTGTTGTGTAGTCTAAGCCGGCCTTGAGCTCACTGTGTAGCCCAGGCTGGCCTCCATCTCATAGCTGTGCTCCTGACAGCCTCCAGGGTGCTGGGATTCCAGGTGTTTGCCATCACGCCCGCTTTCCTCTACTGTTCTAGGAGTCGCGCACTCCACGTGGGGCCTGGGTCTAGGAGAGTGACCTCCTGGGGCTTGCCCACCCGGGACACGGCCGAGAAGTGTGCGCGTGTTGGGGTGCCGCCCATCTGCTCGAGAAAGTCGGCAAGGGATACTAGATTAGCCCACGGGGCGCCCCAACCCTCCCTCCCCAGAAGGGGTTTTCTCAGTGGCGCCACCAGGGCGCTGGGATGGGGCGCGTGGCCGGTGGCCGTGGCGCCGCCCGCGGCCAGGAGAGGGTTAAGCGGGCGGTGCGCCGCGGGGGCGGAGCCACGGCGCGGGCGGGGCCCGGGAGCCGCGCGGTCCCCACTCTGGGCGCGAGCGGCGGGGCGCACGGACGGACTACACGTTCAGCACGGCGGCTCCCGCGCCGGCCCCGTCCCTGCCGTCGGGGCCCATGGCTCCTTCCGAGCCCCACGGCCCCGGGGGCGCAGGGTAGCGGCCCAGCCCGGCCTCGCCGCGCGGGGCACCCTGCCCCCCCCCGGCCTCGCGAGTCCTCGCCGTCCGGCCGCGCGCCGTGGGAGCGCGTGGGAGCCCCCGCCCTCGCTAGTCGGAACAAGATGCTGCCCGGGCGGCGGCATCGGCTGCAAGGTAGGGACCCCCGGGACCGGGGTGGGCCCCAAGATGGGACCGCCGGGCATCACCAGAGCGAGGACAGCAGCGGAGCGCCCGGCGCGCGCGGACCTCGTGACCGCGAGGGCCGGGGCGGCTGCCAGGCTCAGGTTCCCGGTCCCGGCGCCACCTGCTCGGGGACGCGGAGGACTCGGGTTGGCCGGGAAGCGCCGACTCAGCAAGTCCTCGGGCGCCTCAGCACTTTCGGGTCACCCGCGAGGACGAGCGCCGTGGGAGGGGGCTGCCCGGGGAGGAGTCCAGATGGCTCTGCCAGGGGCACCGGCGGAAGGGGCTTCCGCGGATGGAGCGACCCAGCAGGGCGTGGGCCGGTGGGGGTGGGGTGGGAAGGGGTCCGGGAGGGGGAGCTCGGATGGAGAAAGTGACAGGGGAGGTTGGGGGAGGGGACGCGGAGGAGGGGCAGTTGGACGGGGAGCTTCGAGGGCAGAGGATGCCCCGGTAAGGGAAGCCAAGCCGAGGGGAGGTTGGGCCGGGCCGGGATGCACAGCGGACAGGGATGGGGACCTGGCTCGGCTGGAGATGCCAGGAAAGGAGGAGGAGGAGCGCGCCTGGCGGGGATGGGGCAGAAGATCGGAACCGGAGCCTGGTGGCCTGGGCCGGTGTTGGAGACGGAAGGAGGAGCCCAGGGCTGGGACGAGGTTAGGGACACCTCCAGATGGTACGGGGGGCTGAAGCAGGGGGAGGGCAGAGGGAGGAGCACAGAGGGACGAGGTGGGGCTACCCGGGGTTGAGACAAAGGCTTGCTCCGCTGGGCTGGGCTGGGCTGCACGTGGGGAGCCCCGTTCCCACGGCGTAGAGTGAGGTCCCCTCCCGGGCCGGCTGTGTGGACCAGGAGTGAGGGACAGGGTGAGTACCCTCCAGCGAGGCGACGGCCGCCTGGGCACGCACCGCTGGCTCAGGGCTGCCGTTTATATCCCCCCACCCGGCCGGCGGGCGGCATCGTCGGTGCCACCCCACGGCGGCGGCTGCTTATTTTGGAGTGTCACATTCTGGCAGGGTGCGAAGCTGTCTGCAACGACTGTAAACCCCCCATTGCCGGCATCGGTGCCTCCCTGGCCCCTGCGTCACTGTCACCGGCATCTCCACCACCTCCACCCAGCTCCCCGGCCCCCTCAGCATCTGCCCATCTACTGGGCAGCCCCGGCTGGTCCCGTCCGGAAGCTGCCCAGGGAATGTGGAGACACCAGTGTCTCCCTGAAACCTGGGCACCCTGGCTCCTGCCCACCTCCCCAGTCCACCAGCCCCTGCCCATGTCCCTTCCAGTCCTCCACTTCAGGCCCACCGGGTAGCACAGGCCAGGATCCTATCTCAGAGCATGGGCTTCAGGCTTGGTGCCTGCAGTTCCCACGGTGGCCCAGGGGAAGGGACACTTCTTAGCTCAGCCTTCCGGTATCACCAGCCTGCCCTGCCCTCTCCACGCCCTCCCCTGGCCGGCTCCAGCCAGCTCGCTGGACACTGGTCACCTCTCCTTGATTCCCAAATGTGCTGACCCTCAGAGTGGCCACCATGGAGAACCCAGAAGAAGACAGCAGCAGCAGGACCCTGGGTCTCTCTCTGGTCTTGACAATAGCCAGCTGTGACCAGGCAGCTGGGTACCCATGGGCCCTCCCTGTCCCTCAAGTGCAGCTCTGCCTGTGTCTGGGTGCTTTCTTGGAGGGTGGGGAGAAGGCTCCCCAAGTGAGCTTCAGTTGTCTCCCTGGAGGACAGAGAAGCCTGGAGGGTTTCTGCTGCTCTAGAACCCCCAAACCATATTGCCATTCTCCGGCTTATAACCTCCCCTTGCCTGGCTCCAGCCCCTCGTTCTGCGCAGTGGCTGGGACATGAAACTGGCCGCCTCCAGCGGCATTGTGTGGCCAGCAGAGTTGCTGTGAATGCCCAGGGCGCCAGCACCCAGTCAGTCTCAGGGCCAACACGGGGCTAGGGCCACCTGCTGACCACGAGGGCCGCCTCTTCTTCCTCCTGGATGGAAGTGGAAGTGAGAGAGAGGCTCCCAAGAAAGCCACCATGTGGCCAGAGCTGGGCCGGGCCTGCTCCTCCTGGCTCACGTTACCCATGACATGAGGGCTGCTGAGGCGCCTGCCATTCAGCCCTGGCCTCACACCTCTCACCCCCAGTGCAGCAGAAGCTGGAGCCAAGGACACGGGCAGAGGCCAAGGTGGCAGGCTGTGCGAGAAGCTGGGCTGGGCTGGAGAGGGGATGCACAGGCAGGAGGCAGAGAGGGCCTGTGCCCACGGCTGTCAGGCTGGGGACAGCAGGCCGAGCCCTGCGGCCCCGCCTCCCGCCTCCAGCACGGAGCCGCAGCCTGAATTATGGATGAGGCTCCTTGGGTTACAGCTGCTTCACGCGGCCAGAAATGGCAACAGTCCCCAGCCAGCAGCAGCTGTCACAGAGGGGCCAGCAGGGTCCCCCTCTGCCTTTCAGGGGCAGCAGGATGGCTGAGATGCTGCGGCCAGCAGGGGCCCAGGGCAGCCAGGGAGGTCTGGGGAGGCGCCTCTGCCCGCCCTGGCACTTTGGCCCAGCGGCAGAGGAGCCCAGACCAGGGCCCCACTCTGGGGCACCTGGGCTGCCTCAGGGGGTGGCCGTCTGGCAGGAGCTGCAGGAGCTCAGGATCCTCGTCGTCGTAGCACCCCCGCACCGCGTGGGGATAAGGCCGGCATTAGGGGATCAGAGAAGGATTTGGCTTCCTTTGGTGTTGGTCTCGGGAAGGAGGAGCTGGAGGGCAGCTGGCAGGAAGGACAGTGCCCTGGCAGGGCACCAGGGGACGCTTCTCCTGGCCCCAGTCCTGCACCACTTTGCTGTGTGACCTTGGCAGGCCGCCTGCCCTCTCTGAGCTCCAGTTGTCCCTATGGAGAACAGAGAAGCCTGGAGGGTTTCTGCTGCTCTGGAACCCCCAAACCTCAGCACTCAGCACACCCACCCGCTCGGGGCTCGGGTGGGGACGAGTGATGAGAAATGCGCCCCTCCACCCCACGCGGGTCTGAGAAACTGGAGAACGCTCTCGGGAAACGCTCCGGGGGGAGGGGAGCGGCCGAGAAACGCAGAGGCGGTGTGAGGGGGGAGCAGGGCGCTGTGTCACCATGTATGACATCACACCCCACCCACACACACGGGGCCGCGGCGCACGCACACACGCACGCGCCCGCAGAACAGCAGGTGCCATCCACGCACTCACGGGTCTTGGGGTGGCACCGCGGGGTCACTGGCCTGTGCCCCAGAAGAGGCCTCCCGCGGGGTGTCCTTCCCCACGCGGCTCTCGCACTGCCCTGTGTCACGCAGAAGGGCACACAGTGCCACACACAGCCGGGGGGAGCAGGGTGCAGCCTCAGGTCTGGGGCTCACCGCGCGTCTCAGGATGGCTGCTGGCTCTGTGGTACGGCTTGGAGTCTACCAGGCATCAAGACAGAGGGTAAGGGTAAGGTCAAGCCAGGAGCAGGGCACTGCCCATGCACACCCTCCACTCACTCTGGGCACCTGCAGCCAAGGTGGCGTGAGGAGCGCGGGCACCGCTGGGGAGCTTCACTCTTGGGGCCATGGCAGTTGATGCTGTTTAGTCATGGCTGGTGGCCACAGGGGAGGCTCCTGGTCCCCGAGGCTGGTCCCCTCCCCGACGGTGACAGCACAGCAAAACGGGGGAGGACACCGTGGTCACGGTGCTGGCCTGGGCCACCCCAGCTCGAAGGGGCCTGAGCATGGCACTCTGGCGAGTGGGCTGCAGGGACATTTGTCGACGTCTGGAGACATTTTGATGGTGACAACGGGGGCTGCTGCTGAGTGGGGCACTGGGGCGGGGAGCCTGGAGCCATGTCTGACATTAATCTTTGAGTGGGGTCGCACCGACATGGTGAGGACAACAGCAACAGATGGCATTTGTCACCGCTCCAAATATGTCACCATGCTTCTGTGATACGCTCCTGGTGAAGGTTTTGGTTTCCTTGGGGTTTCATTGTTGTTGGTGTGGGGGGCAGCACTGGGGGCAGAACCAAGGGAACTTTTTGGGGGACCTGGGGAGTTGAGACGAGGTCTTGTGGCTTTGGACTCCAGGCAGTCCTCCGGCCTCAGCCTCCTGAAACCCAGGATTTCAGGAGTGCCCACCACGCCCAGTGCTACTTTTTAACATTGGGCCCCCCAAAGAGCCTCAAGGGAGAAGCAGGAGACTGGTGGGCCTCCCAGCCCGTATGCCCCTCAGCATGCTGTCCCCACAGGTCCCCCGGCCTGTCTGCTGCTGCTGCTGGCCCTGCCCACGGTGGCACCCAGCTGCCCCATGCTGTGCACCTGCTACACATCCCCGCCCACCGTCAGCTGCCAGGCCAACAACTTCTCATCCGTGCCCCTGTCGCTGCCGCCCGGCACGCAGCGCCTTTTTCTGCAGAACAACCTCATCCGCACGCTGCGGCCCGGCACCTTTGGGCCCCACCTGCTCACGCTGTGGCTCTTCTCCAACAACCTCTCCACCATCTACCCGGGCACCTTCCGCCACCTGCAGGCCCTGGAGGAGCTGGACCTCGGTGACAACCGGCACCTGCGCTCACTGGAGCCCGACACCTTCCGGGGCCTGGAGCGCCTGCAGTCGCTGCACCTGTACCGCTGTCAGCTCAGCAGCCTGCCCAGCACCATCTTCCGTGGCCTGGTCAGCCTGCAGTACCTCTACCTCCAGGACAACAGCCTGCTGCACCTGCAGGTGAGTGGAGCCCTCCGCCTCAGCCTCCCTGGCCCTCTTTCCCCACCCCTTCCTTGGGTTTCTGCCCCCCTTTGCTTCTCTGACTCCCCAGCCCCTGTGCCTTGGCCTGCCGGCCTGTCTGCCTGCCTTTCTGTCTGTTGTCTGTCCCTCCCTCCCCCTCCTGCCTGACCCCTTCTCTTCCCGTCTGTCTCTCTCCACACAGTATCATCTCCCCATCCCAGTGTGTGTCTGAGGTGGGCGTGTCTCTTTATTTTACTCATTTACTTTGAGACTGGGGTCTCCCTGTGGAGTTCAGGCTGATCTTAAGCTCACTATGTAGCCCAGGCTGACCTCGAACCTGTGGCAATTGATCCTCCTGCTTCGGCCACACCCGTGCTAGTGTGACAGGTGTGCGCCACCACACCCACCAGTGTGTGTCTTCCTGAAGTCTCTCCTTGTTTGCCTTCAGGGGATCCTGCCTTTCCTGGGAACCCCAGTCCAGAGCCCTCTGGAGCTCCTTTTGTCCCCACCCACCCCATAGCAGCTATCGGGGGCGGAAGGCAGAGGCATTGCTGCTGGGCTCTCCCTTTTTCCAAACCCCTGGGACCCGGTGTGGGAGACCCCACACTTTCGAGCGCCCTGTATCCCAAACCTGCCAGCTCCAGACCAGTCGGAAACAGATGCAACACAAGAAGGAGGCGATAATTGTTATTTATTATTATAATTATTGATTTGATTACTGTTTATCCTGGCTGTGATGCACAACAGGCCTCCATCCTACTTCCAGAGGAAGCACTCCTTCAGGAAGCCTTCCCAGCTGGCACAGCAGTGGCAGGGACAAAGACACAGCGCCCTCTCCAGCCGAGATGCGCTCCCCCCTCACACCTTGGGACCTGCTGGGTGGCCAATGGGATTCCTGACGCCATTGCCTGGGGTGCCAGCCATAGTGAAAATCACTTAGCAAGCACCCATGGAGCACTGAGCACCACCCTTCGATGCGGGGTGCTGAGAGTGCAGTAGCAGGACAGACATGGAGGCAGTGTGGTAGCATCCCAGCAGCAGGCTTCCTGTGTTGTCACTGCTTAAATCAGGACAGCCCTGTCGGGCTGGCAGCCCACACTGGAATCCCAGTACTTGAGAGGCTGAGGCAGGAGGATCCGTGTGAGTTTGCAGCCAGCCTGGACTCCGGAGCAAGAATCTGTCTCAGAAAAGCGTACCGATCACGATGACCGTGGTGGTTGGTGGTCACAGAGCCACCACTCCAGACCAGGCCCTGTGTGCTTTATGGAGCCGCAACCCTGCCATTCACAAGAGCATCCAGTTCCTTAACCTGGGCCTCAGTTTACCCTCCTGTGAACCAGGGACAGCAGAGATGCCCCCTCCCTGGGATCCCTGAGCATTCAACACATGAATAATTTGTAAACCACTTAGAATAGAGCTTGGCATCGAAGAGCACCAGATAAATGCTTGTTAGAGAGAGAGAGAGAGAGAGAGAGAGAGAGAGAGAGAGAGAGAGCGTTATTTACCTCTGGCCTTGAAGTGCCCTGTCCTTGTGGAGAGTGAGGGCCATGTCGGGGATCTTCCCGAGGCCGGGAGGGGGTGGAACACACCTCCTTTTTTTCTTACCAGATTTGCCTGGCACCACATGATTTACAAAACGCTCTTGGCGCCTCTCCTCACACCCACGGCTCTGTTGGGAGAGTGGTTTTTTTGGTTTTTTGTTATTTGGAATTTTTTTGAGATAGTGTCTGACTATGTAGTCCAGGCTGACTTTGAATTCACAGCAATGAACCCTCCTGCCTCAGCCTGCCGAATGCTGGGATGAGGGGTGGGTGGCTGGGTACAGCCCCAGCCTGCTTTGTTGGGGGAGCAGTTTCACTTTGTAGTGAACCAGGAGGAACCAGGGGCCAGCGCCTGCACATTTGCTGTGTGTGCCAGGGACCCTGCCTGAGCCTCATGGTGGCCCAGCCTCAGGGATGCTCTGGGATGTGGAGCTGACTCCAGTCCCCCAGGGGCTCCTTCTTGAAAGCATTACTCCAGAGCCCACCTAGTGGCCTAGTGGCCCAGTGCAGCTGGCCCAGCCCACACCTCAGCTTCCTTGTCCATCACCTGGGAATAGTGAAAGCCTTGCTTCCCTCGGGGATCTGACGGGATTGAGCAGTCATCTAGTGCCAAGCAGACCATGAGGGCATGGAGGACTTGACCTGGGTCAGCACTCGAGGCCAGGGCCTCAGCAGGACACAGGCGGGGGACCTCAGGAGTATGGGCTCCCACTCCAGGCCATGGGCACTGTGGGCAGCAGCCTCCACACCCAGGCCTGAGCAGAGGAAGCAGCCAGCTGGGCCCCTGAGCACTAGGGCAGGTGAGGGCTGCGTGGGCTGGGGTGTGATGTGGCAAGCGTGTGACCCACAGGCTGTAGCCGGCTCTGCTGCTGGAGTGCATCCAGAGGAGGAGTGGGGGCGGTTGTCATTGTCACAGGCATTGGGGTGTTGAGCTCTTCCTCCATGAGTCCTGCGAATGACCTTTGGCGGCCACAGGAGATCAGACTCACAGTGGGCCCAGCCGGTGTCTGACATGGGGTGGCCACTGTGGTTTAGTTTCACAGACTCAGCAAAGGCAGGCAGAGACCACCAGCTGTCAGGGACGCGGCTGGCACTGTCCCCAACCAAGCTGCTGAGGTCCATGGCCTGTCAGCTGCTGGCCCTGTCCCCCCACTGGCCTCTGGTCCTGGAATCCCTCCCAGGATTGTGAGGACCAAGCTGCTCCCACAGAGCCTGGTGAGAGACAGGCAAGGGGACACCCGCTGCACCGAGCCAGTGTGCTGTGCTAGGGGGTTCCTCGAGTCCACCACACACATTCACACACAGAAAGCCCAGGCCCAGAGAGGCCCTGGTGTGCCGGAGGAGGGGGCGCTGATTGCAGACTCGAGGGGACCAGCTGCAGGGGAGCGTGGGGAGGAGGATGCTACAGGCCCTGAGCCGAAGTGGCTGCTCACTAGCCTGGAGCTGGAGCTGGAGCTGAGGGAGGGCAAGGATGAGGCTGGCAAGCCAGGCTGTGAAAGTCGGGCTCATTAATGCACTGAGAACCACTCCTCCTGCTGGGGTGGAAGCTTGGAGGGGGAGGGGACATCCCAGTTTAGGGCTCAGAGGGGGCAGGGCTCTGCAGAGACACAGAGAGGAGTCCGAGGTCAGGGCACCTGGGGGCTGTGTGTGTGTCTTGCTGTGGGGACCAGGGCTCAGGGTGCCCTCTGTGTGGCCCACAGGATGGCAGCATGGCCAGGGGCACCATGGCAGGCTTGGCTCTGGACACCAGGTGAGCAACAGCCAGGCTGGAAGGGCAAGCACAGGAAGTAGGGGGCCCTCCCTGACCTGGCCAAGATGGCAGAGCACAGGCAGGCCTCCAGCCACCACCTGGCTCTTCAGGGCATCCAAGGACCGCAGGGGAGGCAGATCCTGCCTAGGCACCAGCTGCTCACTGCCACCCCCAGCCCACTGGCCTTACTGCAGGGCTCTGGACAATGGGTCCCCACAGCCACAGTGGTGCAGGCGATGCCACAGTGCCACCCAGCCCTGCAGCTTGGGCCCCTGTAACCCAGCCTGGCTGCAAACTTCTGGTCCCCGGGGATGCTCCCGGGAGGAGATGGGAGTGGGCTGATGACCAGGACGGGTGCACTCCTACACTGCTCAGGCTGCTTTCTAGTGCCAGGTGCAGCCCCACATGTCTCTCCCTGTCGGCCACACTGAGGCAGCTGAGACTGGATGAGTTTAAAATGTGCCCGAGTAACCTGATGTGGTAGTGGACGCCTGTCAGCCTAGCACTCGGGAGGCTGAGGCAGGAGGATTGAGTTTGAGACCAGCCTGGGTTACAAAATGAGGTCAAGGGCAGCCTGAACTACATAGCAAGATCCTTTCTCAAAAAGACAAAACACACACGGGGTGTGTTTAAAAGTAAAGGACATGTTGCCAACCTTCACCAGAATCCTCCACCTCCCCTCACACACTCCTCCCATCATCCTGGCCGCTTTCTGCAGCAGCTCTGGCATGCTCTTTCCTGAGGCCTGATTAAAAATGCAGCAACTGCCTCGCCATGCAGCAGGAGGGCAGCTGGGAACCAGTGCCTGCCCTCCCCCTCATGCACCAGACACAGAACTGCGGGGCTGCTGGGTCTTCCCCAAGGTCAAAGTGACCTCGAACAGAAAACATTTTGAACCAGTTGTGGATGTGCCGTGGCCACAACAGCTCAAGTGAAGACCCTCAGGAAAGAGGACTCCAGAGCTGCTGCAAACAGCACCGCAGCGAGGAGCTGGATGGAGGCAGAGGCAGGGTTCGTGGGGATTTCCTGGCGCTGCGTCTTGCTATCACTGTCTTCAGTGTAAAGAGCCTTCACGCAGGACTTTGTCATTACGCCTTGTAGTGGGCAGGGCAGACAGAGACAGTCCCAGACCCCCGTGTGGAGATCACCCCTTCCTGCCCCTTCCCTTCCCAGCCCATGCCCACCACGCTCAGCCCCCTCTCTGCCCTCGCCCCCAGGATGACCTGTTCGCGGACCTGGCCAACCTGAGCCACCTGTTTCTGCATGGGAACCGCCTGCGGCTGCTAACTGAACACGTATTCCGCGGCCTGGGCGGACTGGACCGGCTGCTGCTGCACGGGAACCGGCTGCAGGGCGTGCACCGCGCGGCCTTCCGCGGGCTGGGCCGCCTCACCATCCTCTACCTGTTCAACAACAGCCTGGCCTCGCTGCCAGGGGAGGCGCTGGCCGACCTGCCCGCGCTCGAGTTTCTGCGTCTCAACGCCAACCCCTGGGCCTGCGACTGTCGCGCGCGCCCCCTTTGGGCCTGGTTCCAGCGCGCGCGGGTGTCCAGCTCCGATGTCACCTGCGCCACCCCTCCCGAGCGCCGAGGTCGCGACTTGCGGTCACTGCGCGAGGCCGATTTCCGCGCGTGCCCGGCGGGGCCGCGGCCGGGTGGGAACGGCGCAGGCACGGGGAGTGGCGGGCGTGCGCGCGGCAACAGCTCCTCCAACCACCTGTATGGCGTGGCCGAGCCTGGCGCGCCCCCCGCCCCCCCAGCCACGCTGGCGCGGGACCTCCCAGCCGAGGATGCAGACGCTCGTGGGCGCCATGCCGGGAACGCCAACGAGGACGCGCCCACCGAGGACGACTACTGGGGCGGCTACGGCGGCGGGCGCACGTGCCCGGGACCCTCGTGCCGCGCGCCCCCGGGCTCGCGGGGGCCCGCGCGCACTCCCGTGCTGCTGCACGCCCCGCTGCTCTGCTTGCTGGCCCTGGCGCCACGGCACTTCTAATGGGCACGGGCCCGCGCCCCTGGCCTCGCTGCCTCAACTTTACTCTGCTGCGTCGCACTGCACCGCGTGGCCTTGCCAGGCCTCGCAGGCTGCTGACTCGGCGCGATGTGGACTTCAGCCATCCACTCTCCGTCCCCAAACCGGGGCTGGGCGTCTCCAGGCAGCCCTGACCCCCGCCCGGCGCCTGCCCGCAGGGTTCCCGGGGACTGCTGTCCGCAGAGCATCTTCCACCAGCACAGCCTTGGGCGTTCCCGGAGGGCCGGCCTGGACCTCGCTGCCTCGGCATCCTGCCGCCGCCGCCACCGCCGCCACCAGAGGAACGCTGTCCTCCTGAGTCTACCCAGGACACTGTCTAGGGTCCCCGTGAGAGCTTTCTTTTCCTCCACGGCCCCTGTGTGGTGACGACGATCAGAAGTTGTTTGAGAAAAAAGTTTATTAAAAATTCTATTATTTTACCTGGAAGACTGTTTTGGCTCAAGACGTCAGAAGCAGGAAATAAGCTTTGACCTGCAAGGACAAGGGGACTGGGGAGTTGGAGGAGAAGCCTCCTGGGCACGGAGCCCTGCTGGGGGTTCCCTCAAACCCAGGCCAGGGCAAATCTGGTAGCTGAACTTGGGGAGCAGAGTGTGCTTGGGCAGTGTGCAGCTTGCCCAACTGTCCTCAGCCACCCTGGGGACACCCACTCTGCCCTGGCTCCTGGGTGGGAGAAGCATTGCCCAGGCAAGGGAGAAGAAGCAGCTCGGGGGTGGAAAAACAGGCACCTTCCCAAGGGCCAGCAAGGATGACTTGCAGGCATGTGGCCAGCCCGGTCCCAGGACAGAGCAGCTGAAGTTTGGTAGTTTGCTTTAGGAATCCAGAATCTAGCTTGGGGCCAGGCATGGTGGCTCAGGCCTGTCCTCCCACCACACTAGGAGGCTGAAGCAGGAGGACGGCTAAGCTGCCCAAGCAGCTTAGCAGGAGCAGGTCTCAAAGTTAGAAAGCAGGGTGGGAGGTACAGCTCAACCAAAGTAACAGAAGTTGCCATCATGGGCCTCAAGCTCGGGAGGCAGGAAATGATGGGATGGAAGAATGGGAGACCTGGGGTGAGGCTGGAGGTGGCTGCTGAGGTCCCTGCTACCTACACATGGGAGTCCACCTTCCCTTTGTGTCCCTGGAAAAGCACCATCCCCACCTTTTTACATTTCGTTTTTAAATTGTGCAACAAGGCCTTGCTAAGTCATTACATGGCCATGGCTGGGCTGGAGCTTGCAACCCTCCTGCCTCAGCCTCCCAGAGTGCTGGGCTGACAGGCCCAGCGGCGGCAGGGGTGTGGGGTAGTCGCCAAGGCCAGGGTCTGCTGAGCTTGCCAATGGGACAGGGAGCCGAGGCAGGCAGAGCCCTGGCGGAGGAGGAGGGAGAAGAGAAGGAGGAAGGGCTGCTGGGAAACGCAGCCGTCCAGGTCACGGAATTAGCGCGTGAAATATTCATGGGCCGCGCGCGAGTCCAGATGCTATTTGGAGCAGCGGAGCGGGAGGCGCGCGCCAGTCGGGAGAGAGCCTCCGCCCCCAAACAGACCCGGTCGCCGGCACGTGCGCACCCACGCGTGGACACGCGCGCACACACACGCACGTGCGGGCCGCCCGCTCACGCCGGTGCACCGCCGGGCACGCACACCCCGCGCCCGAACCCATCCCAGCCCCTCCCCACCGACCCAGATTCCCAGTTTTGTGCCTGAATCCGCAGCAGCCGGCGTTCAAGGCCACTCAGCCGCGCCCGCCCGGCCCTGCGGGAAGGAGCGGGAACCCAGCCGCCACCGCCTCCTGCGCGCCCGCTGCCGCCAGACTCCGGGCGGTTGTAGCAGCGCCTCCCCCACCTCGCTTGCTTGCGCGGCTCCCGGCCTCCTCCTGGCCCCGGTCCATTCTCGGCTTCCCATCCCCTCCTCCTGCTCAGTTCCGCGCGCCTGTGGGAGTAAGGGAGCGGCAGGGATCGCGCGCCTGGCTTCCCGCTTCGGGCCCCGGCCTCCGTTAGCCGCGGTGTCGCTCCAGAAACCTCCGTGGCTCCGTTGTGCACGGGTGGAGGAGCATGGCCCGGGGCCAGGCACCCGGGACCTTCGTCTTCTCCTTAGCGTCCTCTCCAGCAATGTTGGGGTCCCCACGCCCCGCGAACACCCCGCGGGTGCTAACCGGAGTTGCTCAGTCTCCCCCAACTAGGAAGCCGCCCTGGGCCTCAGACCTCAGATCCCTGCCCCAGGACCGGGTGTCCCAGCTCGGGGTGTCACCCGCGCCCCCGCCCCAGCGCGCGGATCCCTGCGCCCCCTGCCCGCCGTGCTGGGAGTCGCAGCTGGGCTGAGCTGCGGGCGAGCATCGATCGGATCGGTCCGTGCGGGCGCCAGATGCCGGGCCTAAGCCCTTAAGCCGCTCGGGCCGTGGGGGTGGGGTGGGGCGATTGTGGCCCCTGCTTCCCAGCTGGCCTCTGCGCGCGACGGGACCACCCCCGCCGCGTGCTGCGGGGGTCTGGGCCGGGACCCTGCCTTCCTGGGACCCTGTCCGCCCAGTGCCGGCGGGGTCAGCGGGTCAGGTAGCCATGCATCTTTAATGCCCGGCCCGGCCGTCAGACGGCCCGAAACCCGAGCGCGGGGCTGTGCCCTGAGCGCGGAGTCCTTGCCAGCCCGTGGCCCCAGGGACAGCAGGCGGCAGGCAGCCGGGACTGCTCCCCAACGGCCTCCAGAGGGGCCTCGTTCCCTTCTGCTGACCCGGTTGTGTGTCCTCTTTGGTCATCGAGCAGTTTGTTTTCTGTTTTGTTTTGGAGACGCGCCCTCGCTGTGTCAGCCATGCTGGCCCTTAACTCGCGGTGATCCTCTTGCCTCAGCCTCCCAAGCACTGAGATTCTTACCTCTCCCTCGTCCATCCCTGTCCCTGTCCTGTGCCACGTGCCACCCTGCCAGAAGCCACCCTGAGCTGGGGACAGGATGGGTGGCCCCCAAAGCTAAGCTGCCCATAGGGGAGGACGCAGGCAGCCGAAGCCTCATGGAGACGTCTGCTGGACGGGAGGATGGAGAGGGGGAAATGAACCTCGAGAAGCCGGGCGCTGGGGACTCTTGCTGGCTGCACCCCACTGAAGCCCCCTGGAGGGCGCGGGGCCAGTCAGCCCTTTCTGGGGGAAGCCTGGACACGTGCTGGTCTCCCCTCCTTTTGACAAGCTGCTCCCTGCCCCCGACCCAGCTCATCTGCATAAGGTTCCATTTAACACATTTATCCTCCACTAACTGCGATCCCTGGACTCGCTTCGCGCCGCCCCTCACCCCAATTAACCAGTGAGACCCAAGGTCGTGACCCCCGGCAGCGCGGACCACGGTGGAGCCCAAGGGCACATGCCAGGGCTGCACACCGCTCAAGGAGGTCAGAGCGAGCGGCTGAGACGGGGAGGGAGGGGGCTTCTCCAGGGAGACTCGGGGCGTCGAAATTCCTGTTCCTCATCCTCGGGCCCCCGCCCCCCTCCGCCTCCTCCCCAGCCATCTGTTCCCTCCGCAGCGCCGCGACAAACACGGCTCGGCTCGCTTCCGCCATCCCTTCCCCCTTCTCCCTCCCCCTCGCCCCTCTCAGTCCCCGGGTGGGAGCGAGAGCCTGGTGTCAGTCTCGTCCCCGCACGCACGGGCCCAGCTGGCGGGGTCGTGGGGTCCCCGCCGTCCAGTTTGTCCCCGCGTTCCCGCAGCGCCACCTGCCGGACGCTCCGAGCTCCGCGCACCCCGACCTGCAGGTCTCGCGCCCCAGACTGTGGGGACAGCACTGGACAGGGGCTGGGAACGGGGGTCAGCAACCGCAGAGTCTGCGGGAGTGAGCGCAGCGCGGGCACGCAGGCTGTCCTGCAGCGCAGGGAGGCTGAGGCGGGAGGATCACCACCAGTGTGAGGTCAGCCTGGACGACGGTGAGAGACTGTGTCTCAAAAAGCAAACGTAAACCCAGTCTACCAGGAAGCTCAGTTTGTGTGGAGTTCGAACACAAAGTAGGAGGCGCTAAAAGGCGCGCCCAGCGGGGTCTGGGGCATCCAGTTTAGCGCCTTTGGGGCACCTGACACCCCCCTCCCCCAGCCCCGTGTGCCAAAGCACAGGCGCCCTCTGCCCAGGGCAGGGGACAGCCGGGCTGGATGCAAAGAACGGTGCCGCCCTGGCTCAGGCCCGCCTCAGCGTCCCTTTTCACTTCCTCCAAGACCAAGGAACAGCACCAGGAGGGAGCCTGCCTGGCCCCCTAGATCAGGACACTGCACCCACTGGAGGGGTGGCACAGTCTGGCCAGAGGGATGGGGACGTAGCTCCGTGAGGGCCCTGTGTGAGTCCTGCAGAAGCTCTGCCTGGGGCTCTGCGCCGGCATGGGACCCGGTGGCTCTGGTGGCCCCTGGCCTGAAGTCCTTGGCTGTGGATGGACATCAGGCTGCCACCTTGGGAACACAGGGAGCCGTAGGGGGTCCCGGGCCAGGCTTGGCCAGCTGCCTCTGGACCCGGGCTCGGTAGTGGAAGAGGTAGGCAGGCAGCAGGAAGCCCAGCAGCGAGCACAGCAGCAAGCCCAGGTTCACCTGTGGGCAGGGAGAGAAGCTGAGTCAGCGGCTGGGCCACCACACTGGGCCTCCCTGAGGTGGGCCTGGCCCGTGATGGCCCAGTGTCCCACTCAGCCTGGGAACAGGAGGTCTCTGACCACACAGAGACAGCAGCCAGGCCCAGGACGGCAGCCCCCAAGGACCACACTGCTTTCGAAGAACCAGGCATGTGTCCATCTCAGGAAGAAGCTGCCAGGCATGGTGGCCACTGTGAGCCCAACACTTGGGAGGCTGAGGCAGGAAGGCAGCCCCGAGATCAAGGCCAGCCTGGGCTCCAATAGTGAGCTCAAGGCCAAACCATACTGCACAGCAGGCCCTGTATTACAAAAAGGAGCAAACAAAATGCCGGACACCTGCTGAGAGAGGAGGGGAGTTTGGTTTGGTTTTCATGTTGCAACAGGCAGGACTAAACTCAGGGCCTTTGCACGGAGCTGCTGCACCCCCACCCCTTATATTTTTTATCTCAAGACAGGGTCTTGCTAATTTGCCCGTGCGGGGCTGTGGCTTGTGATCCTCCCACCTCAGGTTCCCAGAGTGTGGTGACGTGTAGGCCGCCTCCCCCACCCTGCCCCCTGGTCCCAGCTCTCACCCAAAAGGGCTTCCCGTGCAGCGGCCCCAGCATGACCATGAAGAGTGGCTGCTGCAGCAGGGCGAACACGGCACTGATGAGCGACTGCAGGCCGGTCAGTGTCCCGAAGTGGCTGGACGGGAACCTGCAGGCAGCCCAGCATTAGGACCCTCGCACCCCACACCCACCCTGTCCCTGCCCTGGCTCCTCACAGGGCCCAGCCCTGACCTTGGGATCTCTGGAGTGGGCCCTGTGGGGGCGGTACATGCCCATCATCAGCCCTCTGAGAGACTGAGGCAGGACAGTCCCAAGCATGAATGGCAACTCAGCAAGACCTTGCCTCAGATTCACAAAATACTTGGAAAGGGTTGGAAATATAAATAATTCTGTGCTAAGGCTCTGTGTTCAATCCATAGTACCAAAAAATAAAAATAAAGAAGGTCGCCGGGTCAAGAACAGGGTGGCCCAGACAGCACCCACAACCAGCATCTGGGGCAGGGAGTGGGGTTCAGGAGGCCCGGGCCCTGTGCGGCTACTCACACGGCGGCGTACAGGCCCCCACAGGCTGAGTGGAAGAAGCCACGGACCATGGTGTGCAGGATAAAGGTCACAAACTGAAACCAAAAGGAGAGGGGAACAGTCAGGAGACCCCAGGCTGTGGCTGGCGCTCACATCTGGGAGACTGAGGCGGGAGGATCCCGAGTTCGACCAGCCTGGCCTGAGCAATGAGGGGAGACCCTGTTTCAAAATAAGAAAGGGTTCCTGGTGTAGCTGAGTGCGCAGGCCCCAGTACCATTGAATGTGGCAAATCTAAAATGCTCCCCAAACCCCGCAGGGGTAGAAGGCCCGAGTCTGGCATATTTCCTCATGGCAACGGGGCCACAGAGGGCTACCTGTAGGGGCAAGCTGTCGATGAGGCAAGTGACCCCAAAGCCCACAAGCAGCAGGTTGGTCAGGACGAAGGCATTGATGGCATTGGTGAGCTTCTGAGTCCTGCAGTAGCGTGGCCTGGAGGACTTGGTGGCTGATGAGTCCCTGGGAAGAATCAGAGGTCACCCACTGCCTCAACCTCCCCTGGCTCCTAGCTCTGCCCCTGCCAGTGAGCAGAAAACCTTTCCTCTGACTGGCTCTCAACTACTAGCTACGAGCAGCACCCGGGGGCTCCTGAAAATGCAGATTCAGAGACCTCAGATTCTCTGGAGTGAGCCAGGCAGGTGACACACAGCTGTCATCAGCAGTCTGGGAGGCTGAGGCAGGAGGACCCCAAGTTCCAGCCCAGCCAGGGCAACTTAGACCTTACTGAGACCCTATCATAGAATAAAAAATAAGGCATGGTGGTGCATGCCTGCCATCCCAGCACTCAAGAGACTGAGGCATGAGGATCACTGTGGGTTCAAGGCCAGCCTGAACTACATAGCAAGACCCTGTCTCAAAAACATTAAAAAATAAAGTAAAACGGGCCAAGGCTGCAGTCCCATGCAGAGCTTGGGTTCAATTCCCAGAGAGAGGGAGACAGACAGACAGACAAACAGACTGTCACCCCAGAAGCCCACCTTTGTGAAGTCCCTCCTGGTGCCACCCAGGTCCTCTTGTGAGGGACAGTGTGCAGCCTTAAGTGGCCTGGGCTGCTGCAAAGACCATACTGTAAAAATCCCTGGCCTCTGCCTGCCCCACTGCAGCACCTAGGATCCCTGCAGCCCTCGCCCTGGCTGGGCACAATCTGAAGAGGGAAACTGAGGCAGAGATGCCTCAGTGACTGTGAGATGGAACGCAGCTATGTTTGGTTTTGTTCTGTGTGCTGGGGATGGAGCCCAGGGCCCCCACACACACTGAGCAGGAGCTCAGACCCACGCTCCTCCCAGCCTGGATGCCGGTGGACAGGGACACTTTTTATGTAGCAGTGCACAGCTGATGCAGCCCAGGAGGGCACTGCAGCCAACCCTGCGGGTGACTGGCTGAGGTCCTCACCCTTGTGACCTCTATCAGCTGCACAGTGAGGGCAGGATGGAGTAAGACCACCTGGGACCCCACCAGCACCACCACCAGCTCTTCTGCATTTTTTGTTTGTTTTTCCAGTTTTGGGTTTTGTTGTTTTTTGATATAGGGCCTCTATATGTTGTTCAGGTTGGCCTTGAACACACAGTGCTCCTCCTGCCTGGGCCTCCTGAGTGCTAGGATGACAGGAGTGTTCCACCACATCCAGCTCTTCTTATCCATAAGCAAACTGTGCCCCTCTGGCCTCAGTTTCCCCATCTGTAAAATGGGGAGAAAGCCCTGCCACCAGTGTCCAGGGAAATGAGAGCTGCATGTGCAAGCACAAAGGACATGAAAACCCCTCGAGGTCCCCAGCCCATGAGTCACCTGGCCTCTCCATGGCCAGAGCCTCTGGCTGGGGCATCCACACAGTCCTTGATCTGCCAGTCCATGACGTAGCCAATGAGGGGGCAGGTGACGAGGCAGAGCAGCTGCATGGCCCCGAAGACAGATGAGTAGAAGCTGACTGGGGGTGGGAAGAGTGGTTTGAACCACAGGCAGGGCCTTCCCACCCCGACTCTCTGCCCCAGGTCTTGGCCACAAGGGTGACAGCAGCCGTGGGCCTGGCCAGGTTCTACCTGTCTCAGTCGCCTTCTGTCGAAGCTCGCTGGTCTCTGTGGATTGGAAGGCAGGCACCGTGAGTGGTGGGAAGGGGACCCCAGCCCTGTCCTGGCCCAGCCCGTGGCTCACCATACTCCGGACCCCCGGTCACCAGGAACTCCAGCATCTTGTTCATGGCAGCCATGTAGAAGATGACACGCAGCTGCGTGATGCCCATGGTCAGCAGACTCCACAGGAAGATGGGGGAAAGCAGGCTCTTGCGAAAGGGGATGGCCTCTGGAGACAGCAGGGCTCCCCCTGAGCCCCAGAACTTTCCCTCTGCCTGTGCCAGCACTGAGCTACATCCTCAGGCCAGGTTCCAACCTGCAAACTTGAGCCCTTCCTGCTTCATCCTCCCGGGAAGACTGAATGACAGGTACGAACCACTGCACCTGGCTAGCTCGGCTCCTAACTGTCTCCACGGAGCATCTTTAAGGGCGTTGTGGATTCAAACCCTACGGGGCATGTGTAACAGCTCTCTGAGACAGGACTCAGCGATGTTCCCCAGGCTAGTGTGAACTCCCTAACCCCGGTGATCCTCCTGTCTCAGCCACCATCTTAGGGGTGGGGGTGGGGGTGACGGCCCTCAGGCCTGTGTTGCTCACCACCGCCTTCTCTCGGGCAGCCGCCTGTCGCGGGGGCAGGGCAGCCCATCCTCCCCGAAAGGCTTAACACATGGGCACAGTGCCTCTTGTGGGCAGCAGGGGGCGCTAAGCACCAGAGGCCGAGCCTGAGCATTCTAACCAGGTTACACCTGATTCCCTGCCTGGGGTCAGCAGCATCCCGGTTCCCCTCTCCACCTGGAGTGCTCCCTGTCCTGAGCCTGAGCCTGCACCTGATTCATGAACGTGGGGATCTCTGGTTCTTGACCTGTGGGCGGACAGTGCACCCCAGCCCCCAGCCACACGGGGGAGGGGGGGAGGGAGGCTGTGGGGACCACAGAGGGGCTAGAGGGACACTTACTCTCAGGCTGGCCGTGGGAGGCGCCCGTCCCGTCCCGGGGGACTAGAAAGGCATCAGTCCCCTTGTCCAGGCTGGGCACTTCCTGGCTCAGCCGCTGACCCACAGCGGTTGCGTGGCTGTAGAAGCGGTCGCCAGTGACCTTGTGGTCCAAGGCCAGCCCTGCGAGCTTGACCTTCTGCCTGCGGAGCAGAGCCTACCCTCAGCCACCAGCAGCCAACCCAGCCAGGAGTTCCTGTGTCCTCCTCCGGGCCGCTCCAGACCCACACACCCAAGGCGCTTGCACCCTCCGCTGAGGGTCCACGCAGCATCTGATGCCAGTGCAGGTGACCTCCTGTTCTGATCGCCACCAAACCCGGAAAGGAAAATCGCTAGGAGGCCAGCACTGCTCGGCCAACCACCTCCAGAAGGAGGGGGCCAGGCCCGCGGCACCCGGAGCTTCCACCGCTCTCCTGCCCGCAGCTCCCCTCCAGCAGGGGGCGCCCCTTCGCCCCCAGGCCCTACAGCCACCTGTAGTCCACTTCCTCGGGGGCGGGGAATGGCTCTGACGGCCAGTTGAGGGCGCAGTTGAGGAAGATCAGGCAGGCAAGGCCGGACCACGCGCACATGATGCCCACGAAGGGCACGCCAGCCTCGTAGATCAACTGCAGGGACAGAGAGGCCGTGCTGGAGGAGGCTGCCTGCCGCCCCCTGGAGGCAGAGCTCGGCCTGCAGGGCCTCTTCACCCCGCTGCCTTGGCCTGGAAACCAAAGCCAGAGACAAAGAGCCGCACCCCGCAACCCCACGCTGGCTCTTCCACCCGCACCAGGGCCCCCCAGGAAGGATGCACCAGGCCCCCGAGTGCTGGTATGGCTGCCCCTGCCCCAGGCGTCCTGATTTTTCTCATGATTTTGTTTTGTTTTGTTTTTTGAGACAGCGCCTCAGTGTGTAGTCCAGGCAGGCCTCCTGTCCACCCCACCATAATCCTCCCAGAACCCTAGGACCTGCCCCTGGACAGCTGTGAACCCCTCTTGCTGCCCACCGCAGCTCTGTGGAGCAAACCTCCACTTTTCCCTCTTCACTTCTTTTTTTTTTTTTTAGTCACTTTTTGCAGTGTAGCCCTGACTAGCCTCAAACTGCCAAGGATCCTCCTGCCTCAGCCTCCCCCCAAGCATTGGGATGATGGCTGTGCAACGTGACTGGCTCTTTTGTTTACTCTTGTCATTGCCTTTTGGACAAATCTGACTTCTGTTCTCTTTGAGTGTCCTGCTTAACTCTTTGCAACTCCTCCAAAGACTGCCCCCCAGAAACGTGAACACTGATTAGAGAGTGGGGAGCAGCAGATCAAATCGAGCCTTCAGCCCCAAGGGAGGAGGAGCTGTTCTGGGTACTCGGGGCAAGAAAGCAGCATGAGGACGAACGGACCTCACAGGAGGCTGCCCCTACCGGCCCCAGCCAGGTTCACCTCGGCCCAGGGACCTCACCGCCCCCAGCTCCACACCTTGATTCCCGGGAAGGTGATGGCAGAGGAGGCATAGGAGCCGATCATGAGTGCCATGAACGTGGAGCGCAGGTTCCCGAACATGTTGGGCAGCTGGGGAGGAAATGGCCATGAGCAGGGGATGGGGTGGGGTGCTCCCAGTGCCACCAGGGGCTCCCTCACCCAGTGCTTGGACACGGGTAACTGTTTCCTCCCAGGGCTTCCCCAGCAAGTTGTTTGTGGAGCACTTTACTTTCGGTGGGGGCCTGGGGACCGGACCCAGGGTCTCCTGACACTGCAGATGACCCCCGTCCCGGACCAAATGCCCTGATCATGTGACACCCCATTGCCACACCAGCTCAGATCAACACTGATCTGTCTGGCCCCAATCGTGCCCCCTCCAGCCCACTGTCCTTCCCTGGTAACTGCATCCCCCAGCTGGGTAGGACCGCAGATGCCACGCAGAACCCATCCCCTCCGCTAGAGGGATCTGAAGCTGAGTAGATGGAGCTCAAATAGCTCTGAGCAGCCGGGCCTGGTGGCATGTACCTGTAATCCTAACACTCAGGAGGCTGAGGCAGGAGAATCATCATGAGTTCGATGCCAGCCTGGGTTATATAATGAGCTCAAGGCCAGCCTGAACTACAGATCGAGACCCTGTCTCGAAAAATTAATTAACTAATTAATTTTTTAAAAATCAACTAGCTCAGGCTGGGGGTTTCGCTCAGCGGCATAAGCTCCTGCCTTGCAAGCAGGCAGTCGTGAGTTCGATCCCTGGTACCGATAAAAAAGGAAAAAGACCAAAAAAAAAAAAAAAATCAACTAGCTCTGAGAGAGTAGGTGATTAAACACGGATCAGAAAGGGAGAGAGGCCCCAGGCAGCAGTTGGCCTTCAGCCTCTGCCAAGGACAACAGGTAAGGGTGCCAGGCTGTGGATCTCTGCCCCCCAGGGTCCTTGGGTACAGTCTCAGGCCAGCATCCTGGGGAGGGTAAGGCTGGCCAGGCTAACAATGGGCTGACCGTGACTGGTATGCTAGGAACATGGAGGATGACAAGTGGCACCTACCCAGGTGGCACTGTTAACAATGACCAGCCTGCTGGAAAGGAGCAACTGGTGGGGGCGTGGCCTGCGAGGGGGTGTGGTGGGGCAGGGCTGGCACCAGGCCCTACTATTGGCTAGAGGTTACAGCCAGCTGCCAGCGGAGGTGGAGCCTCTGAGGGTGGGGTGGGGTGGGGCCAGCACCAGGCCTTACCATTGACTGCAGATTATAGCCCCTGGGGGTGGAGTTGACAGTGGGGGTGTGGCCTAAGACAGTTGGGCAGGGCCACGGAGGGGTGGGGCAGGGCGGGGCCGCCATGGGCCCCTATGGTTGGCTGGAGATTACAGCGGTGGGCGGAGCCCCTGTCATTGCAGCAGGGCAGTGTTCGAGGTCAAGCCTCTGGCCAGGGAGAAATGATTAGGGAACTGAGCCAAGTTACACAGCCGGAGCTGGCCGAGGAGAGGGACTGGTAGGAAAGGATGGCTTCCTTAGAATTGTGAAATGTCCCCAGCTGGAATTAAAGGCGGCTGCTGGGGTGAGGAGAAACCGCCAAACACCCAGTTTGGCCCCATCAGAGATAAACAACCTTGAACCTTCCCTCCTCCTACCCTGGCCACCCGCCTAGGCCTTTAACCCTTACACTCACACACATAAACACACACGCACAGAAAGACACACACGTGCACACCTGGGTAGATCAGCCCCGAGAAGAGCTCCAGCCACGGGCGGGCTGGGACATCACCACACACCCCTGCCCCAGGCGGCTGCCCCCGCCCCCCAGGACCCTGTGCAGGTCCTGGCCTGTTATCCAGTTCTCCCACACTTGGACTACTGACAAAACTTAGTTTACTGCTTCCAGGGCTGCCTGTGCTCCCTAACCCTGAAATGGGAGCTCCTGGAAGACAAGGACATGGTGACAGACCTGTTTGTACTGCAGAGTCCCAGTGTCTAGAGAGAGCTCAGCAGACACACGCAGGCTTGGTGTGTATGAGTACACACGCGTGTGCACACACAGTTTCATCCACAAGGGCACAGTCCACTCCCCTACCTTAGCTGCCACATGCAGATCTCACCCCTGCACCCCATCTGCACCTACGGATCCCCTCCCCCCCGTCCTCCCTCCTCTCTTGCCCCCCACACACTCACCGTGAGGGACGTGAATGTGAGGCAGATGCCAGCAAAGCCATTCAGGGACAGTGCCAGGAAGATCAGCTGGGACAGGGCTGCGAGGGGAGCAGGGCAGAGCAGGGTGTGGAGTTGAGGTCACCCTGCACCTCCACCCACCCGGCTCATCCAGCAGAGGCCCGAAGCAGCTCACCTTCTGGGTTCTGCGTGGCCAAGGCCATGAGGGCACAGGATGCTGCGAAGCAGGCACTACAGGAACACAGGAGGGGGTGGCACTGAGCCCCATGCTCCCCGTCCCCCACCCTGCCCGGCAGCTCAAAGACCCAACCACCTCACCTGCCCACCATCCGCAGGGGCCGAGGGCCGAAGCGGTCCATGAGGATTCCCAAGGGCAGGGTGGTGGCGCTCAGCAAGAAGGAGCCCACCGTGAAGCCCAGGTTGAGCATCTCGTCCTGCTGGTCACAGCTGGGCCACTGGCGCTCTGCCACCTGTGTGGCATTGGTGGTGTTCTCCGCTGAGAGAAGCAGGAGGGGTCAGCACAGTAGGGCATGGGAAGGGGCAGCCCAGCTTGGGGGCCTGAGGTCCACCCCAGCCTCACCCTGCAGCCTAGAGCCTAGCAATGTGGGTCGATGTGGGGCACTCTGTAAACAGGAGGATCACACACACCCTCGGCCCAAGCGCCAACACCACACAAGCGTGGGCTATGCTGCCACCACCCTCAAACCCAGCCTTGTGGGAGGCTGAGTGGGGAGGATTGAAACTTCCAGCCCAACCTGGCAGTTTAGCAATTTAGTGAGACCCTGTCTCAAAGTAAAAGGTTAAAACAGAGCTGAGATGCGGCTCAGTGCAAAGGCCCTGAGCTCAGTCCCAGCATCACATCAAAAGAACCTAACTCAAACAAAATAGTGGGCATTCAAGTGTAATAACACCTTTATGCCCAAGCTTGTGGGGGACGGAGGACCCCCAGCAGGGAGCACCCCCTCTTTGAAGGGCACAGTCCATGTGGTGCTTGTCACACTGACTCCTGGCAATCATGGGAGCTCGTGCCCACCAAGCACTTCACTGTCAGAAACGATCTCTGTCCTCAGTCACAGCAGCCCAGGCAAGAGCCAAGGATCAAGGTGTCCCCTGCCCTCCACCACCCTCGTGAACCCAGCCTCAAGGTAAGCCGCCAGCCTGCAGCAGTGGGACATAGGGAGTCTTGGCTGAGTCACTGTAGCTGTCCCCACCAATACCCTCTGTCTGCCCAGTACTACCCAGGACAAACTCAGGGCTTTCCCAGGAGGCAGGCAAACAGGGTCCCCGCTACCACCACACCTTAGGAGCTGTGTGTCCTGGGCCTGGAGCTGCCGGTTTGTGCCTCAGTCCCTCAGCCATCAAAGAGGGGCGAAGCCCAAGCCAGTGGACAGCAGTTCCTCAGGGGGCTGCCATAAGTGACCAACAGGAAACAGCAGGGTGATTGAGAGAGTGGGGCAGCTGGCACAGCCCCAGCGTCCATCACAGAGAGCACAGAGCCTGGCTGCCTGGAGCAGGATGCTGCACACAGACACCAGCCGCCACCTGGGGGAAGAGCCGGGGCTCAGATAGCACAGCTTTAGGGGCCACAGTGATGGCTAGGATGGCTGCTCCTCCCTCCATTGAGGTGTGTTCACACTCCACATACTCTTGGATGCTTGCTGGATTTAAGCTCGAGGCTGGGACAGGGGCAAATCAAGAGATGGAGAGAGAGGCACGACAGTGGCGGGCAGCACCCCCACCAGTGTGTGGCTTGGGGCAGGGTTGACCCTGGGGGCGCTGCTCATTGTAACTGAATACCAGTTTAAACTCAGCAGTCAGCACATAAAACCCGGATTGCTGCATCTTTACACAGTTAGCCAGGCCCGGCTGAGGCAGAGGGTCCCCCTAGTCCAGGAGTCCAAGGTCAGCCTGGACAGCGTAGTAAAACCCCATCTCAAAGACAGGGTTGGGAAGATCTGGCCTTGACAAGCTGGCAGAGCTCCCCCCACACCCTGGCCAGGCCCTGCCTTCTCCCATGGGATGACACCGCTCTCTTTGGCTCTGGGCCTGGGCTAGCTAACACCTGCCGGGTGGTCCTAACCTGCCTTTGGGTTCAGAGCCCCAGAACCAGACATCATCCCTCCCTCCAATTCTTAACACAGTCAAGCGACAGCGTCCCAGCAGCTCACAAGAACACCAGCCTCTTCCACGTGTTCCTTACCACACCCTAAACAGTGAATAGAACCCAAGCGTGGAGAGTGGCGCTGGGCTGAGGCAGGAGAACTGCAAGTGTGAGTCCTGCCTGGGCAACTCAGTGAGAGAGCTTCTCCCCTTCACTGGGTTTATCGTCTCCCCACAACGTTCTCCACCCCTCCCCCCAGGCAGAATCTAAAAACCTGCACTTCTATCTCTCTATTCACTGGCCACTAAGTAAACTGTAATCTCTTTTTAAAGCTCTGGCTGTGAGATACGGAAGGAAAACCGGTATCTCCACTGGGGCGCACTCTTGGGAGAGGGGCCAGCGAGCTGGGTGACACATTCGGCAGCTTAGTGCTGAGGTGGACTCCGAAGCAGAAGCCAGGCCATCCGGTGGACCTGAATGGCATAGGGGCAGCGAGTGCCTGCAGTGTAGGGCTAGGCACGCAGACAGGAGGGAGTGTGCAATGCACAGACACGAGGGCATGTGTAATGAGCATCCTCCCAAGAGCTCAAGGCCACTGTGCCTTAAACAACACCTGTGCACACAAAAATGGTTAAGCTGCGTCAGGGCCCCAGGTCTGAGAAGCTGCCAGGACTTGGGTCCGCCAAGCAGCCTCCTGGGGTCAGTGCCAAACCTGGCACCCATAGTTGCTCCAAGAGGTGCTGGAGCTCTGCGTAGCCCCTCTATGGGGGGAGGACAGTGTACTCTGCCACCGGGAGGCTGCTGAGCAGGTCTCTCTGCCAGCCTCCCTTCTGAGCCCCTGAACCTATGTCAATGACACCTCAATAGTGAGTTCCACACTTGTTGAGCCCATATAAGACCTGCTCGATGGCATCACTGAACTCTCGTTCTGTGCCAGTAAGGTGACAACTGTCTGCTCTGTTTTACAGACTGGGAAAGACACAGAGCTCCAAAGAGGGCACTGGGGCTGAAGCAACATCCCCACCCCCTCGGCGTTATCAGAGCTGTCCGTTCCCTCCATTCCTGTCCACAGCATCCCTGGGTGGTGGACACCAGGGGTCCCTGTGCCCACGCGTGGCAAGTGGCTCAAGTCACGAGACCAGCACATAGCAGAGCAGGAAGCCGAGCCACCTGCTCCCAGGACAGAGATTCCTGATCTGAATCTGTGTGCTGGGGTCACTGCAGAACGAGGCTCCAGAGAGCCCCCGTGCTTGGGCAGCATGGCCAGGAACATCACCCTGGATCTGCTGGGCACCCCAACAGGTGGAGAGGGCAAGAGCAGATGACAGCAGAGGCAGCTGCCAGCTGGGGAAACAAGCCCTGGGATGCTGCTGCCAGTGCCGGGGAGAAACCTGGCAAGATCCTGTGTCAGGCTTTAAAAACAGGATGCACATGCAACTCAGGCAAAGGTCTTGAAGGCCAGTAAGTAAACAAATATAAATAAAAAGAGCGGGGCATGGCGGGGCACTCAAGTGATCCTAGCAATCTGGAGTCTGAGGCAGGAGGATTGCTCTAAGTTCAAAACCAGCCTGGGCTACAAAGTGAGCTTGAGGTCAGCTTGAACCGCACAGCAAGACCCTGTCTCAAAAGGACCAAAATAAAGAAATAAATAAATAAAATAAACTTATCTGGACATAGTGGCACCCACATGTCCAATTCCAGTACATGGGAGACTGAGGCAGAAGGATTGACATGAGTTCAAGGCCAGCCTAAACTGCACAGCACCCTGTCTCCAAAAGAAAGCAAGGAAGTCAGTTGTCTACTGCTTTAAAAAGTGTAAGTGAAGGGATGTAGGTCAGGGGCATAGGTCCTGCCTGCCAGCATGAGGTTGGGAGTTTGATTCCTGGTAACAATAAAAACAAGTTACAGGTGAAGGAATGGGCCCTTAAAGAGGAGGCAGGAGTTTTGGAGTGACACAGCATGTTAAACAGTGACTGGTCCCTGTTCCTTGGGTGTGCTGACGGTTCAGCCCATCTCCAAAGGGATGATGTAAATTCCTCTGCAGCAAGGCCTTTAGGAAAACACCACCTCCTGCAGCTGGAAGAGGCAGGAAGGGGCCATCAGCCAGGTGCACACCAAGGCCATAGGGCCATTGGGCAGCAGAGGCCAGGTCCGTGGCCCACTCCAGGGACAGCTCAGGGCATCTGGGCCTCCTGTGGGTTCCCGGGGCCCTATCTAAGGCCCTCAGGCCTCACCTCTGGCGTCTGCCCCGCCTTCCTAGGCAGCCCAGCCCTGGAGTTGGGGCTGCAGGCATGGGCAGGAGGCCATCTCTCACTGCCACCTGTTGCCTCCCCACAGATGACCCTGACGGCCTGGGGAGCGGTTAGACCAAGACCTCCCGCCTCCGCACAGGGCAACTGGGTTTCCCCACACCACAGCCCAGCTGTCAGGCCAGCACTCGGGGCTTGCCCAAGCCCAGCCACAGAGGAGCAAAAGTTCAGCGCTTAGGGCAGAGTGGGTGGGATAGCCTGCCAGGGCAGGGGAGGGCACGATGGCCCTCTCCCGGGGAAAGCACAATGTCCATGGACTCAGGCAGCCCCTTCCTGCCTGGCCCTGCAGACAGCCCTCAGCTCATAGCCCGCTCCCTCCCGGTCAGGGCCATTCCCACAGGCCAAGGCCACTGGAGCGGGAAATCACAGTCCTTTTCATACCCAGCCTGCAGGAAAGGGGCTCCAAGTGCAAATGGGGGCCCAAGGAGGGCACTGCACATCCATCTTCTCTGGGGAGCCTCACAAGCACCCATCTCTTAATCCTGAGGCCAGGGCTAGGGCTGACCCACTGCAAAGAAATAAAGAAAAAACTTCTCAACCAGCAAGGTGCCCCACTTCTGTTTGGTTCTGCTTTCTGAGTTTTGAGTCAGGGTCTCAGTAGCCCAGGCTGGCCTTGAACTTGCAATCGACTTGCCTCAGCTTCCCCAGTGCTGGGAGTGCAGGTGCCCTGAGGAGGTGCAGCTGCACCCTGCTCTGACTGGAGGTTTTCACTGCAGGATCTGGGCGCCCAGTAGGATAGCTGTAGTCCCACGTGAATCAGAGCAGAGGTCAGGGCAGAGACCGCCCTTTGCCAGCACGCTGCCCGCCGGCTGCCCGCCCGGCTTTTCGACTCCCTACCTGGGCACAGGCTGGAGTAGACGCCCTCCTGCTTCAGCATGAGGAGCAGCGAGCCCCAGCCCAGCAGCACGGCGGAGAAGAAGAGGTTCTCCAGTACAGCGGTGCTAGCCATCCACCAGCGCCTGCGGTACGCCCGCGCCAGCGAGGGGGCCATGGTGCGGCCTGCGGGGACTCGCTCTCCGGCCGGGTGCTGCAGCCCCTCCGGTCGGGCGCTGCTGCCACGTGGAGCGCGCGCGGGCGGAGGAAGTAGCTGGCCCTAGCGGGCGGGGCGGCGCGCACACCCGGGGAAGGCGCCCTGGAGCTGCACCGGGGGCCGGGCTTGTGACCCGGCGGTGGAGGGTGACAAGTGTGCCCGCTCGGCTCCGTACGAGGAAGTGGCCTGGCAGGAGGAAGGGGAGGGCCGGGCGGGGCGCACCCCGCAGCGCAGTCCGTTCCCCTCGCGCCCTCCGCCTCTGCCGGCTCGGGTTTCGCGCGCACGTGACTTGCCGGCCAGGGGATGCTGTCCCCGGGCGCCCGCTCCCCGACCCGCCTCCCCTTCGGGTCAGAAAGAAGGCTGCCCTCTGGCGGGTGAGTTTGGGGGCTGGAATCCGGGGTGTCCGGGTTATAGCGGACCAGCCTGGGTCACTCTGGACTCCTGCCTTAACCTCTCTGAGCTCCTGTTTTTCTTCTCTGTAAATGCTGGGAGAGACGACGGTTACCGGCCAACCTGCTATGGGCATCGGGATGCAGGTAGGTGTGGCGCACGCCTGTGATCCCAGTACCGCGCAGGCTGAAGAGGAGGATCCCCATCATTTGCACCCCAGCCTGGGGGACACAGTGATTTCAACACCAGTTTGTACAGCGGAGTAAGCAGCATAAATGGTCACTGCTGGAGCACCTGTGTTATTTCAAACCTGGTGACTGGAGGATTCCAGCTGCTAAGTGACTGACTCGGGGTGATTTCAGTGTTGGCATCATGAGACATGGGAGGGTCCTTGAGGTGATGGCAAGTAATCTCAGGTACAGATGTGCATCTCCCGCCACACATCTGGAGAGCAATGGGCAGCCCTGAGTCCTGGAACCTGAGCAAAGGCACAGGAAGCTCCAAGGGGTCCTGAGACAGGAGGCAACAGCACAAGCAACCACTGTGTGGTTCCCCAAAATGTACACATTAAATCCAGAGGACTCTGGGCCTCACTGAAACACCAAGGACAGCCTTTGACAGTTTCACTTCTTAAAATCCAGCACTTGGTGGTTAAGATTAGATAGAGTCCAGACTAGGCGGCTTGCCCAGAGAGTGGAAAGCCCTGGGATGCATCCCCAGGACACAAAAAAGCCCCCAAAACTTCCAAGTCAAGATCAAACTCCTTGGCCAGGTGTGGTGGTGCATACCTGTAATCCTAGCACTTTGGGAGGCTGAGGCAGGAGGATCACAAACTTGAGCTCAGTCTGGGAAACTTAGCAAATGAGTGAGACTTCATTTAATAAAAGGGAATGAGAGCACTGCAGATGGAGCTCAATCCACAGCCCCAAGGGAAAAGAAAAAGACCTCTTCCTCAACACTGCTGCCCAGGTGGAATTCTCTGGGAATAAACAGCGCTGCTAATACGCTCTGAGCATGCACATGGGAACCTGCCACTGCACCACTGTGTGCCACTGCACACAGGCTTGGGTGGGGTCAGCCTTGCCCTTTACGCTCCGCTGCCTCTCCTATACCCCCCCTGCCTCTCCTATATCCCCCACCCCCACCCCGGCTGTGCACACAGGCTGTGTCCCCGGCACATGAGCAGGTGTGCAGTGCAGAGCTGGTGGGAGAGCTGGTGTGCAGCCGGCTGACAACCCGGCACCCTGCTCCGCACCTGCTCCAGATGACAGGAGCACCTGGCCGCCAGGCCTGAGTTGTTCCTGTCCTGAAACCTCAGGGGCTGGGCTGGGGCCTCTCATACCTGCCCTTCTGCCTGCATGGAGCCGCATGTTGATCTGGAAAGAGCCTTGGGTCCTCCCTGCCCAAACCTAGGAGCCGCTGCGTTACAGGTGACAGCGTGCCTGCTGCAGTCACAGGACCTGCCCTGAAGCAATCCATACATGGTGGTTGAGTGAATGGGAAGACAGTGGTGGCGACCAGGCTGAACTTGCTGGCCAGATCACCTGGGAATGAGCTGTGGGAGGCTTCAGACTCCTCCATTGGGAGGCAGGAGATGCAAATTCCTGAATTCCGACTTCTCCCTGCACCCCCACGCTAAGCTGTCACTCGTCCCTTCTCCTTCTTTGCACTTTGAGACAGAATCTTGCTGAACTGCCCAAGCTGACCTCGAATTTCCAACCCTCCTGTCTAGCCTCCTGAGCCACCAGGATTACAGGCATGCATTGGGGCACCCAGCTGGTCGTTTCTTTCTGACAAAGGGAGCAGATACGCTTGAGTTTGTGTTCCCTAAGCAGAGGAGACACTAGAAAGCAGCAACTGAAGCCGTTTAGGAGGACACTGATGTAGTTTCTACTTAGAATTTTAAAAAGAAGCTGAGCGTGCTGGCACACGCCTGTCATCCCACAAGGTAGACTGACAAGATGGTCAGCTTGTGACCCCAGCTGACCCGAATCAGTGTGCTGTTGGGTGTGGAGGGCCCAGACAAGGACTGTTGTCAGCATGAAAAGGAGACATGAGGAGAAGTTTGGGTTAGTTTTCCTGTTGCTGTAGGTTCTCACTTTGAGCATTGCTTTTTGGCCCAAGGGGAAGATGTGTGTTGTCCAGTCTCCAGGAGAAGCTTGTCACGGTGGCTTCTTGATAAGAACTGTTATCATCAGAGGAGCTCGGGATCTGGTTGTCACTGAGGATGGCTGTGGCACTTCTCAGTGGAGCCCTGGTCCTTATTTTGAGCATTGCCTTCTGACTCCAATAGAGAACCCTCAACCTAAGGGCACAGCTCCTTCACCCCAATGGCACAGACTTTCTGGCTTCCACTGCTGAACTTTGGGCTTGCCTTCCCAGTGCAGATGCATGAAACAGACTTGCATGAGTCCTTGTCGAGTGCTCTAGGCCTCCAGTTGGACTCAGGGTCACTGTTAAGAGCACTGGGTCTTAGGCTGGACTCTTGCAGGACACCACTATGGGCTCCAGGCCCTCAGCTGCATTCCTTGGGTCTTAGTGTATGGACAGATCTCCTGTACTTCTTGTATTTAATTCTTTGGTTATAAAGTGATTCTGTAAATTATGTGTCTTGTATTATATTGTTTGCCTTGCAAACCCTGACTACATCCCAGCACTTGGGAGGGTGAGGCATGAAGGTTACTGTGAGTTTAGCTGAGGGGTGGGGGGCTGGTGACTCCGAAGGAACTCCACAGCTTCCCACCTGGGCCCTCGCAGCCAGGCACTGCATCTCCTGCACCCACTCTCCAAGACCAGTGCCTGACTCTGGGCCGTGTAGTGGACCCAGTCCAACAATCACACGTCACATACCACACATGAAGAATGTAAGGTGGACTGCGGGCTGGGACGCCACTTGGCGCTCCTCACATAGGGACAAGAGACTGACCTCGAGGGCCTCCCAGCCCACGTCCCCAGCAGCACAGAATACAAGCAGCCAGTGTATTCATCTGCTGGGAGGGGACTCCGAGGCTGGCCCCAGGGAGAAATGAAGAGGGAGGACCTCAGAACTGCACGCTGATGCTGAGCCCACAGAGCGAGCTCCACACCTTTTGTCATGGTTTTTTTGGTTGATTGGTTGGTTGGGGTCTTTTTTTTTTTTTTTTTTTTTTTTTTTTTTTTGAGACAAAGTCTCACTGTGTAGCCGAGATTAGGCTTGAACTCATAGCAATCCTTCTCCCTCAACCTCCTTGGAGCTGGGAAGTCAGGAATGCACCACACCTGCAAGGGTCTTTTTTTTTCCTGGCAAGGGTCTTGAAACAACATTTTTAATCTCAGCTCTTCTGAGTCTCATGGGTTGGGTCTCTGCAGAAGTAGGTCAGGGGCCAGGGATCGGCCTCCCTCGAGCAGCAAGCAGGGTGGGCACTGATCTGCTCAGGCTGCGGCTGGAAAGCATCTGGGCTTTTGGCCTCAGTACTTGGAGCTCGCCTCAGTACTTGGCTCCTGCAGCAGGAGATGACAGAGCAGAGACCCTGCAGTCTTGGCTCCTATGGCTGCTGGACTCGTTCTCTCTGGTTGCCCTGGAGAATGCAGGGCCCCCAAGGCTGGCTGGGGCAGGCCCGCCTCTCGATGTGGGCACTCCCCACACACCCGCACGTGGCAGGCCGACAAGTCCTGCAGATGACAGGTGATGTGCTGGGACTGGGCCCCCCACCCCGGAGTGGTGGCCGAGGTGACCTTGGGTCCCTGGTGCCACTGCCTGCTTCCCACCTGACCTCAGGAAGCTTCGAACTTCCAACAGCTTCAGTTCTGCGTTTATGAAGTGAGGATTGTCAGGCCCACCTTGGTCGTGGTGGCACATGCCTGTCAACCCAACTCTGTGGGCAAGTTTGCCAGCCCCAGTCTGAAAACAGACTAAAAATAGACAAGTTACAGGGGGTAGCTCAGGACAAAGGCAGTGAGTTCATTGCCCGGTCCCGCTGGGTAAGTTACCCGAAACAGCCGTTAGCATTTAGCGTGCGACTGTGGCGCTAGCTCGATCTGCTCCTGCGAGCCCTCCCTTCCTCCTCCGCAGCTCCCCCTCCAGCCCCATCCTGGGCCACAGGCAGCAGGCTGTGATTTGAATCGGGCGGCGAGAAATGCTCTCCGCGTGCAGACCTGGGCAGACAGCGCCACCTGCTGGCCCCAGGTTGAACTTCGGGCTTGCACAGGGCCGTTCCTGTGGTCTGCCTCCTGGCTGGAGTTACCGCAGAAAGGCCTGACCTCTGCTCACTTTTTTGATCCTTGGGATTTGCATTGGGATACATCCTTAGGCGTTTAAAAAAAATTTTAAAACAAAGTGATAAAATGGCCCCAGCTGGGCTGGATTCTCCTGCCTCAGCCTCAAGGCTGGGATGACAAGCGGGCACCACCACGGGCACCACCACACCCAGATGAGCTGTCCTTATGGGTCAAGGCACTTTCCCAGGTGCTCTACTTAACCCTCCCAGCCAGCTAATGACAGGTACCTGGACTCTGATCTCACGGATAAAGAAACTGAGGCATGGAGCAGCCAAATGCCTCACCTGAGATCATACGGGAAGAAAATCTTGCTGGCGACTGTAGCCCACTTGTCTGGCTTGAACCTTCACTTGAGCCCAGAATAACCCCAAGTTACCCCATCACCATGCCCGCCTCCATGGCCACTTTGAAGGTTCAACTACCGGAACCCCAGGCGTACCCAGAGCCCATCAGGCGCAATCCCCATTGCATGCCAGGGTGGCAGGAGACCTCTCCCCCTCGGGACAGCGTGTGCAGGTGGCCGCTCCCCTCCTGAGACCCTGGCCAGCAGCCGAGGTTGGGAGCACAGGCTGTGATCACCTCAGTGCCAGATGCAGTGATGGGGTGGGGTTGAATGACAGCGGCAATGCTCCGGCCCTCTCTGGACTGTGTGCCTCAGAGCTGGGCCCCCAAACTGTGCTGACGTAGCACCATTTAGAGCCGGACTCCCGTCCACCTGCTGGGACCAAAAGAGCAGGAGTGCACCCAAAGCCCAGCTCAGCGGAAAACCAGTGCCTTGAGTCCTGCCAAAGTCATCCCCTCATTCTGGACACACTCAACCCACTGTGCTGGCCACCGTCTGCCACAGCTCTGAAGTCCTCTTTCCCAAGTTATTTTGTTTCTGAGGCAGAGTCTCACTGTGCAGCCCAGGCTGGCCCCAAACTCATGGTGAATCTCCTGCCTCAGCCTCCTGAGTGCTGGGATAACAAGCATGCACCACCATGTCCAGCTCAGTCTTTACAAGGTGTGAGGAGATCCGCTGCCACTGAGTGCCATGCAATGGCAAGACAGCTCCTAAAAACACAACCCTGTGTCCTCATCCACCCCGTCCCCAGATGAGACACCAAACGATTTCAGTTCTTCCCTAGAGTCAAAGTGACCCTGAAAGATCAACATTGGGAATCAACTCAGGGCAGCCCAGCTGAAGACACTCAGGAAAGAGGACACCAGAGCTACTGCAGAAAGTGGCCAGGACAGTGAGAGGCATGTGCTCCCACTGAGGGGAAGATCTGGAGAGGAACTAATGGCACCGCACCTTGTCTTACAACAAAACCTTTAAACACTTAACCATTCACTTTGCTTTCCAATCCCACATACAACTTTCCATCCCTCCTCTAAACTGCTCCTGTCATCTATGGAAATAGTCACCTACCTCCAAGCTGGTTGTTCGGTTGGTCTCACCATATAGTGCATGGTACAAAGTTGCAGTGATTCTCCTGCCTCAGCCTCCTAGGTCTTGGGGTGACAGGTATGCACCACCATACCCAGATCAAGTTTTTAAAAATATTTATTTAGTGCTGCCTATTATCCAGTCATTATGCTACACTCAGTAAATATTTTCATGTGCTTTACTAACTCATGTAATCCTAACAGCCCTGTAATTATACCCCATTTTACAGTTGAGGAGGCTGAGACACATAGAAAACCCACATTCAAGGCCACACAGCAAGCAGTGACCTCAGGTGCAAAAAGGAGGCTGTTGTACCAGTGTGTACTCTTAAAATACACTGGACTGGGGCTGGGGATTTAGCTCAGCGGCATAAGCGCCTGCCTTGCAAGCAGGCAGTCGTGAGTTCAATCCCCGGTACTGATAAAAAGGAAAAAGACAAAAAAAAAAAAAAAAAATACACTGGACTCCCTCTGCTGGTAGAGACTATGCCTGATTTTTTTCCTTTTTTGGAGACACGGTCTCACTATGCAGTCCAGGTTGGCCCTGAGCTCACTACGTGACCCTGGCTGGTCTCAGCCTCTCAAGAGCTGGGATTACAGCCTGCACCACCACACCAAGCTGTGTCTCACTTCTTTGTTCCCAAACGCCAAGCACAGTGCTTTGCACACACTAGGCATCAAAAGCACGTTTAATATATACACATATACACAGAAACTCGGCCACACTCAGGCCACCTGAAGCATACTGCTGGGCTCACGCGGGCCCTGAGCTCTGCTGCACCCTCTTCATCAGCTCCTCATCCTGCATGGACAGCTCGGTCAGCTTCTTGCCCATGCGCTCGTGGATGTCCAGGTACTTGGAGACACACCGGTCCAGGCACACGGACTCACCCTTGGACAGCTCTGCCTCCTTGTAGTGGGGTGGCACACACTTCCGGTGGCAGGCGTTGGTCATTCTGGGGGAGGCGGGGTGAGGTGGCATCAGCAGCATCCTAGGGTACCCCAAGACCCTCCAGTCATCCCAAACCCCTGCATGATTTCCATCCTTAAAAGTCTGTAGCCCTGCTGTCTTGGATGCATATGTGAGCAACAGGAGAGAAGCAGCAGGCACCCCCTGCTGTCCACCCAGGAACCCAGGCACTGCCCTTACCCTCCTTTCATGGCTGCAGAAATGAGCCTTGGGAACTCACCGAGGCCCATGCAGAGTCACAAGGTGACTTCACAGCTACCCAGGAGGCGTGTCCTGATTTAGATTTGTCAAGATAAAACAAGGGACACGGGGAGCTGAGCACAGATATCTGCTCCCCACTGGTGGAGCTCGCCTGCATTAGTATCTGTGTCCACAGGAGCTGAGATCCGCTAGGATGTCTTGTTTCCCAGATGAGGAAGACGCTCAAGGATATATTGCTGCTGCCTGGGGCAGACACAACTTGCTCCCAAACCTGCTCAGTGGTCACAAGTAGTCATGAGGGGTGACACTAGGTACTGCCCCACTCCTGCAGAGGTAACTGTGCTGTGGATGCGAGGAAGTTATTTAACCCCTATTTCTTCCTCTCAAAATGGCACAAAACCACCACAGTACCCTGAGGGTTGAAAAGGTAACACTATACATGGACTCCAGCCCTGCAATGTGAAAGGAGCCAAAGAGGGTGCTGGAGAGTGAAAATCATCCAAGTATGTTATGTGCCTGCACCAGTCTACCAAAATGAGACCCAGGAATCTGCATTGCTAACGTGCATTAATTAAAAAAACAAAAATAATGCTATGAATAGGTTAAATTTTAAAGCCAAGGGCAGTGACAGATGCCTGTAATCCCAACTCAGGAGGCTGAGGCAGGACTGCCACAAGTTTGAGGCCAGGCTGGGTTACATAGTGAGTTCAAGGTCATCCTGAGCTACAGTGAGACCCTGTCTCCAAAAAAAAAAAAAAAGAAGAAAAGACTCCATGTTTTACCTATTGCAGAAGTTCTACTATATTTCCCTGCATGTATCTCACATAAGACATGTTATCATTTCTGTTCTTGATGGACAAGTGTTGTTTCCATCTTGGAGCCAGTAAAACCACTGTTGCTATGTTTGAAAACAAAAACAAAGCATACAAAATGCTTGCCAAGGGTCCAAGTTTACAAAATGTTAACTACTAAACGGGTAGTGTCACAGGTAAACGCGCACCTGTAAATGGAAAGGAACAGAATACGGGCTGGCGTTGCTCGTCCGGCCCTGCTGGGCTCCTTCACGGCGGCAGCCCCTGTCCTGGGTCCACTCGGCCCCATCGCGGGCTCCCCCATGCCGGCTGCGCTGCTCACCTGTTGTACATGTCGGCCATCATCTCCACCTCCAGCTCCGCTGCCAGCTGCTGGGCCCGGAGCGGGTCCATCGAGCCCGGTCCCGCGGGAGACCTGGTTCTGGACAGACACTGCCGTGAGCAGCGCGCTCGTCCCCGGCTGGGCCACCGCCAAGGAGAGCGCCGGCCACGCGCTCAGTGGGAAACTGAGGCCGGGGCGCACTGCCCGGCCCAAGGTCACACGGGAAGTCCCGCGGGAGCAGCTGGGACTGGAGTCCCGGCGCCTGACTCCCGTTCCCCTCCAAGGCAGCCTCCGCCGGCAGATCGGGAAACCGAGGCTGCACACTGAAAGCCGCGCGCGTCGACCTCCGGGGGCCCCGAAATTCGACCCCGACTGAACAAAGGACCCCACAACCCGACGCAAGGTGGCACCGCTGCAGTGGAGATGTCGTCACTGGGTCCCCGGGAGGCCTGAAGCAGGGCTCACTCACCACAGCCTGGAGCGGGCCACCGCGCCCTGGGCACCACCGCGGGCAACGTGACTGTACCAACTCTTCAGGGGCCCTGGTACACCACGACGGAAGCACGTGGATCACTTCCGGGAGAGAAGTCCCGCCTCCTCTCTGACCCGGAAGGAAAGGCCAACGAGGCGGTGCTGAGAAGTCGGCTACCATAGAGAGGGTGCTGAGCGCCGGCCGAGGGAGAAACCGACGTTCAAATTGCTAGAGGGGATCCGATGTACCATAGAGGCCTTGGGTGGGGAGCGAGCGTCTCAGCTGGTCCGCTCTCTGGGCGCCAGGGTTGTCACGGAGATGGGTGAGCGTGACCGGCTGGGGCCGGGGTGTGGCCGAGGTGGGTGAGTTCACCCTCCCGGTGAGGGCGCGGGTGGAGCAGGCAGAGAGGACTGCCCCGGACGTGCGCTGCTCTCAGCTTGTGTTGCGCGTTAGATGCACTCCGAATGCTTTCACGCGTCTAGGGCTCAGACCTTGGCTCGCGGCGATGAAATCGGAATCTGCGAGCCGACCCGGCGGGCAGTGTCTGCGTGCCCGGGGATCCCGGCCTGCGGCTGCACTTGAGAACTGGTGCCCGCGGGACTCGGCGTGACGGCTGTCGGGCGTGGTCGCCGGCCCCACTTCGCAGTCCTGGGTGCCCTCCTGGGGTATCTGCGAGAGGAGCCAAAGGACTTTGGGACCCCTTTGGGTCCCTCCATCCGCACCATTGCCCGCAGGACGAAGAACCCTCAGACCTTGATTTTTCACGTAATTTATCAGTTAAACTAAATTTGCAACGTGTAGATTTATTTTTGAGACAGTCTTCTCTATGTAGTCTAGAGTGGCCTTGAATATTGGACCTTCCTGCTTCAGCCTCCAGAGCGTCGGGATTCCAGGCTTGCACCAGCACACCAAACCTGTAAGATGTAAATCGATGATGGGAGATTACACAGCCCAGCCCAGAGTGGTGGTACACACCTGTAACCCCAGCATTCAGGAGGCTGAGGCAGGAGGATAGTTGCGAGTTGGAAACCAGCCTGGGCTACAAAGTGAGCTCATAGTGAGACCCTGTCTCAAAAAGCCAAGTAATAATAATAAAATAACAATAATAATCGTAAGAGAGATAGCGCATGAGAGAAGGGGGCTGCATGTTTTATGAAGGGACATCGCTATTTTTTTGTAACCAAGCCACACCCCCACCCCTGCTGTCTCTGATCTGAAGCTTCAGGCCTTACTGCCCTAAGGACTTGTTTGTCAAAGCCTGTGTCCCGATTCTTTTAAGACTGGAGTGCAGGGTTGGGAAAATAGCTCAGTGGCACAGTGTCTACCTGGCAAGTGAAAGGTTGTGAGTTTGATCCCTGGTATCAAAGGGGGGAAAAAATGAAGTACATTTGTACAGTAAAGTGTGTAAAATACACAAATCTCGGGCTTAGTTTTAGTTTTGTGCTGGGGATTGAACCTAGGGCCCCATTCATGGTACACAAGTGTTTAACCATTAAACAACGACCCCAGCTCCATTAAAATTAATCTTTAAGGGCTCGGGATTTAGCTCAGCGGCATAAGTGCCTGCTTTGGAAGCAGGCAGTCGTGAGTTCGATCCCTGGTACCGAGAAAAAGACAAAAAAAAAATTAATCTTTAAGATACTTGCACATCAAGCTGGGCATGGTAGCTCACGCCTGTAAGCCCAGCACTCGGGAGGCTGAGGCAGGAGGATCATTGTGAGTTTGAGAACAGTCTAGGCTACAAAGTGAGCTTAAGGCCAGCCTGAACTGCTTATCAAGACCCTGTCTCAAAAAAGACAAAAAAAAAAAAAAAAAAAGATACTTGCACATTTGTAAATCATACCCACAGCAATTTATAACATGCTTCCTGCACTCCAAAAAAGTATTCCTTGTTTCTTTCCAGTTAATACCCCCTCTTGTGAAGTTACCACTCTCTGACTTCTGCCACTAACAGTTACTGTACTGTTGCCTGTTTGGGACGTTTATCTAAATGAAAATACGCTTTTTTGTTTTGTGCCTACCTCTTTAGCTCCAAGTACTGGCTGTAAGATTTCATCCATATTATTGTGTATATCTATTATTCGTCTTTATGTTTTTTGAGAGGGTATCGGTATGTAATTCAGGCTGAACTTGAACTGGTGATACTCCTGCCTCAGCCTCCTGAGTGATAGAATTACAAGTGTGCACCACCACACTCAGCTCTAATTTTTGCCATTGAAAATACAGTCACTATATTATGGAACTGCTCACTAATTAAGAAACGCCATGGGAAAAAGGAGGTATTGTTATGGGAGGAATCTACCCCTTAAATGGGGTATTTACTGAGTGTTATGAAAGGCTGAATACTATCTGAGTCTATAACAATCTCAAAATGACAAAATTATACAGACGGAGAGGAGATCAGTGGCTGCGTGGGTGAGGGCCGCTTGAGGGAAGAAGACATAGTCTTTGTGGTGTGAGATTGGAGCCATATTCTGATTGTGGTGGTGGTTACAAGAGTCTGCACATGGGATGGGATGTTACAGAACTAGCTGGACCTGGTGGCATTCTTAATCCCAGCTCTCTGGAAGGCCGAGGCAGGACAGTCACAGGTTGGAGCCCAGCCTGTGCAACTTAGCAAGAGCCTGTCTCAATAGAAAAAAAAAAAAAAATTTAGAACGGCTGGAGATGCAGCTCAGTGTGAAGGCCCTGGGTTCATTGCCCAGTGTGTCTCTCTGTGTCTCTCTCTGTCTGTCTCTAGCCACAGACCTGTAACCCGTATCGTACCAATGTGGGTTCCTTACTGCTTTGCCATCACCCGTGCTGTAGCTCTGTATGACTTCACCCTTAGAGAAAGTGAGTGACAGGCCATCCAGGGCCTCTCTGTAGTATACTTATTTCAAAATAAAATGCTTAAAAGCTCATTACAGAAAGGAAATCAAATCAAAAAGACAATGGGATAGAGCACCTACTCCATGATACACACTCAATAAAAAGCAGTCACTGTCCTATCTTTCCAAGGATTTGTAGGAATATTTAGAACATTCAGGAAAATGAAATGTACAGTCGATTGAGCGTCCTTAGATATAGCACCAGGACTGAACAATCATTCTCATCCGGCCACAGTCTGGGTCTATTTTTATCTCTAACAGATGGAGCGTTTTTATTCCCCCAAAACTACTATTTTCATACCCTCGAAATTATAGTAATTTCTTTCTTCCTTTTTTTTTTTCAATACTGATGACCAAACCCAGGGCTCGAGTACCTTGGCAAGCATCCTACCACTCAACTACACCTCAGCCCCAGAGTAATTTTGCAATGGAACTGAATACAGATTTCTCTGATCTCTGACCTCTCCAGAAGGTCTGTTTCTCACATTGTGGTAAGAATACTCAACATGATATCTGCCCACATAGCAAATCTATAAGCACACAATACAGTATTGTTGCCAGGCAAGATGGCATGTGCCTGTGGTTCTAGCACTTGGGAGGCTGAGGCAGGAGGATGGCCATGAGTTCAACGCCATCCTGGGCCATATAACAAGACTGTCTCAAACCAAAAACAAAAGTGAGCAATATAGTATTGTTACCTCTATGCATCGTGTTGTACAGCGGATATCTAGAACTTGTGCACCCTGGACACAAAGTGGCACACACTGGACAGCCAGCCATTTCCCTGCCCTCTGCCCCTGGAAATCACTGATTCATCTGCGATAGTGTCATTGTCACTACGACACTATGAGACCCTGTCTTACATGCCAGCATTGGGCAACCTATAAGGCAGAATCCCCAACTGTCCTTGTGAAGTTTTTGCTTGTTTTTGTTTGTTTTTTGAGACAGGGTCTCACTGTGCAGGTCAGGCTGCCTTTGAAGTCACCTTGAACTCACAGCAATCCTCTTGCCTCAGCCTCCCAGGTGCCCAGAAGATGGAAGACAGGTGTGCACTACCAGGTCCAGATAATTTCTTCTTTCAAAGCTTAGAGAGCAGCCGGGCGTGGTGGCTCATGCCTGTAATCCCAGCACTCAGGAGGCTAAGGCAGGAGGATCGTTGTGAGGTCGAGACCAGCGTGGGCTACAAAGTGAGCTCAAGGCAAGCCTGAACTGCATAGCGAGACCCTGTCTCAAAAAGACAAAAAAAAAAGCTTAGAGAGCTCCAGCTTTTGAAAACACCTTGGGCTTCCAGATCTGTGGCCCCCACTGCACATACCTGTCCCTCTGTGGTAATGGAGGTTTTGCCCTTCCTGCCTCACTGGGGCAGGTATGTGTATCACACAGTGTGTCAGTGCTTTGGACGGTGGCAGGTCGTCACCCTGGGGACCCGGCTGCTCACAAGAGATAGAGAAGGCAGAGCCAGGTGTCTCCCTGGACCACAGGTGCGTGAGTGTCTATGGCCTGAGAAAGCAGGCTAGCCACCCCACCCCACAAGGCCACCTACATGGTGCTCTGTGCATCTCCCACTGTCCCCTTCACATGCAACACAGCCAATAGCCATGTGGTCACCAGCCACAGGTGATGCCAAGCACCAGGGTCCAGCGTGGCTGAAGGCCCCACAGGATTCGTGACCCTGCGATGGCCTTTTCCCTGAAACCACTCTGCCCCTGCATGGCCCACCATGCCAGCCTCCTCCCCAGCCAAGCTCCAGCCAGCCTTACCCCCTGCAGTCATAGCTTCTGTCTTCTCTCCAGCACCGCCCCCTCATTGAGGCCTCCTATCGGGCCCCCCCATTACAACTATGTTAATCCATATTTGATTTTTCATGTCCACTAATACCTGTTTTATTTAGTTGGGTGCACTAGTATTTGGTGCATGTATATTTATGATGGTTTTCTCTTCCTCACGGACTGTTCCCTTTGCAAGGATGTAGTGATCTCTTCTCAATGTGTCTCGGCTTGAAATCCACTTTCTCTGCAAATAGGTTTTTTTTTTTTTTTTTTTTTTTGTCTTTTTCGTTTTTTTTATCGGTACCAGGGATCGAACTCACGACTGCCTGCTTGCAAGGCAGGCGCTTATGCCGCTGAGCTAAATCCCCAGCCCCCTTTCTCTGCAAATAGGATAGCTACTGGGCCTAGAATACTGCTCAGTGGTACAGCACCTGCCTGGCAAGCACAAGTGCTATAGTCAGGAGTCATACACAGAGAACAATTACGATTAAGGCATGGAGTTCATAATATAATTTTTATAATGGTCACCAGGAGTTAACACAGGAAAATGCAGGAAATCTATCCACAACACCAAAGACATAGATTATTTAGTCAAGAGCCTAAACCCCACAGCACATGTCCCACATGAGTCCAGATAAAAACCCAGAGCTCAGGAAAATGCCTCCCACGAGTCCAACTGGAGACCCAGAGCCCACAAGAAGGACTCATGCCAGTCTCTTTGACGGATCTGTGCTGGGAAGACCCAAGGGTCAGCGGTAGAAGCCAGAAAGTCTATACCAGCAGGATGAAGGAGCTGTGCTAGTGGGATGAGGGTTCTATGCTGGAGCTGAGAAGTCACACTCACAAAGACCAGGGATATCCTGAAAGGCACCACAGCGACATGGAGGCCCAGAGCTCCTCCAACAACAAGCACAGTTGGGTACATGCCAGGAAGCAGCGTGACGAGTTCATCCTGGAGACCAAGTAGCACACGTCTTCCCCTCCGGAGCCAGGAAGCAATGCTCAATGTGAGGACCAAAGTCTCTCCAGAACCAACAGCTCAAACAGCAACTCGTAGGACAACCCACAATACCTCCTTAACCCCTCAACACCTCCCTTCTTCTCCACCTAGTTATCCTGGCAACTTTCCTCAGGTGGAGCATCTTCACTCAATGCCATGCTGATATAATCCAGCTGGCATTAAGTTGACCACCAGTTCTCAATCCATAACAACAAGGTTGTGACTTTAATCCCCAGTACCAAAAAAGCCCTCAAATACAACAGCTTCCCCTTCTTTTCTCTGGATTTCTTGTCACATGGAGTATTGTTTTCTACCTTTTGACTTTTAGTATGTGAATTTCTTTTTGAGTTAAAAGTGCCTCTTGTATTCAGCATATGGTTGGATCTTGCTTCTTGATCCACTCTGCCAGTCTGTTTCTTTTCATTGAATTGAGACAATTGACATTGATGGTTATAGCTCATAGGAATTGACTCTCCTTGCTGTGTTATCTTGGTGTTGTTGGTTCCCTTTTCTCCCCTCTGTTTGTTTGTGTTGCCTCGTGGATTCATATTGTTGGGGTTCATGGGGTTTCTTTTAACATTCTGTTCTTGTGTTGAATTTCTGGAGTCTAGAGTTTTTTTTAAATCACAGCTAATGGGAGTTCTATATGCCTTGCTTATCTGTATATCAAGTTCTTTTTCCCTGCTTCAGAAGTTTTCTGCCATTACGTCTATGAACAGTTTTTTTTAATGTGGGTCACACTAGTTCCTGCTTTTTCACTGACTTCAATCAATCTTTGCATCATCTAGCAGCTGCTGGATTGATTTCTTGTGGTCCCTTGCTATTTTTAAGAAACCTTTCTTTTCATGATCACTAACCACAATCCCCTCTTCTATATCTGATACTTGGTCCTCACACTGGCTCCTTCTGCTGTGTATACTTTCACTGGAATTTTTAATCTCTTGCATATGTTTGGATCTGTTTCATGGATTCCATTTCTTTCCTGTGTTGGATGTTCATGGTTTCCCTCACTTGCCTAAAATCCTCTATTTTCTTATCTGTATCAGCTCTAAAGTCACTAAGCATACCTTTCATTATGGTTACCATCTCTGTAGTTATCTGAGAAATTCTTTCTGATTCAATTTTTTTCTAGAGCCTCATTGGTCTGCTTTGTTGCTTTGATTCTCACTTCGGAGACTCCAGCGGGGAGGCTCCTGGATTGCTCTGCCTCAATGACCCCTGGCTTTGCCTTTGGTGAGCTGGAAGTCCAGGGCTGCATCTTGCTATGGGTCTTCTCACTTTCTATTTTATTTTAGTTTAATTCCTGGGTTGAACCTGGGTAAATTTCTTATGACAGGTAACTTTATTATTGCTAATAGAACCCTTAGGAAATGATTACTTCCCAGAGATGCCTTCCAGGTGGAGCTGACTTTCGGGTTTTGAGTTTGTTGTAAGATGCTACCTCTTCAAGGGCCAGGGATATAGCTCAGTGGCACAGCGCCTGTCTGGCAATCGAGAAGTTGTGAGTTTGATCCCTGGAACCAAAAAGAAAGAAATCCTAGTTCTTCAATCTACTGGGGATGAGAAGCTGCTGTCTGGCCCAGCCCTTGGTTCTTTGGCACTGGCCTGTAGTATTTTTTTATGACGTTTAGGCAATCAGCCTTGACACACAGGAAGAGCAATTGATTGTCACCTTGGCTAAAGTAGTACAATCAGCAATCACAACAGCATCAAACAGCCTACAAAACGACAAACTGACAGAACTGTTAATCTGCTACCTTTAATGCTATGAACCAGATTTGTGGTTATAAACAAAATCTAAAACAAACCAGAAAATTGTACATAGTTAAATAAACTTTCAGTATGGCAATTTTATCCTCGGGGAAAAGTTTAAAAGGGGTTAAGGGGAGAAAAATAGAGAAACTGAGAGAAGAGGAAGAGATTAGAAGCAAAGCTGAGAACAAGGGAAGATGGTGCAGACTTTGGAAAACTGGAAAGAAGACGAGAGGGGAAAAGAAAGGGAAGAAGTAAGAGGAGAACAGAGCAACAACAAGAGAGCTAGAATCCATGTTCACACACACAGAAAAACAGGATCAAGAAAAAAGGAAAACAGAAGAACAATGTCCACCCGAGGCGAGTCTTTGCTGTCACTGGTGGGCGCCATGGGCAGACAGAGTCCAGACCAAGCTGATTAACCCGGCAGGCCACGGTTCCGCGGCGCTCAGGCGATTTCTGGTGGTGAGGCGGAATGCAATGTGCTCATCCGTGAAGCACCCCCACCCCCAGTGTCTCCTGCAGGCTTGCTGGGAGAGCCGCCACAGTGCTCTTGAGTTCCCAGCTCAGTTGCCCCCTCTCCTGGGGGATCCTGAACCCGAATAACTCGCCGGTCACTGCAGTCTGCCTCCTCTGCTGCTCCAGCCAACCGAGCATTTCTCCATAGAGGCCGCTTGGCCACCAGCAGTCACCATGCATCTGCAGGTTCAGGCCGCCCCTCCCAGGTAGCGAGTCTGACCCCTCTGTCTAAAAGTCTATCCTGTCATCCAGTACTTGGGAGGCCGAGGCAGGAAGATTGCTGGGGTTTGAGGCCCAACCTGGGCTACACAGGAAGACAAACAAGCAATCCTGGGTGAATGCAGAGTCCCAGCTCTGGAGGTGGCAGCAGGCATCAGTGTGTGGCTGTGGACGCTGGCACCAGGCCTGGCCGTGCACAATGATCTCCCCCAGGCCCTCCGGGCGCAGCCCCTGTCCCTGTGCTTTGTTTCTGTTGCTGGCTCACTTAGCAGTGTCTTGTCTAGCGGGACCCATGTGGGTGGCAACGTCCCGGGGCCTATAGAATTCGGGGCTGCCGGGGAGGGTGGGTGAGGAAGTTGAGCCTGATAAGCATATCACCTCTGACCGAGAGGGGGCAGCGCCACCACTGTACAGGTGGTGATCGGAGCAGGGGCTCTCAAAACAAGAAGGAGCCAGGCTACAAAGACAGCAAGGAGATGGAGGATCCCTGTCCTCCCAGCACTCCAGGCTGAGACAGGAGGATCACAAGTTCAAACCCAGTCTGAGCAACTGAGGGCCTAGGTGAGACCCTACCTCAAAATAGAAAATAAGACTGGGCTGGGGACTTGGTTCAGTGCCAAGGCCCTGGGTTCCTTGGATCCCAGTCCAGCCTGAAGAAAGCCATGTGTGCCCTGAGCCTTGGGGGACAAGTGTCTCCTAAGTGCCCATCACCCTCCATCACATACCTGCTCCGGGCCTGTAGGCCTGGTGTCCCTGCAGCTGCTTCAGGGAGATGAGCAGAGCTGGGCAGGGGCTAAGCACATGGGGTCCAGACTCTGGAGGGGTGGGGTGGCCCCAGGGCTGGGGCTATGGCTCCCTGAGGTTCACTGACTGCTGCCAGAGTTCAGGAAGGAGGACTCGGGGCCGGTGCGGCCAGGTCGGACGGGAAGGACATGGCGTGATTGAAAGGTGGCACCTGTCCCCACTGGGAAACCCAAGCTGGCTGGGCCAGGGGGGAGGGGGAAGTGTTGTACCAACAGGGCCATAAACAATGCTCAAGCAGGGCCAGGGGGTGGGGGGCCAGGGCCACAGCAGTGAGGCCACAGCTCACCACACAGAGGGACTTGAGGACGCCTGTGGAGGCCCAGGTAGGAGAAGCCTGCGGCCTTTGTTCCCGCACCCACCCCACCGACACCCTGCCTCCCACACCTCCCCTGCCCCGTGAGCCGAAAGCCCAGGCTCCTTGTGTATCTTTTTCTCTATAGAGACTGAACACAGGGTCTTTGCACTGAGCTGCACCCCCAGCCCTTTGTTCAGTTTTCATTTCAAGACAAGGTCTCACTGAACTGCTAAATTGCCCTGGTTGGGCTGGAACCTGTGACCCTGGGCCTTAGCCTCCCAGAGTACTTTCCGATTCCCTCCACCACTTGGTTAACTAACTCTGCTTTGATGCCCCAACAGTCCTTATGCTGAAGGTCATCTACAGAGTGGCCTGCAGGTGCACCTTCTGGGGCTCTGGGCACCTCACTTGTCTGAGGAATGGGGGCCGGGACTTGGGCTCCCAGCTTCTCCCTCCCGTGGGGATGTCACGGCATGACCAGAGGCTTCTTGGGCAGGGAGGGGGACAGATGCAGAGAGGGAGCTGGGAAGGAAGACAGAGGAACCTTTGTGAGGCTGGAGTGCACTCACAGGCCTCACCTCTGACACCTCCTGCGTGTCAGCAGGGTCCCCCATCCTGGCTGGAGTCTTCGAGGGACCTGGCCAGGAGCTCACAGCAGCCAGGTCTGGGTACCAACTCCAGATTAGTATGGTTTAGTTAGGAGAGCTCAACGCCCTGATCAACCCCTGACCTGTAACCTACCTGCTCTTTAGTTTATGTGCTTTGGGTTTCTCATAGAGGAGAACCCACGTGGTATCTAAGCGTGTGTCTGAGTTACTTCACTTGGCAGTGTGGTCCCAACCTGCATCCCTTTTCCTACAAATGACTCAGGTTTATCCTTCTTCACAGCTGTGTGGTATTCCATTGACAATAACGCCTTTTCAGGAGAGTCAGAGTGAGGTGGGGTGAATCTGCTTTCCTCATTTTTAAACTTCTCTCCTGGGTCTGTTGATCGAACACCTAGGGGATGGGTGGGTGAGGGGGTGGGCCTGCAGGAGCACCTGCCCTGCCTTTTACCCCCTAAGGGGGTACAGCTGAAGAACAGATGGGGAGCAGCACTGCCTCAGCTGGAGGTAGGAGGGGCTTTGCTAGCATCTCCCCAGTAAGTGTGTGGGTGGCTGGGTCAGGGAGGCCCTGTCGGGGGCTGGGCATGCACGGGCCTGACCCTGGGGCCCTCCCTTGTACCACAGCCGTCCCCTCGGGATGGGCTGCTTTCTGAGAGGTGATGGGGTGTAGATCAGCGAACACGGGGTGGTGCGTGGCCCTGCAGAGCCATGCAGGGAGGTGCAGCTGGGGCTGCCTCGGGATGAGGGCACCTGGGGTGCAGTCTGGGGAGTGGAAACCCCTCCTGGGCCTCCTCCCAGTCCCAGGTGGCCTGGGCACCATCCCCACAGTGCAGCCGAGGTCGGCAATATTTTTAGCTGGTGACAGGGGTGCACACCTTTCTGACCCTCTGAGTCATTCCCTCAGCCAGGCTAGGGTTGTTTTCTTTGTAACTGGACCCCAGGAGGGGCAAGGGAGGAAGAAGCTGCCTGAACCCCACCTGTTTGTAGATGCAGTACTTAAATCGGAGCACTTAAACACACTACTTACACTGGAGTACTTAACACAGTATTTAATAGCACCCCCCAGAGCTGGGTCCCAAACCTCCCAAGCCCTGCAGAGCCAGATGAGAGATGCCTGCTAGTCAGCAAAGCAGGGTCTCCCAGGTCCCCCTCTTTGAGGAACACAGGCCCGATGTGGGCGGCTCAGGGGCCCACGTGGCTGACTCCTTGCCCCACACTTGTCATTTGACCGCATTGGCCTGAGGCCGCCTGCCCCGCTGCCCTTGATGCCGCCTCTGAGTTACTTTGTTTTAAAATTCAATAACGTGGTCTTTAAAAAGAGGCTTTCTATCATGGCTGGAAATGGAAACTCAATATCACTCGCCAGAAATAGAAAGTAGCTGTAAAAATAAACTCTCGGGAGACAGCCATGCTGTGGGAGTCCACGCTGCTCCTCCAACCTGCTGTGGGTAGAGCAGGATTGCCCTCTCCTGCCCCAGCTGCCCGGGACCCTACTGTAAAGTAACCACCTTGAGGATGTCATCAAAGAGGCAAAAGCAGGGGGAGGCTGCGGTGTGGGTCCAAGCTTCTGGGGTCAGCTCAGCCGGCTGGGCAGCCTTCAGCCTGGCCCCCTTGCAAGTGCTGCCCCTTCCTATTGCCATGGCAACAGAGGATGCTGGGGTGTCCAGGTAGCGGCACAGGGGACCAGGGCGGGGTTTCTGAGGCTGTCTTCACCCCAGGCACAGACAGGGCATGACCAGGTCCTTGGTCTTCCTTCTAGACATGGACCCCAAGAAAGACCAGTTGTCCGAAGAGGGGACCACTGTCTCCCCAACCACAAAGGAGTCTGGGATGTCAGGGGCTGGAGCAGAGGAGACCAAAGACCAAGCAGAGAAGACACACACCAAGGACGGTGTCCCTGAGGAGGGTGTCCTCGAGGATAGTGTACCCAAAAATGGTGCCCCTGAGGATGGTGTAGCCAAGAATGCTGTCCCCGAGGACAGTGTCCCCAAGGAAGGTGTACCCAAGAATGGTGTCCCTGAGGATGGTGCACCCAAGAATGCTGTCCTAGAAGACAGTGTCCCTGAAGAGGGTGTACCCAAGAATGATGTCCCCAAGGATAGTGTACCCAAAAATAGTGTCCCTGAGGATGGTGGACCCAAGAATGCTGTCCCAGAAGACAGTGTCTCTGAGGAGGGTGTACCCAAGAATGGTGTCCCCAAGAATGGTATCCCTGAGGACAGTGTCCCCACAGGGCCAAGGGGGGAAGCCATTGGGCTAGCAGAGGGGGACCTGGGGAAGCCCCAGAAGGAAGCCGGGGGGAAGGAGGAAGCTGAGGCAGAACCTGGAAAGGAGAAAGGTGGGGAGGAAGAGGCCACAGCAGCTTCTTTGGAGGTGACAGCCAGGAAGGATGAGACCACATCTGAACCCAGGGAGACCGAGGACACGGAGGAGCCCACGCTGGCCTCACAGAGGCAGAAAGCTGACAAGGAGGCAGCCCCAGGGGAATCTGAGGAGAAAGATGGAGGGAACAGCAGAGATAAATCCATGCCCATGGAGGCCAGTGGGGACCAGGCTGCCAACCATGAGGCCGAGGCAGGATCTCAGAAGGCGGCTGTGGATGGTGAACCCCAGGAGGCTGATGGAAAGGAGGAGGCTGAAAGTGGTGCAGAGGAATCGGTGAGTGGGGCAGAGATGGGAAGAACACTGCACCCCCCCAGAGACAGACTCTATGCCCCTGTGTAATCCCAGCACATGGGAGGCTGAGGCAGGCTGGTCTCTGTGAGTTCCCTCAGGAAGGCCTGGTCTCCCTCCTCGGATCTCTTGAGCATGAGCAGGGTGGGGAGCTGGATGTCAGCCTCACAAGGCCTGGGCAGATGCTAGTGGGATTGGGAACCCACAGGCACCCTGTCCGCTCCAGAAGCCTGGAGACACTGAGGAAGACCAAGAGCAGGAAGATAAGGAGCCTGAGGACGGGGCTGTGGGGGTCCCCAGCTCCCCTGAGGAGTGGCCCGAGAGCCCCAGCGAAGAGGGCCCTGGCCTCAGCCCAGGTGAGCGGGGCAGGGTGCCCAGGCTGCTGGGGGGTAGAGAGTGACCAGGAGTCCAGCGTCCCCCTGTGTCCTGCAGATGGCGTGGGCCTGGAATCTGAAGCCTCAGGAGATGCCAGTACTTCTGCCAGGTGAGGGGGGTACAGCGCCCACTCCCAGCCTGCTGGCCACAGCCTCCCAGCCCCTGGTGTTGGGAAGGGAGTCGGGGTTCCTGGTGGGTAGTCCTTCCACCCACAGAGCCCAGGATGCCAGGAGATGAGAGGTGGAGCCCAGCTCACTCCACTCCTTCCCCAGGGGACCCCAGCCAGAAAGTCAGACCCCAGACCACAGCTCTGCTGGTTACCTCAGCCCTGTCCCTTAACCTCTTTTTCATTTTGTTTTTGGGGCCCAGCAGGACACAGCATCCCCCAGGGCAGCCATTCAGGGTCTGGCTGTGTAGTTCAGGCTGCCTTGGACTCATAGTGATCCTCCTGCCTCAGCCTCCCAAGTGCTGGGATGACAGGCGTGTGCCTGGCTCCTCTATGGGTGCTTTTGGGTGGCAGTGGCCCCTGCCCATGACCCCAGCTCCCTCTGAACCCCTGGCTGGGGTCCTGGCCCCTCTCATCCCATGCCCACCTCTCTTGTAGTGAGTCTTCACCTGGCAATGCACCCCAGGGTACCACAGAGCCCCCTCGCCTGAAAGAGAAGAAGGAGCCTGGCCCGGAGCGCAGGGTGTCGGCCACAGCCCGGCCCCGGGGTCCTCGGGCTCAGAACCGCAAAGCCATCATGGACAAGTTTGGCGGGTAGGGGTGGCAGGCTCCAGGCCAGGTGGGAGGCATGTATGATCTGGTGGGAACAGTGGGGGGGGCTGCAGCCTCCCAGGCCCAGCTGGACACAGTGGTGTCCCCCAGGGCGGCCACAGGCCCCACGGCACTGTTCCGGAACACGAAGGCAGCCGGGGCGGCCGTTGGGGGCGTGAGGAACATGCTGCTGGAGTGGTGCCGGGCCATGACCAGGAAGTATGAGGTGGGCATGGCAGGCACGGGGGCAGGGGCTGCGGGGCCATGGGGGGCATGGCGCTCAGCGGCCCCTCTGCCCATAGCATGTGGACATCCAGAACTTCTCATCCAGCTGGGGCAGCGGCATGGCCTTCTGTGCCCTCATCCACAAGTTCTTCCCTGATGCCTTCGACTACACAGCACTGGACCCTGCCCAGCGCAGGCACAACTTCACCCTGGCCTTCAGCACCGCAGAGTGAGCCGGGGCCCAGCAGGGAGGGCAGGAGCCAGGGCAGGACCCGGGTGGAGGCAGGGAGCCAGGTCCATTCGGGACCTTGGTCACTCGTCAGGCACTCTTTCCAAGAGCCGAGGCTTGAACATGCAAAGGACCCTGCTTATTTGGGGTCACCTTTTAAATGGACAGGCAGCAAGCATGGTGGCACACACCTGAGGTCCCAGCACTCAGGAGGCTGAGGCAGGAGGATCACTGTGAGTTTGAGGCCAGCCTGGGCTACACACTGAGTTCAAGGCCAGCCTGAATGGCATAGTGAGATCCTGTCTCAAAAAACACAAAACAAAACCAAAAAATGAATACCTGGAAAAACAGATCACGAATACACACAGAGGTGAAATACAAAGGGTGGTCAAAAATAAGGTGAATATTTACATGTTTTTCAAAAACGTGTCACAGTAAAAGCTAACTAGCCATGAAGTCCCTCCAACCCCATCCCCATTCCCACCCCCATCCCCATTGAACACACGCATCCCATCCCATCCTTCTTGCCCCAGCAGCTCTGGAACCCTCCTTCCTAGGGGTCTTTAGGAGGTGCGATCAAATGCACAGTGAGGGCCACTGCTGAGCACTTCACAGGGAGAGGCAGCTGGGAAACACCAGCGGATGTGGCAGCCTCATTCAAGGGCGCTGTGTGACCGCTGGCTCCTCTCGAGGGCCAAAGTGACAGTCAAAGTGGACCATTTAGCATTGATCAGGGACATGGAGGGGGCCATGCTACAGGCCAGGAGGAGGAAGATGAGAAGGAGGAGGAGTTGGCAGCGCAGGAGGAGCAGGAGCAGCTGCTACAGAAAGGGCCGGTGGGGGGATGAGCCTGCTGGAAGAGAAGGGAACATCCCATTGGCGTGGGATTCACGCCAATGGGCCTTTTACTGTAGTAGTCATTCTACCCACAGATCATGGTTGGTTTTGTTGTTGTTGTTGTTTTTATCAGTACTGGGGATCGAACTCACAACCATGCTCTTGCAAGGCAGGCGCTTATGCCCCTGAGCTAAATCCCCAGCCTCCAAGGCTATGCTTTTTAAAATCACACCTTGTGTTCTGTCAGGATGGTGGGCACAGAGGATCTCCACAGGGCTGGGGCATACCAAGGGGGCTGGGAGTTTTGGGGAGGGGTGCAGCAATCTGGGTCAGACTCCACCTGCACCATCTGCCAGCTGCGAGACCCCAGACAAGCTCCTTTACGCCCCTGAGCCCCTGGATTCCCCGAGGCTGCCTCAGGGGCCTAGAACTGGTTCCCTGCAGCAGTGGGGCACTGATGCTGCTGCCGGGTCAATGGATTCTGAGCTTGGGAGGGGGGACTGAGGACAACTGCTGGTCACTGGAACCTCCCCATTGGGGCCCCAGCCTGCCTGCTGGGCCTGCAGGTTCTTCGAAATCCTGCAGGGCCCGCCCTCCCCTGCCCTGGCCAGTGCGGCTTGGATGCTGGCCCAGCCTGTGGCCCAGGATGGCCTTTCCCACGGCACGCACCTCTTGTGCCCGTGCCCGCGGCTGCCTTTGGCACCAGGCAGGTCCTAGTTGTCCCTCACTGGGCAACCACCATTCTCCAAGGCTCGGCTCCTCCATGAATAAGCTCACGGCCTCAGCAAAGGGGGCACAGAGAAGTTAGAGGGAAAAGACTGGCTAAGTTCTCTGCAGGTCTGTATCACCCAGCACGGCTGCCCCAGGGCCATCCTCCCTGTAACTACACAGAGAACCTTGCTGGGTTTGTCCTTTTTCCGATTTTCCCTACAGAACTGGGGACAGAACCCAGGCTTTTCACACTGAGCTATATCTCCAGCCCTTTCTATTTTTTATTTTAAAACAAGTTGCTAGGTAGTCCAAGTTGGGCTCCACGTTGCGATCCTCCTGCCCTAGGCTCAGCCATGCACCACCAGAGTTAGGTTTCAATCCTGACTCCCAGCCGGGTCTCAGTTATCCATTCTAAGCAATGGGGTGATGGCTGAGCCACTCTCCTGCTCCCACACACGATCTCTCCCCACCCACCCTGGATGGGTGACCTACCCACTTCCTGACTCCACCTCCTCAGCTTTGCCACTCCCATCTGAATCCCACCCCGCCGCACAGGAAACTGGCAGACTGCGCCCAGCTGTTGGACGTGGAGGACATGGTGCGGCTGGCGGTGCCAGACTCCAAGTGTGTCTACACCTACATCCAGGAGCTGTACCGCAGCCTGGTGCAGAAAGGCCTGGTAAAGACAAAGAAGAAGTGAGGCTGAGACAGAAGGGTGCCCAGGGACTCACTGCTGCTCCTTGGGGACAACAGAGCTGGGGGCTGGGCTGGGACGGGGTCGCAGTCCTGACTGCATTAAAAGGACTTTTGCAAAGCCCTGTCTCAGAGCTCAGCACTCTTCCTCCTGGCCACAGGCACACTCCACAGGTGGTGGCCACAAATAAATGAGCCGGCATGGCTGGGGTCTCTAAAGCCCCCCAAAGGCTTCTGGGCCAGTGGTTTGGCCCCCAGTGCTGCCATGTTGAACGGTGGGGCACCTGGAAGACATTGGGTCAGGGATCCTAACTCCCAGATGGCACAGATGGGCTGGGGACTCGATGGGGTCACTGGGAAGACACAGCAAGGGAGTGAGGCTCACACAGGGTGGGGCCTTGAGAAGGCTCCCATCCTTGCTCCTTCCTCTCTGGTTCTCTGTCACCCCCTCTGCTTCCTGGTCCCCATGAGACAAGCAGCTCCACTTCCCAGATTCTCACGCCACGGAGGTTTTGCTAAGGCAGACACTGGGCTGAGTCTCTGAAGCAAGGACCCGGGTGAACCTTCCCTGCCCACACTGTCCCTTCAGTGTTAGCTCACAGTGGAGGGCAGCTGGCCAGCACCCAAGCTCTCATTTCCAGCCACCTGTGGCACGGTTCTCTCCAGTTCTATGCTTCCTCCTGCGAGAGGGCTCCGAGGCTGGAATGGGGTGAAAGGTTCCCCATTATCTCACTGTTGGGCTTGAATCCAGATGTCTTCCCAAAGGCCCGTGCACTCATAGGTGGGGCTTTTCAGAGCTGGCTGATCTAGGGGGTGTGATACTGGGGCTGTGGGTGGGTGGTACTGAATTGGCCCACTGGCTGGAATGAGCACCGTTGTGGCTGTGGCTGGATAGATTTCATGACCACAGAAGCCCAAGTGTGGGTGGCACCGTCTAAAAGCTTTGTAGTCTGGATAGAAAAAAAAGGGAAAGAGAGGCTGCTACTCATGGCCTTCTGCCAGCCCTGCCATGAACTGTTTCTCCTCCGTGATGCCTCTCTGCCACACCACCCTGCCTTGGGACCAGCTGCCTATGGGACTAAGTCTCTGCAAATTGTCAGCTAAATAAACCTCTCCCCCTTTAATTTTGGATGGCAGCACTGTCTCAGCAATGAGAAAAGCAGCTAAGATGCTCACCCAGACAAGGCCTGGGGCTAGGTGCTTCCGAGAGGCCCTGCGTCCTGTCTCTGAGACACTGGCATCTCTCAGCAGCTTCTGGCAGTAGCACCTACACAGCTGTTCCCTGCTTCCTTTGCTCAGAGCTAACCCTCCATCCCTGGTGGGAACTGAGGCCTCTTTCTGCTCCATGCATGACAGGACCTGTCCTGATCTGGTTGTACTGTCCTACAAACAACTCAGCTCAGCCAGGTACTGGTGACTGAACCCAGGGCCTTTGTATTGAGCTACATCTCCAGCTGTTTATTTTGTAACAGTCTTGCTAAGTTACCAGGGCTGGGCACAAATGTGGAATCTTCCTGCCTCAGCCTCCAAAGTGCTAGGACTACAGGCATGCCCAGCTATGATAGCATATTCTTTATTTTTTTTTTTTGATAGCATATTCTTTTATGGCCATTCATCCTTCCCATGCTCATGGGAAATGGGCCCAGTTAAATCCCAGCCCCTCACAGGGGATTTAGCCAACTCCAGGATTCTGTGATCATAATGGCCAGGCAGGTGCATTGCTCTGTGGATCTCCAGACTGGCTCTGGGGGGCACAAGCCATTCAGTCCACAGCCTGGTCCCTTGGAACCAGCAACCCATCAGGGAAGCAGGGAGGTCAGATTCCAGGATGGAGGTTGGAGTCTTTATTTTGTGATTTATTGGTGATTTGGTGCCAACATCTGCCTACACCTGAGGGCTTCGGGGACTTCAGTCCCTCACATGGAAACACAACACCACCATGCCTCTGCTCCCACCCAGACCCCTGACTTCCCCCTCCACCGCCCACCCTGGTGCCTCAGTCTAAACTGTGGGCTCAGTGGAGACCAGGGTGGGGGAAGCTCTGCATGCCTGGGGGGGGGGGGGCGAGTCCACACACCTCACACATGTCCTCCCACCTGTACATAGACTCCACATTGGTGGTGAGAGAGGAGCCTAGATGGACTGCCAGGGGACTGCCAGGGGCCTGCAGTCCATGAGGTTTGTAGCCCATCAAGTGCAGGATGGGTATGATCAGGAAGGCCGGTCCTCCCCAAACTGTAGCGTCATCTCCTCAGCCCTCCTCCAGAACAGATCCGGGCTCTGTGCCAGCAGCTCCGCCAGGTCCAGCTGCATGGGCTCTTCCAGGTTCGGCCTGTTCACCAGGAGACTGAGGGCCTCCAAGACTGGGGAGAAGGGTGGGCAGGACATCAGGGTGACCAGACGGGCGGGAGCAAGGCAATGGCTGCCCTGCCCCCCCTACCCTGCACATAATCTTCACTTATCAACAGTGATGAGCCAGCCAAGTGTGGAGGCTCATGCCTGTAATCCCAGCACTTGGGAGGCTGAAGCAGGAGGATCACCACAGGTTTGAGGCCAGCCTGGGATACATAATAAACTCAAGAGTAGCTTGAACTACATAGCCAGACCCTGTCTCAAAAAAATAATAATAATTCAGTTCCTCAGCCGCATTAGCCCCATGTGGCCTGTGACTGCTGGACTGGGCAGTGCTGTGGAAAGCTCTGTTGGACACTGTCTGCCACACGCTGCCCCCTGTCCCCCCACTCTTTGTGCCTCAGTGTTCCCTCCACTCCCTGGGACCAGAGAGGGCGCTGCCTCGGGGCTGGCGGAAGTGCAGGATGAAGTGATGGCGGTCATCACTGTGCTCTCACCCTTCTGGGCACTGAGTCCCAGGAAAGGGGCCAGGCCTCCTCCACCACATGCTCTGTGACGGCTCCTGTCTAGACATCCCCTAGGCTGGGTCGGAAAGGTGGCTGCAGGCTGCTCAGAGCTGATTTCCTGTTGGGGGTGGGTCCCGGGGGCGTGGCCTGGAAGGTTTCATCTCCCTGGCTCCGCCCTTGGGCCCTCTACTTCCGGTGAACCTAGTCCTGAGCAGCTCTTCACCTCCAGACCCCTCTGCCTTGGAGCCAGGCGACCATAGACTGAACCCTCTATAAACTGTGAGCCGAACAGGCCTCCTCCTTGAAGCCGTGGCTATCGGTACCGCCTCCCAGCACCACAAAACTAAGATGCATCTGCTCTGCAGCCGGGTGCTTGTTCTTCCCCAGGCCTACCTGAGTCCCCTACTCCCACCCCCACCCCAGCCTGCAGATCCACGTCCTCCTGCCTTGGCCTCTGAAAGCTGGGACTCAGGGTGTGCCGCCATGCCTCGCCGAGGCCCTTCCACCTCTGTCCTCTCCCTGAGGGGTCCCTAGCTCCGCAGCGGCCAGACTCACCCTGGCGCGCCTTGGTGTGAGGTTTCCAGTTCTGGCTGCTGAGCAGCGGCAGGCAGACCCGGCCCTGCTCATCCACGTTGGGGTGGTAGATCCTGGTGAGGAAGGTCACCGTGGGGGGCAGCAAGGGGTACTCCCTGGGGAAGTCAAGGCGCAGGTGGAAGGCTCTGAGGCTGTAGGGAGGCTGCTCCTGTGGGGTGGGAGCCATGGAGTGGAGACTTAGAGCGACTGCTGTCCCCAGCTGTCACCACCGTGCCCAGGGAGTGACCACGGGGCCCTCTTGAAGGACACAGACTCAGCTTCTCGGGGACTGTGGGTCCCCTGCACCTCCGTCTCACGCCCATCAATGGAGGGGGGGCTCTGACCTCCCATCACCCTTCTCCTGCCCTGTCTCCTCACTCCCTGGCTCAGAGCTGGTCTCCATGGTGACTGCATCCTTCAAGCTCTTCCCTGAGGCCCTGGCCCAGAGCCCAGTCCCTGAATTGCGACATCGGCCCCCTGCGGACCTGAGTCAAGCTTTTCTCCATGTGCCTGGACCACGGGTCAGCACAGACAGAAGGTGGTGGCCAGGCCACTCCGAGCAGGAGGACACCATTTCCTCCTCCCTCGTTCCTCTGAAGAGCTCCGGCTACACAAAGCCCAAAGGTCTTCACTGAATTCCCCAAGGAAAGTGAATTTAGTCCCTTATCCCCGGAGGACAAACTGGCCTGTGGGAGGACTACTTTCAGAGGGAGACTAACAAATACTGAGCAGAAGCCAGGGCAGTAGAGTCAGCGGTCTTGGCTGTCAACACGTAATGATGATTTCCCTGAAATAAGACCTTTAAAAGAAAATAGCCAGGGGCTGAGAATTTAGCTCAGCAGCATAAGCACCTGCCTTGCAAGCAGGCGGTCGTGAGTTCGATCCCCGGTACCGATAAAAATGAAAAAGACCAAAAAAAAAAGAAAGAAAGAAAGAAAATAGCCAGGCATGGTGATGCATGCCTATAATCTCTGCCTTGGGTGGCTAAGACAGGAGGATCACTGTGCACTCAAGGCCAGCCTGAACTACATAAAGAGACCTTGTCTAACCAAGGGAAAAAACATACATATAATGTGAGATGAATAAAAGTTCTCTGTGACAGAAGAGGAGATGTAAACCTATATATATATATATAGGTTTATATGAGTTTTTCTCTTTTTTTTTTTTTCAGTACTGGAAACTGAACTCAGGACCTTGTGCTTGCCAGGCAGGTTCTGTGCCTCTCAGCTATGTCCCCAGCCCAGGTTTATATGATTTAAAAGAGCAGAGTCTACCACCCAGGATAACCTAGAAGTTAGGCACTATTTCTTTAAAAATATTAAGATATATGGGGCTGGGGATTTAGCTCAGTGGTATAAGCACCTGCCTTGCAAGCAGGTGGTTGTGAGTTCAATCCCCGGTACCAATTAAAATATATATATATATATATATATATATATATATATATATGATGTGTTTCTTTTTCCTTTATTTTAATTAATTGATTAATTAATTAACTTTTGAGGCAAGATTTTGTTCCAGGCTCAGGGTGGCCTGGAACTTGTGGCTACTCTCCTGCCTCAGCCTCTAGAGTGCTGGGATTACGGGCATGCACCACCATGCCCAGATTTTTAATTCTTTCTTTTCTCTGGGTGAGACAGGTTCTTGATGTGTTGCTGTGGCCACCCTTCCACTCCTGAGCTCAAGAGATCCTCCTGCCTCAGCCTCTCAAAAACCCAAGGTTCCAGGAACTGGTCAGCATCCCGGCTCCTCCTCCTTAGACCTGGCTGCCCTGGACTTCTGTGGGGCTTAGTGGCTGTTGGTTTGTCTCCTACAAAGTCTATAACCTTTGGCATCATGATTTGCCTGCCTGGGCTTGGAAGCGAAGGTCCTCCCCAATGACAGCCTTGGTGAAGGGTGGTCCCCACTTGGGTCCCCACCCACACACCCTGCCCAAGTCACTGCCCAAGAGCACCCCCACCCCCGCCAAAGCCACAAGCCAGGGACACTCACAGGCAGGAGGAGTACGTGCCACACCAGGACGTTGGCATTCTCTCTGCGCAGGTTCCGCAAGTATGGGGGTGCCTCCTGCTGCAGGGCTTCCAGCTCCTGTGGGGTGCAGGGTCTCACTATGGAGCCAGGTGGGCCTCCATCTGGCAGAGATCCTCCTGCCTCAGCCTCCCAGATGCTGGGATTACAGGCCTGGGCCACCATGCCTGACTTCTCTCAGATTTTTTTTTTTTTTTTTTTTTGAGACAGGGTCTCACTGTGCAGTTCAGGCTCGCCTTTGGCTCACTTTGTAGCCCAGGCTGATCTTGAACTTTCAAATGATTCTCCTGCCTCAGCCTCCGAAATGCTGGGCCCAGCTCCTCTCAGATATAGATGGGGTATAAATGTGTAGGACCTTTGTTCCTGAAAGCAAAGTGCTTAGTGCTTTCTTCTTCCCATAAAGTCTCAAACCTCCACCTCCCAAAAACATCCGCTGTACTCACAGGCCATAAGCACCCCAAAGCAGGTGGCCCCTGCCCCTCCTCTCTGTGTACCAGGGATAGGGAAGGAGAGGTCTACACCACAGCCAGGACCTGAGGCCCCTTGCCCAGACACCACTGAACTCTCCAAACAGCCACACACAGCGCGTACTGTGCTGAACTCTGACTTGAGATCAAGTGCAGAGAACCTGGGGTGACTGTGTGGATAATGTGGGTCAGGTTAGGAGAAGGCAGCACAGGATGCACATTGGGAGCTGGGCCATGTGGGATGAATAGAAGTCCTCTGTGATACATAAGGAGAGGCATCCTGGTGCCCCTCATCAGTCACTACAAGGGAGGGTTCTATGGTCAACTATATTAGGGAAAAATGAAGCCGAATGCTGTCTTCCCAAAGGACTCCTCAGGGCCTGCCACAGCTGTGATGTGGAGGTCACCGGGTGGCACAGGGTCCCCTCTCAAACTCGAGGACCAAGGAATCGGTGCCCATTACTCCCTACCTGTCAGCTAGGAACAGAGCCTGCTCCGGGTGCATCAGGGTTCGGGGAGTTGGGGAGCCGTGGTCCTGGGACTGCTCCTGGTTCCCTGCTCTGCCTTCCACAGCAGTGGCTCCTGGAGCTGAGTAGCTGCACTCAGCCAGGCCCTCCTGCCAGGAGGGTCCTGCCTGGAGCCAGCGCTGTGGATCAAACCCTGCTAAACAGTCTGAGCCCAAGGAACTTCCCTCCTGTCATTGTGGCTGTTTCCTACCGGACCCATTTCAGAGACCCGTCCTGAGACTAGGGAGGGGGTAGCAAGCATTCAAGGGCGGGTCCGCATCTTTTGGGCAGTGCTTCTCACCAGGGTGACTGTGTCCTCCTGATGCCTTTCTCTCTGTCAACATGGGAACAGTGCTACTAGACCCTAGTGAGTAAGACCAGAGACCTGTAAACATCCTACAAGAGCTGCAGGGCCAGCCGAGAGAGTGCAGTACACATCTGTAATCCCACTACTCAGGGGGCTGAGGCAGGAGGATCTCCACAAGTCCGAGGCCAGCCTGAACTGTATAGTAAGTTCAAGGCCAGCCTGGGCTACACAAAACAAACAAAACAAAAACCTCTCTGGCTCCAGCGGTGAGTTGTAGTTCAGTGGTGTGTGCTGGCCTAGCAGGAGCCAGATTCTGGCTCCAACCCAGCAGTGAAAAAAAAGAAAACAATTTTCTGGCCCTAAAGTTTAGCAAGGAGGAGGTTGGGACACCTCCAAAGTTCCTCAGAGGCAGGCCATGTTCATAGAGGAGACTCTGCTAGTGTAGAGTCCGAGATCCAGGATCCCCCAGGCTGGAGGGACCCTCCAGATGCTGCAGCCTAGGACCGGGCAGGAACCAAGCCCAGAACTGGACAAAGACTGTGGGAGGGGCTGCGAGGTCAGTGATAGAAATCACCTGACTTAGAGGAACCGAAACTAGAAGCAAAGGCGCGTCCTGGCGCACCAGGTGTTTCACCCCCACCCCCCACCTTCCCAGGGAATCGCCCGCCCCACCTTCCAATGTGTTTCCAGCTATGTCCCTGGTAGCACCGAAAGCTCAATGGAACCAGGGCGTTTTCTTTTCTTGGTGGGGTCGGGAGGTGGGGGAGTAAGACAAGGTCTCATCATGAAGTTCCGGCTGGCCTCAAATTCCAGAGATCCCCCCGCTCAGCCTCCCCAGGGCGGGGACCACAAGCCTGGGACACCCTGCCTGCCGCAGCCGGGGGTTTTTATCTCTGTCCCCACTTCCCAGCTTAGGGAACGATTCTCCCACAGACCCCAGACTGTGGTCACAGGTTTCCGCAGAAGTAAAACCGAAAGCGTTTTGGGCAGGAGAGGGGGGGATGCGGCGGAGGGTGATGCGGGGGTGGGGGGAGGGGGCCTGGGCTCCCGGCATCCCCACCCCTGGCTCCAGTGGGTCGTAGACTCTGGCCTCCTTGAGGGACGGGGAACAGGGGAGAGCGCCCCTCACCTTCGCCACTCGCTTGCTCGCCGACATCTCGGTCCCGGATCGCAGACGCCTGCCGCGGAACCTGCTGCTAGACAGCACCTTCGGTTTGAACTCGTGCCCCGCCTCTACCCGCCTCTAACGCGAGTGGGCGTGTAATCATTCCCAGCTTGGGAAGTGAATGCCCTCTGGGTGCCTTTGGAACAAGCAAAGCCGGGAGACAGCCCTGGAGCCTCCCTTTGGCTTGTTTGTTGTTTGCTTTTTGTGTTTTGTGTGTGACAGTAGCCCAGGCTGGTTTTGAACTCCTGGTGATCCTCCTGCCTCAGTCTCCCAAATGCTGGGATTACAGACCTGCACAACTACATCTGGCTGTCTATCTATGAGCTTTTTGAGACAGGATCTCTCTTTGTAACTAGGGCTGGCCTTGAACTCCTGGCAACCCTCCTGCGTGCAAGTGCTGGGATTATTTTATTCCTTACAAACGGTGGACACTGGAGGTGCGGCCACCCGCACCAGGATGCCCAAGGCAGACACCTTGTCCCAGCCTGAGGCCTGCACCCCAGTAGCACTTGGGGAAGAAGCCTTTTAGGGAAGAACATGGACACGCCCTCTCCCATGTCCCCACCTCCAGTAGCTGCTTTTACTGTGAAAAGCAGCGGCAGGCAAACCCTGAGTTCTGCACGCATCCTTTGCAGAGTCTGTGTGCCAGAAAACTTGGATCTCTGTACTGTTGACCTCCCTGTACTGACCCCTGCACCCTGGAAGGGGAGTCCAGGTCCCTGGGCACCGGTCAGAGGGCACCTCAGACCCCAGCGCAGTGGCAGAAGCCAGTGATCCCTGCACACAGGAGACTGATAAGGGATTGCCTCGAGTACTAGGCCAGCCTGGGCTGCCTAGCAAGTTTAAGGCCAGACTGAATTAACTACACGGTTAAACCGTGTCTCCACCGCATCCCCAGATAAAAACCGTGTATCTGGCCCTGTGCCTTCCGTTTGTGCCAAAAGATAATCTCCCATTAGCTCATTTGTAAATGCACCCTGTTCTGTGTGATCGAGGTTCTCTGTCCAGGGGCTGCTGTCAGCAGCACAGTGAGTGTCTGTGTATTTGATTATTTATGCTTTGGATCCCTCATTCGGGAGAAGCCACGCACCATCTCAGCTTGTGCATCTGATTCACTTCACTTAACTTTCTGGCCTCGAAGTGAGTCCGTTTTCTTATATGATTAAAAAGCAAAATAAACGACAGAAAGCAGGAATTGGGGAGATCGGAGGGGTACAAGAGGGGAGAGAGGGGTGAAAAGGGATTAAGATATGTCACAGACACTGCCCAGTCCACTTAAGGCCATGAACATCATGCACTGAAAACATGGACTAATAAAAAAAATTAATGCAACGAGGGACTCGACATCATCTAGAAAAAGGACTGAATTCATGAGCATGCAGCACCCAGACTGTCCTGTCCCAAAACTGTGGCTGCTTCTCTGAAGTTTGGGGTCCCCCTGCAGTCTCGGGCACCGCCCTCTCCCCATCATTGAGACAGCAGCCACCCTGGGCTCCTGTAGAGCAGCTGCAGGGTCCCAGGCACAGAAACCTTTGGACCTGCTTCCCAGGGCCTGCTGGGCGGAGAGGGTGGGGGGCATCCTGGCAGAAGTTTGTGGAGTTGCAGCCATGCCTGGCGTCTTGACAGGAATTTCGCAGGCTGGGAAGGGAGCCAGAATCTCCCAGAGGCACACGGGGGTCCCACCCTGCACCACAGCAGGCAGAGCGGGCACCTCCGAGGGCCCCCAGTGCAGCAGCTGCCCTGGCACTCCCTGCCCTGCTGGCTAGTTTGCCCTTCTCCGCGCTCAGGACAAGGGTGGAGAAGGTTCCATTCACCCCAGCGGTTTCCCTTCTAGGTATCTCCCCAAGAGGGTTGAAGACATTGTATGACAGCGATCCATGCACACCCCTGTTTACAGCAGCACAGTTCATAACGGCTGAATCTCAGAAGCAGCCTATCTGCCCATCAACAGATGAATGGATAAAGAAGGTGCGGTGCACCATGGACCACTACTCTCCCGTAAAGAAGCACACACTTAAGCCTTTTGTAGAAAAATGGATGTACTTTGAGACCATCATGTTAAGTGAAGTAAATCAGAAATAAGCCTAAAGATCACAGGGCTTCTCTTATAAGAGTAACCCAGCGTAAAAGTAATTTAAAAGGCAACATACAAGATAGATAGAAGACACCGAGATAGACCCTTTGCAAACGGAAGGGGATCAGCGAGTTCTGAGCTGCGCTCCAGGTCTTAAGCACAAGACAGCAGCGGGGATTCCTGGGTGAGAACTGACAGTGTTTGCTCTGCTGGGGCACAGACCAGCGCGGGGAGCAGATGGGAACGAAGTAAACAGTAAACTGTGAGCGTCCTTCTCATGGGAGATGTGGAGAGGAGATCCAAAGAGCCAGGGGTTGAGGTATTCGGGAGCCTGGGACAGAAAGACAGCTGGAGCCCAGCTATGTAGTGACAACTTACAACAAACAACAGAAACTCAAAGAAAGGAAAACCCAAGGGGACACAAGGCTGGCGCATAACCAGGACAGGGCAGGACGGTTTCTTTGAGAAAGAACATTAAGGGTCCCCACCGCGGAGGGGGCGCTGAAGACCCCAGGAGGGGTTTCCCTGCACTCTGAGCAGGGGCTGACAGGTCTCCGCACACCCAGCCGGGGACAGGAAGAAGCCGGATCCGGGTCCGAGAGGGGAGGCCTAACCCAGTCCCGCAGGGGAACAGAACTGAGACCAGGGGCCTCTCAGGGCTTAGCCCTACAAGCCGAGGAGGAGGGGCGAGAGGAACAGAGTGGGGATGCTGGATGGGGTGCTGAAAGGCGTGTTGTGTTCACCAATGGAAAGTGACAACAAGCATCTTGAGTTGACGCGCCTGTAATCCCAATACACAGGAAGCTGAGAGAGGAGGACTGCAAATTCAAGGCCAGCCCAGCCTCAGAATAAAAAGACTGTTGATGTCACTGAGTGGTACAGCAGTTGCCTTGCATGGAGGAGGCCCTGGGTTCAGTTCCCATTAGCAGACAAAGTGAATAGAACACTACGTTAGAATAGAGCCCAGGCTGATCTCAAACTTGTGATAATCCTCCTGTGTCAGCCTCCTAAGTGCCAGGCTTACAGGCATGTATCACCACATCCAGCTTGTATGTATGCATGTATTGAGAGATAGTGTCTCACTGTGTAGTTCAGAAAGAACATTTGTTTTGTATTTTTGAGACAGGGTCTCCCTGTGTAGTTCAGGCTGGCCTTGGACTCACTGCCTAGCCCAGGATGGCCTGATTCATGGCAATCCTCCTGCCTCAGCCTCCTAGGTGAGTGTGTACCACTGCACCTGACTAGAAAGAAAACTTCAAAATAAAAAGCAAAGACCTGGTAGAAGATAGGGCAAGTACAAGTGTAGATGGGCTAAGACCTCAGACAACCATCCCGAGGCTCTTCCCTAACCACCATAAGCTACAGATGTCCATCTCTTGCTGGGGTCACCTTAGACACTGCTGTCCCTGACCGAGGGGTTCTCTGCTCCAACCAACCATGCAGGCAGGTGGACCTGGTATCACTTGGACACCAACATCACAGTTCCTCGGTGGGGAGAGTTTGTGGGGAGAGTTTTCCATGCCAAGCACAGCCCCAGCACCATCACCTTCTGCAGCATGGCCAGCGGCCCAAGATCTGGCCTTGAGCAGCCAGAAGCCCTGCACACAGAGGTGCTCTGCTGCAGGCCAGGCTGGGGCCTCAGGAGCAGTGAGTCGAATGCTGCTGCTTAGAGATTAGCAGTGAATGCCTGGTCCACTTGACACGGAGATGAGGTGACAGCGAGGATCCTGCCTGAGGGCCATGCAAGATGTCCAGGAGGTTTGGAGAGGCCACAGTTTGACTCTGGTGGCTGGGGAACCCCTCCTCATGCATGGGCACGGATTGGCAGCCCCACACGCAAGATAGGGGCTCCCCTTGGCTAGGCCCCCCATAGGGAGCCTCAGCCAGGAAACCCTGAGGTCATAGGGCTGAACAACGGTGTGCTGAGGCTCCACTCAGACTCAGGTGCACACTGCACCCTGCACGGTGCTTCTGCAGAGCACCCTGGGGCAGGGGTTAAACACTGCACAGTTGAACTGAGCATGGTGGCACACACTTGTAATCCCAGCACTGGGGAGGCTGAGGCAAGAGGATCGTTGTGAGTTTGAGACCAGCCTGGGCTACCCAGTGTGCGCTCAAGGCCAGCCTGAACTGCATAGAGAGACCCTGTCTCTAAAAGACAGAAAAGGTGCCAGGGATATAGCTCAGCAATATAGCTCCTACCTGGCAAGTGCAGGGTTGTGAGTTTGATTCCCAGTATCTAAACTAATTTTTAAAAAAAGACAAAAACACTGCATGTTTTCTCTCGTATGAGAAGTTGCACATACAAAATGACTCATTGCACGAGACAGAAAAAGGACAGTGGGCTGGGGGTTTAGCTCAGCAGCACATGCGCCTGCCTGGCAAGCACGAGGTTATGAGTTCAATCGCCAGTACCCCCCCCCAAAAAAAAAGAGAGAAAAAAGGAAAAAAGAAAGAAAGAAACAAGAAGGACAGTCAGAGGCGGGGTAGGGAAAAGGGGACTTCAAGGAGACAAAAGGGTTTGGCGGAGGTGGTAGGCAGGGAAGGGACATGGCTGCCATTGTGGGTACCCAGTGCCCCCACCCGTGGGTTTGATTACCATGGCTCTTAGAACCAGACCATTTTTTTTAAATGCAGCAGGGCAACCCTCTTTGGAAGCTGGTAGAAAAGCCAAAGCTGCCTGCCTGTGTAGATGCCTTAGGTGCCTGATGCTGACAGGCAGGAGCCAGAGGGCAACAAGCCACACACACCGGCCACTATTCGTGCAGAGCAGAGTGGCTTGGCACCAGAAGCCTGAGGTGTCCACCGATCGTGGACTGATGCACCATGGAATACCCCGGTGTTGCTGAGATGGGTCTTGCTATGTAGCCCAGGCTGACCTTGAACTCACAGCCTCCCGAGTGCTACACCATGCCCAGCTAGCATTGCCTCTTTGAGCCCTAGCTGTGGTGGCCCACATGCCAGCAGCCTGCACCCTGTATTGCTAGATAGTGCTCTGTTGTACAGATACACACTGATTTGCTTAACTGCCATCTGTTGATGGGCCTTTGGGCATTTCCTAATTTTATGAATACAGCTCTTCTGTCCCCTGGAAAAAGGACTCATCCCAGCCTTCAGCAGTGACCAGGATGGTCGTGCTCAGGAAGGGAGGAGCACACGGGGCAGGCCTGGTCCTGTGCCCAGCCGAGCTGTATGTGGATGATAGGTAGCAGGAAGGCAGGAAGGTGGACTTAGCATCCTGTCTGCCAGCTCCCAGGCGTAAGAATGCATGAGGGACTTTACGCAGCCCGCATATAACTGTGGAGAGAGCTGTGGAAGAATGACAGAGACTGTCTGTATCCGTTGGTGCTTACTAGACATGGATTTACTGCAAGGTCTGCAGATGTGTGACAATTCCCACAGCCAGCTCAGGAGTCTGGTGAAGGAAAGTGCAGAGGGTCCCCGATCCCGTGGGGGCCTGAAGCTCACTGCAGTGTCCTGTGAGGTCATCGGGAGCCTGAGGGTCCAAGCAGGAGCCAGGAGAGGCTGTCCGTGGCACAGCCGCAGCCTTGCTTCTTTCCCCTGTTACAGACACCTCGAGGCCACAGTCTGCCCAACAGGGTCCTCCATCTGAAAGGTTCCCTCTGCCACACGCAGCGTGACATAGACCTGCTGAGCAGGGCCCTTCTTCCTCAAGCTCATGCCGTCAGTTAACTATCATGCCCCAAAGCTCCAGGAGTCCAGCCAGAGGGCCCCAGTGTCCACATTGGCTGGGATCTGATCCTCTTGTCCCCAGCCACTTGCTTCAGCTGCTGGACACAAAGGGCAGGGAAAGAGAAGGTTTGAGCTGAGGGCATGTTGGGCGCAGGCGCTCAACATACCAAACCCCACCCGGGACTAAGGACCACGCCAGCTTCCGCAATGCGCTACGTCCCTCCTTAAATTAGCCAACCCGTGTGCACTTCGTGCTCACTCCATACTCTGTGGCAACTCCTGATTGGCCACAGCTGGATATAGTAGCCGGAGCCTACATCCCATTCCCGCCCTGCTTCCTTGTGGCAGCCTGTGATTGGTCACGGCCGAATATATAAACCAGAGCCCGCCTAAATAAACTAGCAGTTAACTGTCGTCCACAAAAGCGTCTCCTGTCTCCTGTTTCATTGGAGCTGCGCCGGTCAAGGGCATGAAAGGATTCTCTAGTGGGGGGACCCAGCACTGCAGAGAAAGCCTGGAGCAAGCCATGTGTTAGGAATCAGGAAGACCCACCTGGCCTGCACTTGTGGCTGTCAAACCTGTGTCCTGTATGATAAGGACACAAGAGAACTGTATTGTAGAAAATAAGAGCCAAGTCTCAGCCGGCATGGTGGCAGTTCCCTGGAATCTTACATTCTGGGAGGCTGAATCAGGAGGATCTCAAGTTTGAGCCCATCCCGGGCAACTTAGCCACTGTCTCATGGGGCTGAGATGTAGCTGAGTGCAAAGGACCTCAGTTCAGTCCCCAGTACTGTAACAGAGAGGACAGCTCTGGTGAGTACACACCTTGATAGCCACAGAGAAGGAGGCCTGGGAACATAACTCTCTGAAAGGTAGTGGTGTCCTGCTCACCTGTAGACCATGAGAACCTGCAGGAAGCCACACTCTGCACTCAACACTGATTCAGAGAATGGCAAGAGTCACAGGGCCTGTGTGTGTGCATGTGCTCAGTGGGAAAGGAGGCTGGAATGACACAGCTAATTAGTCCAGAGGATGACACATCACCTTTGGGTTGCCATTGCCTTCTTCAGATGGCTCTGTCTCTCCCAGACAGAAGCTGTGGTGGATTGAAAACTGGTGGTAACTTAAACACCGGCTGAGCTGTATCAGCATGGTGCTGAGTGTAGACGGCCCCCCGAGGACTGCGGCAAGCACAAATGGAGGTGTGGAGAGGAAGGGTAGCGTTGTGGGTCTCCTAAATGGTGCTGTTTGGAGCTGTGGATTCTCCCGGAGGAGGTCAGCAATGCTGGCTCTCCTGGTGTGTGTGTGTGTGTGTGTGTGTTGTTTTCCAAGCAAACCCTGACTATATGTTGCATGTTGCCCATGCTAGGGAGGTTGGCACCCAGCACTGCAGGAGCTGGGCCCTGACCCAGCTCAGCACAGGCCTGGATATACTTGGTCGCCAGAACAGTCTCTCAAGTTTCAGGGGCCTGCTCAGCCTGGCATCCAAGACACTCTGTGTACTCGTGGGTCCCCTCTCTACTTGTTGGGGTCTGTGCCTAGATCCCCAACCTCCCAAATGAGAGCACAGCAAAGGCCCAAATGAATGAGACAAGTGGCATGATCTTTAGGATCTAGGACTAAAATCCTCCACAGAGTTTGTAAGCCTAATAGCTGTAAGCCCAGCTGTCCCTGGGTGGCTCATATTTATTCAAAACAAGGAAGGCTTTGAGTGGAAAACACAGGAAACTTGAGCAGGACCTCAGGAGGGGTTCAAGGACCTCTCCAAGCAACAGACTATGCTAATTAGGAGAACTATCTTAGGAGAAATTCTCCAGCTGGACTCAGCTGTGGCCTGTCTTGCCCCATCTCAGTTCAGCCATGTCCAGGCCATACCACAGCCTTGCATGTGTATTCACCTTTATCAGCTCCAAACACTGCAAGCCAACCAGGAAGCAAGTGGCCATGACTCCTCTGCCCTCCCTATCTCCAATCTGCGGATAACTGTTCTGAGGAGGAAAAGCTCCAGAGGTCTGGGGTGTGAGAAAACTCAGCCACAGGGCAGGGGAGGAAGCCAGCGGTAGAGCCATCATCTAGCAAGAGTGAGCTCCAGGGTTCCACCCCCAGTGCCTTAAAACAAGAAAACTGGGCCACAGCAACTTCTGCCTTCAGGGGGAAAAACCTGCTAAAGTTCAGGGTCCAGTGGTACTTTAGTTAAAGCACTGAGCCCTATCTGCCAGCCGGGAGAGAAGCTGGGCACGCCTCTGCAAGGAGTAGGGTCTCTGCCACCCCATCCTCTCACCTGCCACATGGAAGGTGGTCCCGGGTGGAGAGCAGCCCAAGATTGCCCCAGGCGGGGAAGGCTGAACCCCATCCTACATTGATAGGCTGTGTGCAGGGCCTTGCTGGGGATTCAGCCCACACTGGACTGAGCCACTTGTAGCTCAAGGGAAGGGAGTCCCCACAAGGCAGAGCCACCCTGACTGTCCAAAGCGTAGAGGCTGCAGCGCCAAAGGAGGGGAACCTACAGGCTAGGACACCCACGCTGGGTCTTGTCCTCCCTAAAACTCTGGCCAGCCCTGCCATGGGACCCAGAACCAGCCCTAGTGTGAGCTGGAGACTCCCAAGGGTCCAGGAGCCACACCCGAGCCAAGCATCGGGCTTCAGGCTGCATTGCAGGCTGTCCTGGCTCGACATGCTGCAGGGTGGGTCAGATGGTTTCCCTGTCCCTCAATTTTCTTTTTCCCTCCTTGAGATGGGATCAGTGTGGGATGACCATTAGTGCCCACTTTCCAGGCATCATGAGTCTCGAGGAAACCGCAGGGAGCACAGCACATGGATGGGCTGCTTCCCTCCACTCGCTCTTCGCTGGCGACCCTGAGCCCTCAGCTCTAGCCACAGGGTTGGAGAACCAGTGTCTGAGTGTGCAGCTGTTCACCCCAGGATCCAGAGTCACAGGATGTCCCCTGGGCTGTGGGCTCCTGCTGGAGGGGCTACAGAGTAAAGTGCAAAGTGGGTGGGCTGTCCCTGTCCTCCTCAGCCAGGAGCAGACCTGGAGCTAGCAGCAGTGTTTCCTGAGTGGGCCCATCCCCACTGGAGGTCACAGCTGCCTGCCTGCCTGCCCGAGGGAGCCATCTGGGACATCTGTGCACATCTGCGTAGGCACCAGAGACTGCCTCCTTTCAGGGCTCAGACATAGCAAATAAAATACCAGGTTCCTGCTACATTTCAATATCTGATGCAAGATGCATTCTTCGTACAGCCTCTCATCCAGGAGATTTTTTGTTGTTGTTGTTTTTAAAGCCTCTCATCCAGGAGATTTTTTGTTGTTGTTTTTAAAGACAGGGTCTCACTATGTAGTTCAACTTGGTCTTGAGCTCACTTTGTAGCCCAGGCAGGCCTCAAACTTGCATTAATCCTCCTGCCTCAGCCTCCGCAGTGCTGGGATTACAGGGGTACACCACCAGCAGCCCGTGTAGTCTTGAAATATACTCGTGCTCTGCGTTTCTGTTGCAGTGTTTCTGAAATCCAAATTTAACCGGGTTTTCAATATTTTTTCTGGTGACCGGAGAGAACAAGTGTGGAGGAGAGGAATCTGCCGGGGTCTCCTAGCAAGCCACATCACATTGGGCTACTACTGTCAGGCACACTCCTTGACTGCCAGTTTTTTTTAAGATTCTTGTTTGGTGGATTGGGTTTTGGTGTAGGAGTGTTGCTTTGTTTTTGCTCTTGTTTGCAGTGCTGAGGGTCAACCCGAGCTCGGATTTTGTTCAGGGCGCACGCTGGCTGAGCTGGAGCCTCAGTTTCCTGCTACCCACGGGCAGAAGCCCTGGTTCTGATTCTTGAGGCGGAAAATCGAACAACGCCCGAGGCGCAGGATAGGCATGGGACTTGGGGACCAGAGCAGGTTCAGCTTCATCTCCCAGGAAGGGCTCCAAGGGGGACCGGTCAGGCCGACTTCCAGGGCTACGCTGCAGATGGCAGAGACGGGCGATTCCAAAAACAGCTCCTCCCTCGGAAACGCCTTCCGCGCGCTGTTTTACACCGCGCGTGCAGACCGCGGGAAGCACCGGTGGCGCAGGGCTCTGGGCTGGGTTCCCGGCCTAGCCCGCGAGGCCGACCCCTGTCTAGCGGGACTTTCGGGAATTCGCCCACGATCCAGTGCTGCGCTCGGTAACGGGGCGGTCCCGCAGCCCGAGGCCGCGCCCCCTCCGGCCCTGCGCCAGGGTGCAAGCAGTGCGAGGCTAGGCGGGCTCAGGTCTGGGGCGGGGGTCGGGCAGGGTCCCCAGCTTCTGGCCTGGCCGCGGGCCGGGGCGCAGGCCTCTGTGTTGCTATCTCCAGCGGCCCTCCTCGCCCCTCCCCTTCTCTCCCCCTTTCCCTCTCCCCTCCTGGCTGCCGAGCACCCCCTATGTGCACCCCCTGCGACCCCCATCCCTGTCGCGGGCCTGAGGCTGGGTCCCCCTCCAGGCCCCAATGGACAGGGCCAGAGGGTCGAGCCGCGTGGGAGGGGAGCGTGGCCCGCGCTGCCGGGAAGAGGCGCGGTTCTGGGAAATCAACACGGGGCGGGGCGGGGTGCGTGGACACGGCCCCCTCCTGGCTCCCAACAGCCTGCTTCTCCTCGGTCCGCAGGTCCAGTGTCACGATGTCGCCCAAGCAGGCCCCGCGCGTGCCCTGGATGCTGCTCCTGCTGCTGCTGTCGCCGGCTGCGGTGAGGGCACAGAGGGGACAAGAGGCTGGGTTCATGGTTTACTCCCCTTCTGGATCTGGTCGGATCCGAGTCGGGTGGGGACAGGACCCAGGAGTGCCCTGGCTGGCCCCAGCCTCCAGGTCCTGGTTCACAGAAGGGAGAGAAGAGGAGCCCGCTGTTCACCGGGCCTAGCGGGGAGCCCCGAGGATGAGTGGGGAGCAGGCTCAGGAAATGGGGCTGCCTGGCTGCACCCCGCTGTCTGTCCTGGGCTGGGTCCTCAGGAAAAGGGGTGCTGTCCCCCATCAGGATCCCAGGAGTCCCCAGAGCCAGGTGGGGAACCAGGACCCACTCCACCCCCAGCAGGCTGCATGTTCACTGGCTTCTGTCACAGATAAGGAAATTCTCAGAAAGAACTGGAGAGGCAGAGGGGTTGGGGAGGCAGAAGTTTAAAAGGGCACTGGGAACACAGTGCGGGGTGGAGGAGAGAGACAGACAGACAGCCGTGGGGGAGGTGCCAGGGCTGAGCAGTGCCTTCATCAGGAGGGTGCCAATGGTGAGCCATGGAGGCCGCGCCAGAGTCTTGGTCAGCCCCATGGTGGCCCTGTTAGAGGACACAGCTGGCCAGGCCCACGGCCCACTCACAGGCCCGTGGCTTCTCAGGCCCTTTGTTATAAGGAGGGGGAAAGCCGGGTTGACTTGTATGTCTGGAAGCCACCCTTTTGTTTAAAAAGTAGTGTTAACACAGATGCCGTGGCCAGGAGCAAGGGGGTCAGCTGTGGGACCCTGCTTCCCCCTGCAGTTTCTACCCTCCCATGACACCCAAGGCTAACTCCTTGACACGTCTGAGCCCCAGTTTTCCTAGTTGAGAAAGGGGGTGAAACACAGCTTCTCAGCCCAGAGCTGCTGGTGGTGGCCCGTACTGGATGACACGCCAGGGGGTCGCTGAGCTGTGTCTGGCTTCTGTCCTCACCATGGATTCCAGTCCTTCCTCCTCCCTGACCTAGGACAACCTGAGGGCGACCCCCAGGCCTGCCGGCTCTCCGGGCTCACTTTCCCCTCTCCTCTCCCCACTCCATCTGGCCCACTCTTTCTCCACCCTCTCCCTGGGAATGCTCCTTGTAATGGTGCAGCCCACAGTTTGAAAAATCCCCCATCCTGTACCAAAGGCCCCAAGTTCAAAGGGCTGTTTCTGGCCAGGAAAGTGAATCCATGCACACAGATAAGTACACAAAAACAGCCCAGCATGGTGGCACATGCCTGTCATTCAGCACTTGGGAGGCTAAGGCAGGAGGATCCCTGTGAGTTCAAGGCCAGCTTGGACTGCACAGCGAGACCCTGTCTCAAAAGAAAAAAGAAAAAGGAAAGGAAAACTTTCTTCTCGGCAGTGGTTGGACAGAAATAGCAGAATTCAGGATTCCTCCTCCTGCGTGGAGGGCCCTGCACTGCCCCCCCCCCCGTCCCCCCAGCACTGTTCCCTCAGGAAGGAACCCTGGTGGCCTCAGGGTGGCCTCTCGCCCCACACTGTACCGGAAGTGATCCTTCCCGCGGGGAGTCTGCGGGAGGAAGACTGAGCCTGCCCTCTGGTACCCCAGGGTGAAACCTTCTCCGGTCCTGCAATTCCTGAGTCCAACTCCAAAGCTCTGAAGCCGCAGCAGCAAGAGGGCGGAGGCGCTGAGGGCCCCGGGACGGTGCCCACCCGAGGCTTTGCGCACTCGACCACTCAACCGGCAGCCAGCGCCACCACGCATGAGGCGGCCACCATAGCGAGGAACACCAGCGGCTCCCTGACCCGGGCCCCCTCGGGATCCCCCACCCTTGCTCCCACGGGGTCCCCCACCCAGCCCCCCACACAGTTCCCCAACCCTACGGAGTCCCCCGCCCCCACGGAGCCCATCTGCCCCCCACCTGCCACCCCCTGCTCCAAGGCCCAAACTCAAGAGGCGCAGGAAGCCTTAGGGGAGGCGCTGACCGACTTCGCCCTGAAGCTGTACCAGGCCTTTGCAGCCACGAAGAACTCAGAAAGCAACATCGCCTTTTCCCCGTTCAGCGTGGCCAGCCTGCTCACACAGGTCCTGCTGGGTAAGGCTCCCCTGTGCTGCCCAACCAGGTGCCACTTAGGAGGCTGCACCTGGGGAAAGCGCTGGGGTGGTGGAGGCACCTTTCATCCCTCAACATTCTTCTGTGTAGCGTGATTTATACACGCTTTAAACCCTACCAGTCTTGGAGGCTGAGGCAGGAGAGTCCCAACTTCAGGCCCAGCCAAGAGGCTGGCTCAGCATGAAAAATTAAAAAGGACTCGAGGCGTAGCTCAGTGTGAAGGCCTTGGGTTTAAAACCCTGTACAAAAATTAAAGAACGATGACTTCAGGCACTATTATTTGAAAGTAGTTTAAGGAGAGGTCAGGCAAAAGGGAGAGGAATTGTACCGGGACTGCTGGACTAGGGTCCTGGCAACCAGGCTTCCCAGCTGCGTGGGCGTGGGCATGAGTGTGCCCCTTAGCCTCCCAGAGCCTCTGCAGAGATGGTGAAATCACCTCAGGCGATGGGAAGCATCGAGCTCTGCCCGGCTCAGCCAGCGGTCAAGAGAATGATAAATGCTCTGCCTTCCCGAGGGGCTCGTTACCCCAGGAATGGCACAAACACATGCCGCGCGCAGTGGGGATAGAGCTGTCCCTCCCCATGGGCTGCAATCCAGGTGGCTGCCAGAGACAGTACGGTGCTCACAGAACTTCCTTCGGAGCCAGCGTGGGGGCACACACCTGTCCTCCCAGTGCTCAGGAGGCTGAGGCAGGAAGATTCCCAGGCAGGAAGATAGCCAGCTTGGACTATGTAGAAAAAGCCTGTCACAGTAATAATATTTAATAATAATAATAAATAATGGTCTAGTGGCCCTTGCCTGTAGGGTGAACCTTTTCAAATCCAATCCAACTAAACAGTAGTTTGTGTGAAATAGGCAGAGGTCAAGCTTGACTTTGAAAGATGCATGAGATTTGAACAGACACCCACGTGGGCAAGGAAATTCACTACTCTGGTGAAGCTAACCTTGGGGTTCCTCAGGTTTCCCCATGCCATCTCTCACATGCGCTGCAGATTCGCTCAAGCTACAGTGAATGTTTACATCAAAGTGTTTCGCAGTAACAGACGTGCTCCTCCCCTCACCCAGTCCCCTCAGTCCTCCTGCTCCTGGCCTCCTTCTGATGGAGTCCTCCTTCCTGGATATCTCTATGAGGTCAGGTTAGAGGTCCCGGGGTGCTGCGGCCAAGCACCATCCAGCAGGAAAGCAGCTGGGGGACACTGGACACCCGTCCCCCTCCTCCTTTGTCACCCATCCGGCACCTGGGCCTTCCAGCTCTTCCCGAGTCAAAACAAAATGAGGGCGGCACAGCCCAAGGCCCTTGGAAGAGACCCAGAGCTGCTGCAGACAGTGGCTGGGACCATAGCACACCTGTCAGAAGCCAGGGGAGCGTTTTGGGATTTCTTGTTTTTGTTTTTGTTTTGTTTTGTTTTTTTTCCAAGTCAATAAATGGGGGATTTAGCTCAGTGGCACAAGTGCCTGCCTTGCAAGTGTGAGGCCTGGTACGAAAAAAACAAAGTCAACAAATATCTTTATTTTTTTACTTGGAATTCTAGCGTGATGACAGTTCTAGCATGATTACACCTCGAGGTTACTTTTCAACAACAAACTGTACAGTTTTCTACAAAAATACAGTGCAGGAGATCTATCTCTTCACCCTTGAAATGGAATTTAATATTTGGATAAAAAACTAAACTTTTGATTGCATTCAAGAGAAAACTTTTTTTTTTTTTTTTTTGAAGACTTAAGTGTCTCGAGGTGCAGGCAGCTGGAGCAGAGATGAAGGTGAAGTTTTAACAGCATGAACATGCCCACCCCCTGCCTGGAGGAATAAGAGGCTTCCCGTGGTGGTGGCTGGGTGAACGCCCTGGTCAGATGGACCACGCGCCCCTGGCTGGGCCCTGATTTGTGCAGAGATCTTTTTGAGCTTTTTACAACCGACGGAACTTTTGAAAGCCAGGTGTCTGTCCTGTGGGATGGATCTTAAACCTGACTCAGGCGCCAGGAATGATAGAGCCTGGATGCTGGAGCAGGGGCCCCGTGGAAACCGGAGGGGTTACCCTGAGCACCCCTCTCTCTTGCCCTGTGCCCCTCACCATCCCCACTCTGCATCCAGCAAGCCCCGTCTGCCCTTTTCTCCAGGGGCTGGGGACAGCACCAAGAAGAACCTGGAGGTTGTCCTCTCCTATCCTCCGGGCTTCGTCTGTGTCCACCAGGCCCTGCAGGCCTTTGTGTCCAAGGGGGTCACCTCTGTCTCCCAGATCTTCCACAACTCCGGTGAGTGGTAGGGGGTGCTGGGGAGGGTAAGGAGGGGCTGCTGAGCTGGGTACCTGGGTTCAGGTAGCTCCAGAGCTGGCCAGCTCTCCTGGCAGGACTTAGGCCAGGCATTTGGTTCCTGCCCAGACTGTACTTAAGGTTACGATGCCCCTGACTCAGCCTCCCTGGGATGGCAAAGCCTTTTTGACTGTTTAAGTCACAGGAGTCAGGCTGGAGACTCATTCTTTTTACTTCTGTGTTATGGGAATTTGTCATTTGTGGGTGGGTGTTGTGTTAGGTGGTTGAGAGGTAACAACAGATAATCAGAATAAACTTCTGTGGTGACCAGGCACCATTGCTCCTGACTTGCTCCCCAAAGCCCTAGGGTTCTGCAGATGGCTCAGGAGTCGGATGTGGGTGGGGTGTGAGCAGGAGGACCACTTCCTGGGCCAAGGAGGTGACCAACCACACCCCACAGAACTCATTGAAGTTACCTGCTTCCCGGGTGACTGAAAATGCAGTTTGGCTGGTTTTTTTTCTTTTTCTTCTTGCACTGGGAATCAAACTTAAGACCTTGTGCTTGCCAGGCAGGCGCTGTGCCACTGAGCTCAGTCCCCAGCCCAAGTTCAGCTGTTTTAAACATTTCCAATCTCAGATCTTAGTCCTCTGTGTCAGTGGGCAGAGGCTGCCCACACGGCTGTCCACACAGGGCTGCATGGCTGGCTGTGTGTCGAGGCCTCTGCCCCTCGGGAAGAGCCGGTGCAGAGGGATTTCTGGTTGTAGTTTTTTGAGGAGCCTCCTTGGTGAAACCCAAAGTATACAAACTTTGAAAAATAAATAAATAAAAAATAGAAAATAGGAAATAGAAAACAAGAAGAGACATGTTTTGCAAATAGGAAGGTGACAAAGAGAGGGAGGGGGAGGGGAGGGAGGAGGGGCCTAAAAAGAATTAAGATGCATCCTGTGTGCCCATCCCCAAGAGGAAAGCAAGCATTATGTACTACAAATGTGTGCAATGAAACAGTCACAGAGCCTGTCCAGCCTCCTGTAAAACAAGGAGAACTCAGGGGGTGAATCTGCCAGGATGGATTTGTCCATCTGTAAGACCACTAGGCACTCAGAAGAAAAGATGTAACTGCTGGGCGTGGTGGTGCACACCTGTAATCCCAGCACTCGGGAGGCTGAGGCAGGAGGATGGTTGGGAGTTCGAGACCAGCCTGGCCTACAGAGTGAGCTCAAGGCCAGCCTGAACTGCATAGAGAGACCCCATCTCAAAAAGATGAAACAAAAAAGTTAAATGAACCAAAAAAAAGGAAAAGATTGCTTTGTGCCTTGTTTTAACTACATAAGTAATATTTACTGTAGAAAACTTAGAAAGATATAAAGAAGAAAAAAAAAGGAAGGGAAAAAAAAAATACTGGCCTAGAAGCTTTCTCACATGACAAAAAATGGCTCTGAGGTGTCATAAACGTTGCTTTTATGCACTTGCTGTAAACCAGCGGGGTCCTGTGTCAGCCAGATTGGTGGAAATAAACAGTGTGCCAGGTAATAGGGTTTTGGGTCCCTGGGTAGTCAGTCCTCTGGTTGTGTGAAGGTCCCGGGTCTCGCACCGAAATTAAGCATCATCAAAGCAAGGAGAAGTATCTGTGGCCAAAGTTTTTGTTGTTTTGTTTTGTTTTGTCTTGAGGCAGGTAGTCTTTGCTTAGTAGTCCTGACTGGCCTTGAACTCACTGTGTTGCCCAGGCTGCGTGAGAATTTAGAGGCCCTCCTGCCTCAGCCTCCTCAGTGCTGGGATTATAGGTGTGCATCCAGCCTTCTGATCTATTCAGTTCAGGGAATTTTTTGTTTCAAACACTGTTTCCTCCGGTGGACAAGGGCTCCGGAGATTAAAAACCTAGACATCTTGTCAGGAACCGCCTGAAGCAGAGCCAGGCCACAGAGGCTGATGGCACAGTCGCCCTGCCCGGCCACAGTCGTATGCCGGGACCCTCCTGCAGCAAGTAGCTTGGCATTTGCCTTCTTTGGGGCTCAAGTCTGCCCTGTGGCGGAGGAGCGGCGGAACCCCGCACCCTGCGCTGGCTTCCCGGGTGCATGGGGCCTATCCAGGAAGGAGCCGGGCCTCACCGCCTTCCTCCGCTGGCCACAGACCTGCCCATCAGGGACAGCTTCGTGAACGCCTCGCAGAGCCTGTACGGCAGCAGCCCCCAGGCGCTGGGCAACGACTCGGCCGCCAACCTGGAGCACATCAACAGCTGGGTGGCTGAGCACACCAGGCACAAGATCAGCCGGCTGCTGGACAGCCTGCCGTCCGACTTCCGCCTGGTGCTGCTCAACGCCATCTACCTGAGCGGTGAGGCACCGGTGGAGAGACCCGGGGGTCCCCCATCCTCCCCCTCCCCCTCCCGGTGCCCAGTCCCCAGCGTCCACATGCTCACTCCGGGCCCGTCCACTCCCAGCCAAGTGGAAGCAGCCCTTCGACCAGAAGAAGAAGATGGAGCCCTTCCACCTGCGGAACACCGTCGTCCAGGTGCCCATGATGATGAGCAAGAAACACCCGGTGGCACAATTCATCGACCACAACTTGCGGGCCAAGGCGAGTCAGCTGCTCCCCGCCCGGCCCCTCCAAGCCCCTCCTCTACCCTCCCCACACCCGTCCCTCCACACCTTCCTGGGACCTAGCTCTGGCTCCTCTTGGGTCCTTCCAAAGAGCCCTGCTACCTCAGGCTGCACCCTGGCACACCAGCTTTTCTGTCTTCTTCCTCCGCCCTGCTTGTCTTCCTCCTTCTCTGTCGAGTCTCTGCCCAGCCAGACCCTGGGTGTCTCAGGCCAGAAGTCCTAACTCAGTGTCCCCACTGCCTCTGCTGCGCCCAGGGCAAGAGTGAGCCCGGTTTCTGTTCTTTTCATCCTGCTCTCTTGCCATCACCCTGCCGGGGGAGTCAGGGCTGCTCAGGCTGTGTGTGCGCACCAGTGTGTGTACTGGCGTCTGGCATGCGCACACGCGTGTACAGTGTCCTTGCACGACCCGCATGCAGTGTTTCCATGTCTTAAGTGGTCTGAACTGAGCAATGTAGTGGCAATGGTTAGAGCTGGGATGGTGGCACACACCTGCCAGCCCAGGGCCCTGGGAGGCTGACAGGAGGGTGGCAAGTTTGAGGCTATTTTGGGCAACTTGGTAGCTTGTGAGACCCTGTCTCAGAGTAAATGCAAAAATGGGCTGGGGGTGTAGCTCAGGGTGAAGACCCTGGTTCAACCCCCAGAACTGCAAATAAATGAAATAAATAATTTCAGTGAGTGGGGAGAGAGGGAAGAGAGAGAGTGGGCCTCAGAGATCTCCAGGGAGTAAAACACCAGAACTTGCAGAGGAGCAGATGCAGGGCGAGGAGAGAGAGCTGCCGGGGAGGCCTGGAACCCTCAGAGGCTAAGGACCCCCAGTTATAGGAGCTGCGGGCTCCCCTCCCCAGGGCCTCCTAGGTGCAACCCTGCCTGGGCCCTCTCAGGCTGCACAGAGAAGCCATTCCCCATCATGTGGCTGCCTGCTGCTCTGGGGTTACACCCATGTATCACCTCCTGGTCCCTTTGCTAGCTGATCTGTCACACCTGAGCCATCAAGCCGTGGTCTCCTGCCCTGAGATGGGGCCTGCATTCCTCCTGTATCCTTGGGGACTAGAGCAGGGCCAGGTACAGCCAGCGCCCTGCACTGTTTGTTGAGTGAATAAATAAATCTGTGAAACAGAGGGACTGACAGAGAGACTCACTCCGCGTGAGTGGCTGGGAGCGTTTCTGCCATTCTTGGGGTTTTTGAGACAGGGTCTTGCTATGTCGTTCAAACTATGATTCTCCTGCCTCAGCTTCTTGAGTGCTAGGATGATAGGTATGTGCCACCATCCCTGGTTTATCACTCCCAAGCATAGTGAGACTATCCTGTGACTTTGTGCTTAACAGCATAAAACTAGCATATGAGAGTCTTTTAAAGATTACAAACATGGGCTGGGGATTTAGCTCAGTGGCTCAAGCGCTTGCCTGGTAAGCATAAGGTCATGAGTTCGATCCCCAGTACAAAAAAAATTATAAATGCTATTTTATTCATTTATTCCTGCTAAGATACTAAATTGCCTAGGCTGGGCTCAAATTGATAATCAAGATCCTCCTGCCTCAGCCTCCCAGAGTGCTGGGATCACTCTGAGTTTAATATCTGTTGTTAATATGTTGAAGTTAGTTTCCTAAATCTCCCTGGGATTTTAGAATATTTACCCAAGCAAGGGGGTTAGGTTTACTGAAGTCCCTGGCATGAAAATTCAAGACCACTGTGGCAAACTTTGTTTTTGTTTTGTTTTTATAACTTTTTTTGGAAAGTAGTTAAATACAACAGAACAAGACAGAATAAAGCCAGCTGAGACCGTGTAGTGAAATTGGTACAGAACTTCACAGCAGGTTACCGGGATAACAGTAATAGGTATCAGAGTATATTTCATTATCTTTACAATAGTTGTTCTTTCAATCACGTGTATCAAAATAAAATGAAATGCAAACATTCCTGAACAACTATTTCTAAGATGACAATATATAACTTATCAACTAGTGATTTCTTACTGTTTATTTTTCTGTAATTCTGTATTATTTCTACCCTTTTTTCTCCATGTTTTGTTTCTTTCTCTTTAAATTAAAAAAAAGGAAATACAGAACATTATAGAACTTCTCAAAACAGAATATTGAATAGAGCAGTACCATTAATCAGAATAAAGCAAGACAGTAATAAAAATATTGGCCTTCAAAGAGATGGTAGAAGGAAATCCCCCTTATTTGCTATGGTCAACCTCTCAGGAGATGCTCAGGTTTCTGGTTCCCATTTGCTAACGGGGGGACAGGAGAAGGGGGTGTGGGGAAGTGGGATGTTTGACTCTAGGCCTTGCACCAGTAGGCTCACTATTGCTTAGCAGGGAGGAGAGCTGTTTGCTAGGTTTCCCAGCGTCCTAAGTTCCAACATGGCACGGATCTCAGGAGACACTGGTGGCTCTTCCCCTGGAAGGGCAGCAGTCTGCCCACTGTGGCAAGCTTTTGGTCAGAGGTTACAGTGAGCCTGTGGGTCCTGCGAGGCCCACACACCGGGTCCCTGAGGTCATCACTTCAGGGACCCCTTGTTGGTCTTCCTCAGTTAACATCTGTTTGTGCCCAGCTTCCTCAGGGCCACTCTAGCCAGACTCCTGGCCAGGCCACTTTCTCCTCACCCCACGTTGAATTCCGCCTTCTTCCAGATTCTGCCTGTTCCTCTTTGCTCCGCTGTGTGGCTGTTTATGTGGTTTTCAGCCTTGCCAGTGTGGCCCTGCTACGTGACTCTGCTGTGGGCGTGGGGGCTGTGCAGGGCAGGGCTCTCCATGGCCTTCAGTCCGCTCATTAGGCGCCAGGAGCACACTTTCTAGGCCGCCAGCTGTGGCAGCTGGAGCATAGATGTCACCAGATGTCCTCTAGGGGGCACGTTCACCCTGGATCAGGAACTCTTGAATTAAACCCTGGGTCCTGACCTGGGTGTGGCCCACCATCATCCTAGCACCTGGGAGGCTGAGACCAGAAGATTGCTGTGAGTTTACTGCAAGCCTAGGCTCCATAGTGAGACCTTGTCTCTAAAAATCGATGAAGCTAGCAGCCAGCTCAGGGCCAGGGAGGGCAGGAGAACTGGCAAGCTGACTGGTGCCCCTTTGGTCCCCAGGTCGGGCAGCTGCAGCTCTCCCACAACCTGAGCTTCGTGATCCTGGTGCCGCAGACCCTGGAGCAGCCCCTGGAGACGCTGGAGAACGCACTCAGTCCAGAACTCCTCAGGGCCGTCATCAGGAAACTGGAGATGTCCAAGTACCAGCCTACCTACCTGACCATGCCAAGGGTCAAGGTGGCCAGCTCCCAGAGCCTGCTACCCATCATGGAGAAGCTGGGTGAGGCCTTTGGGGTGCTTCAGGTGGCCGGAGGGCAGTGGCCATTCTGGAGTGTAATCTTGTTTTTTGTTTCACTTATTGGTTGATTTATCTGGGGAATTTTTGAGACAAGGTTTCACTATGTAGTTCAGGCCAGCCTTGAATTTGACAGCAATCCTCCTGCCTTACCTTTCAAGTGCTGGGATGACAGCTGAGCACCACCACGCCCGGCTGTAGAATGTTTTTGCATCCACAATCTCAGGCCACACTCCATCCTGTGGGCTTTAGGGCAGATGTCGATGGGTCCCTGAGGAAACTGAGGCTCAAGGACTTTATGTGGCTCACCCCACGTGTCCGAGCCAGACCCTTGGCCAGGTAAGGGCAAAGTAGATGGCCGCACCTCGACATTGCTCTTACTCAAGGATGGGGTGGAGTGGATGCTTGTTGGGAGACATATCTGTGATCATCCCCACCCCACAGATGTGCCAGGGGCCGGCTGGGGGTGTGATCTGGAAACCTTCCGGTTCAGTTTGGTGTGGTGATTGAATCCAGCATCTTCCCGCTGAGCTACTTCCCCAGCCCTTTCTTTTTTCTTTCTTTCTTTCTTTCTTTTTTTTTTTTCTTGTTGTTGTTGTTTGTGATAGGATCTTGCCATGTGAACCATGGCAAGACCAGCCGTGAACCCACTATGTAGCCCAGGCTGATCTTGAACTCATGGCAATCCTCCTGCCTCAGCCTCCTAATTGCTGGCATTATAGGTATGCACTACCATGCCTAGCTCTGTTTCTTATTTTGAGAGAGCTTCACTAAATTTCCCAGAGTGGGCTTGAATTCAAGATCCTCCTGCTCCAGCCTCCCAGACTGCAGGAATTACAGATGTGTGCCATGCCTGGCTGAAACGTCCCAGTTTGGAGAAGTGATGAAGCCCCCATTTCCTAGCCTCTGACCTGAGGCCTAGAACCTCCGTTTCATCTACTGCAGGACTTGCCCGCTTAGCACAGGTCTCATTTCCTAGTAGGAAAAGTTTCTCCCCTCATCTCTGCTCTGGCCATGGCTGTGTTTGGGTGCTTTCCCTGTTCCGTGCAGACACACAGCAGGCTCTCTGTAATTCCAGTTGATCCAGACCCAGAATTGGAGGCGTGGCCCACAGGCCAAATCCCCACGGACATTAGGCACAGATTGGGTGGGAATCGGAGCTTCCGGTGGGACCTTCTGGGTCAGGCTGCACTGGGAAGGCTGGCAGAACCCAGGGAGCCACATTTGAGTACCAGTGTGTTACATGTTACTCAAGCAGCGAGCCACATGTGCGGTGAATGTCTCAGTGTGTTACAGTAAACACATCTGGCCGTGAATCCTCAGAGCCCTGCTTCTACTCAAAAGCAGTCGTCCCATCCTTGCCACCTTCTGCAGCCTTTCTGGAGTCCCCTCCCTGAGTGTCTTTGGGAAGTGCAAGCAGAAATCCCTGAATGCTCCCGCCAAGCACCATCTAGAGGAAAGGCAGCTTGTACAATAGGACACTAGATCCTCGTCCACCTTATTCAGTGTATCTGGCTCCTCCCCAAAGTCAAAATGACCATGAAAGAGAAACGTTTTGGGAGGAAAGAGAGACAGAAACATTTTGGATCGATTCAGGACACTGAGATAGCCAGGAGAGCGCAACTGAAGACCCTCAGGAAAGAGGACTCCAGAAAGGCTGCAGAAAGCAGCCAGGATGGTAGGATGAGTGTGTGCTAAGTGATGGTGTGTACTTTTGCTATAGTCTTCAAATCGAAGCACCCAACGGCTTTTTCTTATCACGCCTCCTGTAACACAGCTAAGCCAGGAGGATCGGGGCAGGGCAGCATCACACACTGCAGGAGGCACACTCCTGCTTCGTGGGCCGTGCATGTGGGGAGCTGGGGATCTGCACGGGGCATCGCATGCAGGCTTTCATTCACCCAGAGGCTACAAGCAGGGCTCGAAGCCCCCAGCTTCCAGTCACCAGCTGGTCTTCTGGGTGCTCAGACCTCCTCCAGGATCCCAGTAAGAGCAGTCTCCCTGGAGGAGAGATAAAGACAGCCCTGCCCCCAATCCAAGGGACGCATGAGTCCCTGACCAGTGACTGGGGCAACACCAAAGTCTAGAGCCACAGATGCCCCTGGTACCCCAGCTCGAGGGGTCCCTAGGGTTTCTAGGGCTCTTGGCAGGAACTTTCAGGCAGACCACTTCCGGTTTCTTACGTCTTCCCAGCACCTTGCTCGGTAAGTGGCCTTGTTATGCAACACATAACCTAGCTCTGATAGGTGACTTCTCAGCCACCATTGCTGGAGACCTAAAAGACTTGAGTCATTATTCAGGAGTTTTGAGGGGTTGGGAGACACTCAGCTCCTGAGAGACAGTGATGGTTCTGATTCAGGGGACCCACAAATGGAAGAAGGCTAAGCCAGGCATGGTGGTGCACATCTGTGATCCCAGAATTTAGAAAGCTGAGACAGGAGAATCCTCATGAGTCCAAGGCCAGCCTGGGCTACATAGCAAGACCTCGTCTCAAAAAACAGAAACAGGCTGGGGATTTAGCTCAGCGGCATAAGTGCCTGCCTCAAAAGCAGGCAGTCGTGAGTTTGATCCCCGGTACTGATAAAAAGGAAAAAGACAGAAAAAAAAAAAAAAAAAAACAGAAACAAATGCAAGGCAGAGGTCTGCATCACCAGCGAGGGGTTTCATGCAGGTCTGTTGACTCTGTTCACCTCCTGCTTTGCCCTAGAATTCTTTGACTTTGCCTACGACCTCAACCTGTGTGGGCTGACAGAGGACCAGGACGTGCAAGTGTCGGAGATGCGACACCACAGCGTGTTGGAGCTCACCGAGACCGGCGTGGAGGCCGCCGCGGCTTCTGCCATCTCCGTGGCCCGCAACCTGCTGGTCTTTGAGGTGCAGCAGCCCTTCCTGTTTGTGCTCTGGGACCAGGAGCACAAGTTCCCTGTCTTCATGGGCCGGATCTACGACCCCAGGGCCTGAGAACCGGGTCGAGGTTGGGACGGGTCCATAAACCCAGGCCTCAGTTTCCCCAGGACAGCCCACTGCACCCGTCTGCTGGGGACTTGCCCGCCATCACCTCTCTGCTGAAGGCTGCCCTGTTTCCATCCCCTCCCGTGGCCCTGCCATGCTCTACACACCACTTTTTGTAGCCTTCTCTGGTTCAAGTTCACCAGCCCCTACAATAAAACCTGGCTAGCCATGACTTCCTGTCTCCTTTGTCTTTGCATATCAACTGCCTTGAGTGTAGAGGACGGTAAACCAGGTGTAGGGGTGCAGAGGAGGACTGCAAGTTCAAGCTCAGCCCAGGCAATTTAGAGAGACTTTGTTTTAAAATTAAAAAAGGGCGAAGGAGGTAGCTCAGTGCAAAGCCCCTGGGTTTAATCTCCAGAAAAAACAAAATCAGAATAGGAGCTATTGTACCTCCTGTATCAACCAGCTATTGCTGTGTAACAAGTTATTCCAAGTTTAGTAAGCTTAAAGGGCCATCGTTTCTTGTTGCACAGAAGCCTCAGGCCTGGCAGAGTGCAGGGCCTGATCCCTACTGGAGCTCTGATGCCTCCCGGGCTCCCACACACACCTGTCATCATCAGGCTGGGTGTAGGTGGCCTGTCGCTCTGCTGGTCCTGCTGCTGCTCCTCAGCTGTCCTCACAGCTGGCTCACAGCCTCTCCCCAGCTGACCTGCAAGGGCCGGGATCCCAGCAAGAAATCAGGAGCATACAGTCCCTGCCACATCACTGTGGGCACCCAGTTTGCCACTGTCCCTTCCCTGGCTGTGACGGTGGTAATACAGGTGACTGGGCCAGAAGTCACACAGGCATTCGGCTGAGCACCCCCCAGCAGTTCATCCTAACTCAGTAAACTCAGGTGTGCGAAGTCCTGTTCAGAGTCCTGCGGTCGGGGTATTGGCAGAGGAGAGTTTCAAAAAGGATCTGGGGACCGAATGAACCCAGGGCCTCCATCTGCAGCTCCAGGCCTTAATTTTTATTTTTTTATTTTAAGACAGGGTCTTGCTAAACTGGTAAGCTGCCCAGGTTGAGCTTAAATTTGTAGTCCTCCCAGGCATGCAGTAGCATTCCCAAGCTGACTTCGTACCTTATAAATCTAATGGACATCTGCTGTTTTCTCTCTCTGGCCTTCTCCCTTAAAATCCTTCCTTTTCTTAATATATTTGAAAAACTGTTACCGTGTATCTTGGTCTACATTAAGCACTGAGGATGTAAATGGGAAGCATCTCATACCAGCCTTCAGCCTTCAGAACCTGCATCCTGCTGGGCATGGTGGCCCACATCTGTGACCCCAGGACTCGGGAGGCTGAGCAGGAGGAGCTTCATGAGTTCAAGGCCATCTTGGGCTACACAGTGAGTTCAAGGCCAGCCTGAAATACGTAGCCAGTCCCTGTCTCAAAACAACAGAGCAGGGCCAGGGATTTAGTTCAGCGGCTCAAGCACCCGCCTGGCAAGTGTGAGGTCATGAGTTCAATTCCCAGTACCAAACAAACAAACAAACAAATACCCACAGCTTGGCAGGACAGAGGGGCTGTAGCAGGAAGAGTTCCTCTGGCCTCTGATAGGCCTGGAACCTGGAACGCTGTTTTTTCCTGTCTTGCTCCTCTCTGGGATGCACTGCTGCTGCCCTGTTCCAGGTCCCTCCTCTTCCTCGGGCTCTTTCCCTCTGCCTGTGTCGCTGTCTCTGCCCCCTCACACTGTGTGCCCTGAGCCTACAGGACTGTGACTCTGGGTCCAGCCCCTCCGCTTCCCCCGCTGACAGGTCAGGAACCTGGGCCAGTCTTTCTCTGCATGCTGAGAGCCCTGGGCTCCCACGCACAGGAGTCTGGAGGTGCGAGGCTACACACCTGGCCGCAGATACCCCTGCAACACCGGCATCTTCCGAACAGCTCAGGATACACTGAGATGTTTCTCAGGGTGGGACTTTCCGCAAAGGCCACCACATCTCAGGATACACACTCATAGCAAGGCTGCCCACGCTCCAGGACTGCAGCCACCTGCCACTGTGGGCTGGGCCCTTTTTCCGCGGCCCTGGTCTGGGGCTACAAAATCAAGGCTAAATGCATGAGGGCCAAGCTTCCCAGGCAGGATAGGCTTAGCATGGAATCTTATTGATCAATTGATTGACTGTTTTGGAGACAGAGTTTCACTATGTGGTTCAGACTAGTCTCGAACTCACAGGGATCCTCCTGCCTCGGCCTCCTAAGTACTGGGATTGTGCCACCCTAACAGCTCAGTGTGGATATGGATTAGCAAGCAGCCCTTTTCCCCAGAGCCTCACCTTTGGCTCCTGTCCTTTGCTGCCTCACACGCGCCCAGCCCATGGTCAGGGCATCCCGAGGGAGGAAGAGGACATCCAGGACACATTGGCAGCTTCCCCCACACCAGGCTTGTGCCTGACCTTAGACCGCAGGGACTGCAAGCCAGGACCAGCATGTATGCGCTCAGAGGCTGGGGCACAGTCAGGGCTGAGCTCCAGGCCGAGGCCTGAGGCCTATGATGAGTCCTGGTCGGACTGAGATCTGCATGCAGGGGCAGGAGGGCCAGGCTGTCCCCCCACCCCGGGAAGATGGTACCCCTGCGCCTGGCCCGCAGGAGGCTCTGCACCCGAGGAGCAAACCAGAAGCAGAGGCCCCTGCCCTTTGTCCTTGTGATCCTGCAGGATGGCACCATCCCCCACTTGCGTTAGTGGCGCGTGCTGCTAGGCAGGGCTGTTTTCCAGCTCTGCGGGCCACGTCCCCAGCTCAGGGACTCACAGCTCAGCAGCCCAGAAGCCACCACCCTGGGTCCTCAATGTGATCTATAGAAGGAAACCCAGAGCTCCCCCAATGCCGCAAGCTGATCTCTCCCCGTGACTCGGTGAGGATGGTGCTGGACCCCATGAAACAGGAACCAGCAGAAAGGGTGCTGGCCGTGGTGGGCACCATGCCCTGCAGACTACTCAGACCCTCCAGGCCTGCCGAGGGCTGAGCACCGGTATTCCTGCCTGGGAAAGTGGGGCACAGGCTCAGAGAGGTTAGGTGACTCCCCAGAGGTCACACAGCCAGAAAGCGACCCATGTCGGCTGGATTTGGATTTGGGCAGACATCTTTCCTTTCTACCCAGACTTGAGTTAAGTCAGATCTGTGTCTTCTCAGGCCCCATCCCATGTGGCCCGTGAAGCCACTGGGATGTCTCTGCTAAACAAGAAAGAAACGTAGTGAAGGAATAAATGATGGGCGATCGCAGGCAGGCAGAGGGGAGAGGAGACTCTCACTCATCTGGAAATGGAAACTTCAGAAGAGAACTAGAACAATTCTGCTCTGAAGGCGTCCTTATAAAAGCGGGCAGCGTGTTCCCTTCCTTCAGCCTGTGAGGCCACAAGTCCACGGGCTGAGGCTGCCACAGGCGCAGGGGGGGACAGGGTGAGCTGGGCCTTTCCTGAGGACCCCACCAGCTGATGCTCTGCACAGAGGCCCCTCCTTCCGGGAGGCCGATCGGTCAGATTTATTTGTGTGTCTGTCTCAGTCCCCACAACTGACCTCAAGGCCCCACGCTGAGCCAGGTCCCATCCCCTCCTTTGAAACAGGGACTCACTAAGTCTTGCAAGGATGACAGGTGTGACCATAGCAACTCACTGCTCTGAGCTTTCCTCAAAGAGTGAAAATGTTCTCTTTGTCTATGTCACTATAATATTAGAAACAAATTTCGCTCAAGTCATCCTTTTCTTCTTCTTCTTCTTCTTCTTCTTCTTCTTCTTCTTCTTCTTCTTCTTCTTCTTTTTTGTACAAAGGATTGAACCCAAGTCCTCCAGGACCAACCCACAGCCCAAACTCTGTTTATTTTTTATTTTGAAACACAGTCCCACTAAATTGTACAGGCTGGTCTCAAGCTTGGAACCCTCCTGCCTTAGCTTACTGAGTAGCATGTACCGTTTCCTCTTCCTGTACCATCTCTGTGGCATACCTCCTCTGCGTGTCTCGCGAAAGACGGACACACAGCCTTGGAGACCCCCTCCCCGGGATGCGGAGTCGTGTTCTGGGCAGGCAAAGCCTGGTGTGTTTGCACACCTAGTTCTGATGATCGCTGCAGCTCCTCAACCACCCCAGCTTCACCTGGATGAGGTTCTGAGAACCCAGCAGGTGGATTCGGCGCCCGTGCAGTTCGTCTTTCCGCCGCATGAGGGCGCTGAGGGAACTCTGTTCTGCATAGCCTTGTGGACCGGACCCTTCCTGGTTCAGCTGTGGCGAACCTATGCCGCAAGAGGGCTGTTTGTATGCTTGAAAGCTCCCAGAGGTTTGCCAACTCCTTCCTACCTTCCTTCCTTCCTTCCTTCCTTCCTTCCTTCCTTCCTTCCTTCCTTCCTTCCTTCCTTCTTTCTTATCTCCATCCCCACCTTTTACAGTATTCAGGGCCTTCATACTGAGCTACCCAGCCCTATTTATTTATTTGTTTTTGGTAACTGGGGTCAAACTCACGACCTTGCACTCGCCAGGCAGGCACTTATGCTGCTGAGCTATATTCCTGGCCCTTTTTTTTTTAATTTTTAAATTTTTAAGTTTTTGGTTCTCTTGAGACAGGGTGGCCTTGAACTCAGTATGTATCCTGGGCTGGCCTTAACTTGTGGTGATCCTTGTGCCTCGGCCTCCTGAGTGCTGGGGTTACAGGTGTGTACCACTTATCTACCTGGCTTTTTTTTTTTTTTTATTCTGAGAGAGGATGTCCCTAAATTGCTACATTGCCCAGGCTGGATTTGAACCTGTGATCCTCAAACTGTCCCATGTGAAGATTTAAGTTTGGACTCCAAACCAAGTCTGGAGTCTATAACATCAGTACTTTGGGAAGCTGAGGCAGGAGGATAGCAAGCCTATGTCCAGCTTGGATAATTTAGTGATTTAGCAAGACCCTGTCCAAAATAAATTTTAAAAGGGCTAGGAAACTGGGCATGGTAGTACACGCCTGCAATTCCAGCACTCGGAAGGCTGGAAGGCTGGAAGCAAGAGGATTGCTACAAGTTTGAGGCCAGCCTGGATTACATAGTAAGACCCTGTCTCAAAAAAGAAGAAAAGCTGGGGCAGGGAGCTGGAGACAGCTCAGCGCAAATTCCCTGGGAAAGGTCCATAGTTTGTGCTTGTTCAGCTGCTGTTTCCCAACGGTGAATGGTGAATGCCTTCAGGATCTGTCTGGGCTCCAGAGCGCTTTAGGCTGCAGAGCACC